ACTGACGTTGCCAATTATGACTTAACTTGGAACTTCCTGAAGCTATTTTTCTGTCTCTTTTGACAAGCAGAGCAAGAGGAGGAGCCACTGATCACACCACATTTTATTCTCTTTAATGAGACAACCTCAAGTTATCCAAAGCAAGTGAAGACAGGCTCTGGCTCACCGCAGGCTCGTTCTCCAGCATATTTTGGTTTTAGTCATTTGGTTAAACCGTTAATAAACATCCACGTATGTTCATAACGGTTCTTGAATAACTCATAATTCATTGCAACATACAGAAACAGTCAAATGTTTTTTAATGGTTGTTGTTTTTATTTTCTTTATTTTTACTGATTTCTACATTTTATACACACACAGAGGATATGAAAAAAGAAAAAAGTGTATGTAATTCTGCATAATATGTTTCATATTTTATATTCAAACCCTTGTAGTGAAAAATATTTTGTAGTTTTGTCTTTGCTCTTTTTCTATAGGAACATCTAAGTCTCTTTCCCAGGTCCTAAAGCCGCGGAGATTCGGAGCGGTGGCATTCCTGATTATATTATAAACATCTGCTGGACCACTTTTTTAAAACATGACATTTTAATAATCATTTTTGCATACACGTTATATTATTTGGAGTGGGTTTTAAAGCAGAATGGAGAGTATTTATATTGCCCTACAAACAACTTCATGTTTGATCAAAAATTAGTTCATATCATTTTGTTTGTATTTGAGACGTTCTTTATCATGTGAATAAATATCGTGAAAAATACTGAGCTCAAAATTGACATTTGATCCTTATTTGTCAGTTCATCATGAGCAAAAAATAAGGAGTTACAAAGCTCAAAGGCAGTAACTGTGTATGTTGGTGCCATTTTCTATGTTGCAGTTTAGGCTGAGATTCAGTTCAGATTCAGATTAATATTATAATTTATTTTATATGTGGTGATTGCATGTTACAGCATATTTAGGATTACATTACAGTACTATATTTGATCATTTGTATTTAATGTCATTTTAATTTAGTTTGAATTAGTTCAGATTAATTAGTTTAGAATTTCCAGATGTATAGCCAATAGGAGCTGACGCTTTGAGTTCACGCATGGATGTAAGGCAGGGGTGTCAAACTCATTTTGGTCCGAGGGCCGTATCCAACCTACTTTGATCCCAAAGGGGCCGGATCAGAAAACACATGGCATATAAACCCCAAAAATAACACGACGTTCAAATATTTGTGTAGAGAAACACAAATCTATCACACAAATCTTGTTTTAATTGATGAACTCTTTCTTTTACAAAATATTATAATATTATGAACAACCTGAAACTTAAAAAAAATGCAATTTCAGCACAATGTTTTAACATTCACTTGTAGAAATAGGAATAAGTAAATTTTTCTTGGAAAATCCTGCACTCGGCTCCACTTTTCTCATGTTGGACATTTTTCTGATGAGGGTGTCACGGTCAACAGTCAAAACGATCGTCCTTTAAGAGCGTTTGGAAAGAGACAAGTCTTCATTTGTGCTGCTCTGGTGGGAGGGGCCACGTACAGAGACGCTGGAGACGCTGCTGTGATAAACACCACAGAAAATTAACAAGATTTTAGTAGAAAATCTGCCGAGGGCCAGATTAAAGGTCTTGGAGGGCCGGATCTGGCCCCCAGGCCGTATGTTTGACACCTGTGATGTAAAGGAAAACCGTTACTCTGTTTTTGCTTGTGTGAGACATTCAGTAAAAGACGGGGCGAACACACTGTTTTCTAGGGGTGTGCAAAAATATTGAAATAGCGATATATCGTATCGCTTAATGTGATGATACAGTATTGATATTGTGGGTTGCTGTATCGATATATATCGCCAAGAGTATTTTGTGGTATATTTTACTCAATTATTTTGTTACAGAGCTACAGTTTTGGTGCTTGTTTAGAGGAAGGAAACTTTTTTATGCGACACATTTGATATTTTCACAGTTTTGATGATTAAAATGTTTGTTGAACTTTGCACAAAAAGTGGTTTAACAAAGACTTTTAGTATCACAGACATGATTTAGCCTTTATTTTTATTGAACTGTATCGAATCGATTTGAAATATATCGTATTGAATCGAAAGTTCACTGTATCGAGATATGTATCGTATCGTGGCCTATGTATCGAGGTATGTATCGTAACGGCAACTTCTTAATGATACCCAGCCCTGCTGTTTTCTACCGTCGTTAAAACCTAAACATGAGTAGACTCGTTCTTTCCGTCTGAAAATGGTTAATTTCCTGAATACGCAAACGGAGAACTCACAGAACACAAGAAGGGAAATTTAGTCACTACAGTGTACGTCCAACCTCTCGCTTCTTTCTTTTTGTTGTGTTCTTGGCACAAGGTCTTAACACATTAAATAAATACACCTTTGGATTCAATTATACTTCAGTCATCTTTAATATGAAAGTATTGGGTGTATTTATTCATGCTGTACACACTAAACTGCAAAGTCACTTGTGTCGAACTGTTTCACTGTGTAAGTGTCGCTGCTCGATCCTGATCAGCACTAAAAACAGGAAATCCAAAACTCTTTGATTGAGGATTTGCGTGTGACGTGGCAGTCACGTGATTTAATGTTTTGGCGGCCATACTGGAAGTCAAGATTGGGGTTGATCCGGATGGTGTTATTCAGTTTATAGTATAATCATGGCGACTTTAAACAGCGCAAACGACATGAAACTGTTCGAACTCACCAACTCGTTAGATCAGCCGTTATTAGAAAGGTGTAAAGCTAAAGTCGTCCTCCTGGATTGCGGAATAGATCCTGATCTAATTCCGATGAACTGCTTTGTTAGTTTAATCAACGCTCGCTCTGTGCCCAACGTCCAGTATCAGTTTTTTCATGTTAGATCTTCTTTCATTGGAAATAAGTGAACGTTTTGCTTTGCGTTTCACTGGCGATGGGACGTACGTGAATAATGACGGGACGTAATTTGGTGAAAGTGGGTTATCATTCTTCATACCTACGAAAAAAATTGGTATATATCATTTAATTTACTGTAAATCCTTTCTTCGTTTGTGTGGAGCTGGTCCCTCACCAGAAATGAAATGTTGACTGCACAGATGATTGTACTAAATGGACTCCATCCTTCTCTTTTTATGTCGCTCACCACCTCTGTCTGTGATCTTTATGATACTTTGACCTCCTTCTTTAGCAGATTGACTCCGGGCAGAACATCCAACAGGTCAAAACCATTGTTATTCAAATCAAATGTTATCACACACAAATACTCCACGTTGGTCAGTGTCGGGAAGGTGACTTTTAAAATGTATTCCCCTACAGATTACCGATTATATCTCCCAAAATGTAGTTTGTAACGTAATCCATTAAATTACTTAAAGTGAGTAACGTAATCTGAATACTTTGGATTACTTGGTTTGCTGTAGAGAAGCAAAGACTAGGATATCTTCACATAAGAAGTTTTGTCTGCTAAAAGACAATAAAAAGTCCAGACTTTACTTAACTAAATTAAAAATATTATTGATAGAAAAGGAGGAGGAGACACGTCCGCAGAGCATGGATTAGTCCTGTTAAATCCTGTTTGAGACCTGGTTTTAGTCCTGGTTTTAGTCCTGGTTTAGACCTAGTATAGTCTTGGTTTAGTCCTGATTTAGACCTGGTGTAGAACCTGGTTTAGATCTGGTTTTAGACCTGGTTTAGTGTCCGGCAATGAGTGGAATTACCGGAGAAAAAAAAAAAGGAATATAGCCCAAAATGTGAAAACAGGAAAATACCTGTGTAATCCATTTATTTCAACCAAGTAACTATAATCCAATTACCACTCACTGAAACTAACTGTAACTGTAACTGAACTGAAACAGTAACTGTAACTGTACTCATACATACTTGTACTCTGTACTCTGATTACATAACTCTGGTACATGTAATCTGTTACTCCCCAACACGGACGTTGGTCCAGATGGATAATTTGACTCCAATATGGCGGCATAAACACCAGGTCATGTGGTTTTGTGACACAGACGCAACACCTTAATATAATTTCATACAAACTCCATGATGACTCGATGTTGGTGAGGTGTTCTTATTAAGGATGGAAGTCTGGAGAAAATCAAGCAAATCATAATGATCATGTCGGTTTCTGCCTTTTGTCTTTGCACGATTCCTTATTTTTGGATCATGATACAAAGACAAACACAAGAACTGACAAATAAGGGTCAGTTTTGAGCTCAATATTTTTCACATACAAACATTTTTTTCATTATAGCAACAAGTTGTCAAATTTTCGGAGCTCTATCTATTCTACTTTTGTCTGGACAAAACAAAAACTTTGTCCAGAGTGTGAAACTGAGAAAAATTACTTCAGTTAATGTTTTTTTTTTGCCTTTTGTAGGGCAGAATAAAAGTCTTGTTCCTTGAAATGATCAAATTCTACCATGCAACCGTTCTGGTAGAGATCTCCAAGACCAGGGTGGGCAATTATTTTTTCCATGGGGCCACATGAGAAACAGAAAATATTGTGGAGGGCCAGAACAAAATGCTTAACTCAATTCTACATAATATGAATTGTATTTCTTTATAAAAAAAATAAATTTCATTGTTTTGAGCTGATCAGACTGGGAAGAGTTTATGTTATGACTAAGCAATGAAAAAGTGAGGTTGCCTTACAAAAAATGTCATTAAAAAACACCTCTAAACTAGAAGCAATGCAGCTTTAGTCCTTGCATGAGGTAAAATTATAAAATATGTTTATTTTGTATTTCTAAATGAGCTTAAACAAGCCGCTCAGAGTCAATCGACGGGCCGTAAGTGATTGCTTTTCGTAAAGTTCTTTAAAGCTGCACTGTGTAACTTTGTGGTGGATGGTGCAACTGCTTCGCTTGGAAAGTTTCATGATACGGAGTTAAGCTCAAGTATCTCCATGGAAACAAGCAAGAGATGCCACCAGACCAAGATACAGGTCAGATCTGTGCAGAAGATGTCCGCTGACTGTAGGTGTTCTTTCAGCAATAAACACACCCGTAATTGAATGAACAGAAGACGAATAAGTTTAATGCCACACTGTGAAACATTTCAGACAAAGTAAACCACTCGAATACTCCACGGAGACAAGTAAGTAGGGCAATTACAGGTGGTTTTATAGCTCAAAAATACAGAGAAAACAGGTATTCTGAGTGTGAGCGGGGTTGCCTCTCCACAGATCTGACCTGTAACTTGGGCTGGTTTGGTCTCCATGAAGATAGAAAGGTGTAATACCATGAACTGTGGAACAGTCTTCTGGAAAGTCTTCTGTGTGTTTATAAAATGTAGAAAGACGTAAACACAAAGAAAAAAAAAATATTGAAAAAGATGAGTCCGAACCTGGTGCTCTTTGTTCCCCCACAAATTACACAAACAGGTCAAAGGTCATAAATATATTTACAATAGCATATATGTGGAATTAGCATATTTTACATTTGATACAGTTTTGTATTTATAACAACATTTCAGGTGAAACTTATATTGAAATGTACCTCATGAAACACAAGAACCTCAGAGCTTCAAAGCAAAGTTCAGAAGTTACACAGTGATTGTCTCATCCTGGTTTTAGCTCCTGTGTTCAGATGTTTCACAGTCCAGAGACCAGAGACCACAGTCCAGTGTCTAGAAATTAGAATTCAGAGTCCAGAGACTAGAATTCAAAGTCCAGAGTCCAGAGTCTAGAGTTCAGAGTCCAGAGACCATCCTCCAGCCTCACACTCTTGGTGGGACCTTCCAGTAGTCACCCTTTTGGTGACTGTTCTGCTGCTGCTGCTGCTTTCCTCTGAGCTGACGCCTCCTGCAGGTCAGAACAGGCACAGGCTTTATTATAGTTATATATATATATATATATATATATATACACACACACAATAAATACAAATACAAAAAAGTTCAGAAGTCAAGTGTCAGGATTCAGATTCAAATAGAGACAGAACATTCTTCTACACAGATCAGTTCTTTTTCGTGGGCCGTGTAGGTGAAAAAGCCCCTCTGACCTCAGCCCTTTGGGACACCGGATGGAAATGAGCGTTTGGTTATAATAATCCAGTGTGTTTACATTCATGTTGTAGCTTGTCTGTCCACTAACAAGCTCTGTCCTAATAAAATAAACACACAAATAAATAAATGGGCGGGGGAGCAGTAGCTCTAGTACATATTGTCCTGAGGTAAAACACGTCGCCTTCATTGCCAAATATGAAAGGTGTGTGTGAGTGAGATTAGAGGTCACCCCAGGGCAGCAGTAATACAACTATAAACTATTTTACCAACAATATGTAATGAATGAAGAATGCAGGAAATTGCAGGAAAGTGGCAAATGTATTCTAACTTTTCATTTTTAGAAACTTTCCAGTGACCTGCCATTTACTATTTGGACCAAACACTGAAAGAATTAACGCACAAGTTCCACCCTGGGGTTGGTGTTTTCCCCCCATTGCTCTGTGGGCCCCTCTCTGTTGGCCCCTCTCTCTGTAGGCCCCTCTGTGTTGGCCCCTCTCTGTGTTGGCCCTTCTATGTTGGCCCCTCTCTGTGTTGGCCCCTCTCTGTGTTGGCCCCTCTGTGTTGGCCCCTCTCTGTGTTGGCCCCTCTCTGTGTTGGCCCCTCTCTGTGTTGGCCCCTCTGTGTTGGCCCCTCTCTGTGTTGGCCCCTCTGTGTTGGCCCCTCTCTGTGTTGGCCTCTCTCTGTGTAGGCACCTCAATGTGGCCCCATCAATTTGGTCCCCTCTGTGGTCCCCTCTGTGTTGGCCCCTCTGTGTTGGCCCCTCTCTGTGTTGGCCCCTCTGTGTTGGCCCCTCTGTGTTGGCCCCCTCTGTGTTGGCCCTCTCTGTGTTGGCCCCTCTCTGTGTTGGCCCCCTCTCTGTGTTGGCCCCTCTGTGTTGGTCCCTCTCTGTGTTGGCCCCTCTGTGGTCCCCTCTGTTGGCCCCTCTGTGTAGGCCCCTCTGTGTAGGCCCCTCTGTGTAGGCCCCCCTCTGTGTAGGCCCCTCTGTGTAGGCCCCTCTGTGTTGGCCCCTCTGTGTAGGCCCCCCTTTGTGTAGGCCCCTCTGTGTAGGCCCCTCTCTGTGTAGGCCCCTCTGTGTAGGCCCCTCTGTGTTGGCCCTCTGTGTGGCCCCTCTCTGTGTAGGCCCCTCTGTGTTGGCCCCTCTCTGTGTAGGCCCTCTGTGTAGGCCCCTCTGTGTAGGCCCCCCTCTGTGTAGGCCCTCTGTGTAGGCCCCTCTGTGTTAGGCCCCTCTCTGTGTAGGCCCCTCTGTGTAGACCCCTCTGTGTAGGCCCCTCTGTGTAGGCCCCCCTCTGTGTAGGCCCCTCTGTGTAGGCCCCCTCTGTGTAGGCCCCTCTGTGTAGGCCCCTCTGTGTTAGGCCCCTCTGTGTAGGCCCCTCTGTGTAGGCCCCTCTGTGTAGGCCCCCTCTGTGTAGGCCCCTCTGTGTAGGCCCCTCTGTGTAGGCCCCCCTCTGTGTAGGCCCCTCTGTGTAGGCCCCCCTCTGTGTAGGCCCCTCTGTGTAGGCCCCCCTCTGTGTAGGCCCCTCTGTGTTGGCCCCTCTCTGTGTAGGCCCCTCTGTGTAGACCCCTCTGTGTAGGCCCCTCTGTGTAGGCCCCCCTCTGTGTAGGCCCCTCTCTATGGGCCCTTCTCTGTGGCCCCTCTCTCTTACTTGATGATGTAGTAGATGAAGACGGCCACTGCCAGGAGGACGAGGATGACCACGATGACGACCGCTGCCACGACCCCGGCGTTGTGGCCGTTCTCGGTGAAGGTGAACAGACTGAACGTCTCACAGCGGCTGCCCGCGTACATGCTCTGACACCTGCACACAGCACCGGGTCACGTGATCAACACCGGGTCACATGATCTGAACACACCTGCGCACACTTGGACAGGTGAGAGGTGAGCGCACGTGTCTCACCTTCAGACAGACGTGGAATGTACCAAAGGAATCAGAGGAATGGCTGGAGGCTCATTTACCAGTCGGTCACAATAGTTGGCCAACTTTTTAGGTTCAGTGTTTCGTGTTCCTGTTTGGCTCTTGGCCCAAATCTCAGAGCCGCCAGCAGTCAGATTTTTTATTTTTTTTTAAATGGGTTTGTTGGCAGAGATAAGACATTCTAACAATTGAACAAATAGAGTAATCCCCGTGACATAAATAAATAATATAGTAATCAAATATTACTCAATTATATCATCCTTTTCACTCTAAATAATCCCACATGTACTTTTGGTGCAGTTAAACCTTCAGTTTAGTGGGACTTTTGTGTAATAACACGGTGTACTTAAGTTTAAGCTACAGATAATTCCTCTTGAATAATGGGCAGTACATTATTTAAACAGCACATCAGGTTAAACATAATCAACCCCCACACTAAAAGTTTAGTCACATATAGAGCAGTTTAGTTGGCAAACGACCAACGACCTAGATTTAGACCTAAATGTAGGATCTTATCAGATGCCACAAGGAGGATTTATGTCTTAACTTCCGCAAAAGCACCGGGTCCGTGTGGTACTTACATGCACGAGAGAGAGTTCATGTCGGGGAGTTTATAACAGGTCCCTCCGTTCATGCAGAAAGTTTCCTCCTGTCCACTGCATATGTTTCCATGTTCTACAAAGAACCACAACAGCTGTGAGCAAACACGAGACACATTTAAACCTCCTTTAAACTTTCTCTAAACCTCCTTTAAACCTCCTTTAATCTGTGAGGGTCTGACCTGCCATCATCAGGGTTTTCTTCGGGCTTCGCTGAGTCAAAACATCCACACAGGAGAAGCTCAGACCTGCGGAGAAAACTCTGTCACAAAGTTCTTCAGACAAAATCCAAACCAGAAAACAGCGCCCAGCCGAACCCTCCTCACCTGCGAGTGAAGTGCGAGTTTTCGCGGAGGTGCCACGGATTGCCTCACAACACTTTTGTGCGTCCTGGCCACGTGGGTGTGTCCATCCAACAAAAATGTAGCGATAGCAGTTCGTTCACATTTTGAATGAGGATCTGAACCAAAGGCCTGTACGAAACTACATTCTCAAGATCTTTGTGTGGGAGAAACACCCACGCGCTCTGACAGAAACTTGGAATTCCACAGTTTTGATTGAACGTGAATCAGACTCGGTCCAACTGTCGGGAGGCAGTGGGGCTGAACAGGCAGGTGACGGGCGCGTGGTGGAACAGGGTCTGACAGGTGCAGGCTGCTCGTGGGGCGCGTGTCTGACGCAGCAGCGCACGCACAAAGGGCATGAAAGAAACCGTGGGAAGGAAAAGACTTGAGTCCCGTTAGACGCCTCTCCTCTGTTTGTTCTGTTTCAACATTAATAACCTGTAATAATCTGCGTGGGCCGTGGCACCAGTGTAATTACAGAGGCCCCTGTGCCACGGAGGTTTCATCCGGGACATGAAAGAAGAGCGTGTAATGGTTTAAATTTCTGCTAAGTGATTCTCATGTAAAAGCCAACAACAAATAAAAATTTAAAAAAATTGACAAAATGGGCCTTTGTCATTAATTTTTCATTAATTACACATTTTGATTTCTCAGTATCCTACAAATATAATTCTTAGTTTTGGTTAATTTGTCACATTAGACATTGTTCATTTAAATATACTTTATTTATTAATACACTTCAGTTTCCCTTCCTTTTTAAAAATTGAATTATTATACATATATCACAGCAAAGTGATAGTGGAGTGTGAAACTGACTCTGACAGAATCACTTTTAACATTTTTCTCAGGGTTTATATGAGTCCAATCTGTTCTGAGTTAATTTAACATTTTTGGATGTTCATTAAGTAACACTGGACCAAAGTTCCCGTTTAACCCAGAAATCAAGAGTTACATTAACGTTTTGAGAGTAAATAGATAACACTTTGTAGAGTTATCCTGATTTAGCTAAACAACACAGGTGTTTTATTTTTACACTTTATTTTAGTTGATTTAATATTTAATTATGTACAAAACTTGTTCAAACTGGTCTTCTCTTGTGGAAGTTTGAAGTGGTGGGTGGGAGGAGCCAAATTAACACTAAGGGAAGTAGAATTAACTTCAGCCATATCAACTCTGGCAGATAACCCCAACTCGAAACCCCATTTAACTTTCAAATGATTAAAATAACACTTTTTGTGTTAAAAACAACTCTGAAATGTTTTACCCAGAAATTTTAACCCTCCAGTTTTTGCTGTGTACAGTATTATTCACTACACACACATAAAGCAGACATTTAGCTTCACTGAAAACAAAGAAAAACAAAACAAAAGACAAGAATGTAAACATAACTTAACATATGACAGTAAATCAAAACTAATACTGAACTGAAATAAAAGAGGCTTCAGCAAATGATTTTAGGGATGAGAAGATTTATCAAACTATGAATTAATTCTCTGTAGATGTTGGTTATTGAAGTGGCCTATTAGTAGTAGTTTCCACTCCTCATGCTCAACTGCAGCTCCACATGGTCCAGACAAAATCCTTGGAGGAGGTCGTGGGCTGGACCATGTGGAGGGGAAAACTGGTTTAAATTCTGTTTCATTATTTTTGTGTAATTGGTTTTATAGTTATTTTCAGCACAGTTTAGTTTATGGTAAACATTTTGATTTTAAAAGGAGACTTCGGCCCAGGAAAAGAAATTTTTGCTTTAAAAAGTGACCTGGAACCAAAACTCACCTGGGGGAGGTGCTTCCTGCTGGGCGGAGCACAAAAGCAAAGCAGGTGTCATCAAATAAAGGAGACTTCTGTGCAGGTTGTTTGGGGTTTTTGGATTTGAATTACTTATTACCTGGTCTCTGAAGGGTTGACCAGGTTTTGTATTCACCCTGTGTGTCTTTGTGTCTGTCCACTGTGATAATTCCGCCATTTATGGACTGATTGTCACCAAATTTGGTACGTGGGTCAAGCCCCTGTGCCCGATGCCACCAAAAAAAAAAAAAGTTTGGTGATGATCCGAGGTCATTTGAGGTCACACGGGTCAATTGAAAGGTCACGCCATTATAAAGGATCTGCAATTTCTGAACCATCTGCGACCTAAAATATTCACCCAATCATCACACAAGTTGGCAGACACATCAACAGTTCAAAGATGGAATAACACAAGATATGATGAAATACATCCATTTATTTACATGATTTGCAGGTCTTTGAAATTTGGGAAATAATTTTTGTTCCATGTTTCATACATGGTCTGTTTAAAACTTTAGAACCAAAAATGGTACAGAAAAAAGGTCAACAGTTTCATAAACTAGAGTACATATGTATCTGTTCAATACATTTTTATATCAGATGCATTAACTTGAATTTTTGGCCTTGCTGTTTACTTCTGCTTGATCAGGCCCTTATAACAAACAGCGATTTCTATCAGCACTGCAGTTTGTACCACACACACACACACACACACACACACACACACACGCACGCACACACGCACGCGCGCGCACACACGCACACACACACACACACACACACACACACACACACACACACACACACACACACACACACACACACACACACACGCACACACACAAACACACACACTCTCTCTCTGTGCTTTACACCAGTGATGAAGAAGGTGCCCGCGCCAAGTTCATTTCGTGGTCTCGTGCGTGAGAGAGTTATCGCGAGGAAGAACGAAGGTGACTATTTTTCTCCGTCGACGCGCTTGATGGCATTTGTTTCTCACAGTATGGACCACTGGGCTGATAGATAGGCAATTACAAAGGGTATTTTCTGTCTCACTGGACGTGTCTAGCCTCCTGTTCGTGTTTTTTTTTTTTTTTTTTTTTTTTATCGGCGGCGGTGCTGGCTTCTTTCTCGTTTTAACCTCTGCAGGCGCGCGTCCGTCCGTTCAGACCCTGGACAGCTCCTCTCTCCTCTCTCCTCTCTCCCTCTCGTCCTCGGGCTCATGGATTCCCTCGTATTTTCAGCAGGGGAGCCCCGCCAGCCCCGCGTTTCACCCCGCTCCGAGGACGCCGTTTCCCGCTTCTGGAGGCAGTGACAGCAGGCTGAACGCCGTCCGTGCCGAAGCATGGTCCGGAGGAGACGCGCAGGAGACGTGGCGATTGTGAGACGAAGCGCAGAGTGCACGCTGCGATCCGCATCCGAGCATCCTCCGCGCGCCGCATCCTCTTCTTCATCATCGGTGAGGAGTGAAAGTGTCTCTGTGTCTCTGTGTCCTCGGCTCCGGGACCTCAGGAGGAACCGGGAAGGACATGTTGTTCGTTGTAAAGCGAAGGCGAGGCTAGCAACCCACGCGCAGGCTATTTTAAGGCCACTGTACGGGCTAATAAGGCTCTCATTATTGTCCTCTGTTTTGTATCTGGCGCAACAAAATGAATAAATATGAATAATACAGTGCACTAGAAACAAGCAGCACTGCGATGTTGTGAGCGGGGGTGTAACAATAACCAAAATATCGTGATATCGTATCGTCAAAAGTCTCTCAGTAATATCATGGACCATCACAATATATCGAATTATGAGTTTCTTTGCTTAAATTCATTGTTATGGTGCAGTAATAGCTCAAAAAACAACGGGAATTACATAGACCATGATCCTTTGCTTCGTTTTGGTGCAAACTACAAGGAGAAATAACAGTTCTAAGCACTTTGGATTAAGTCTTGTCAAGGCGTTTTAAGAGGAAAAAGTAGCATATTCATGATTTAAAGTTCATGAAAAGTTCAGGGCCTACATCCAGGATATTGACTGAACTGATATATCAAATTACCATATTTTCCAGACTATTAGGCGCACTCATAAGTCTCTAACCCCATCAAAAAACGACTGCTCGCCCCACAATCCAGAGCGCCCTATACTACAGCGACCGCGCGGCGAAAAACACCCGCAGCCACACTCATCACTCCACGCCGACGAGGAACGGAACGGAGGAAAGAACCGAAAAAGCGAGTGCAATGTGGCACTTTTAGACACAACTGAACAACACTGAGTCACTGCGAACACGCCGACAATCCGTTGGTCCCAGACAGCACCCTCCCTACACGCCACAACTGAACAAAGCCCAGAGTCACCGTGAACGCACCAAACAAACAAAACCACTCACCCATCACACGGTTGTGTTTCGTTTAAAGTCCAGTGCGGTTGATTTGTGAAAAAAGTTCGAAAATAGACGCCTTATAATCCAGAGCGCTCTGTGGTGCGGAAAATACGGTACATGTCTCGTTGCTTAAATTAAGCGTTATGGTGCAGCAATAGCAACTACATCGACATGATTCTTTGCTCCGTTTCAGTGCAGACTACAAGAAGAAATAACAGTTCTAAGCACTTTTAAGTGTTTGGATTAAGTCTTGTCAAGGCATTTTAAGAGGAAAAAGTTGCATATTCAGAGTTTTGTTCATAACCTCCACAAAATATCCCAATAAATATCGTACAGTGAGAGGTATATCGTGAAAATATCGTACTGAGAGATTTGGATATTGTTACATCCCTAATAGACGCATCAAGAATCTCGGATTTCCGGTCACTGCGCAACTGGGAAGGATTTTCTAAAAAAGTGAGCATCAAACCGTTGTTTGTTTTCCCAGTGGGATGCGTCTATTGTCAAAGTCGATCTTTTCTAGTCTTTTTGAACCATATCACTTTTGTTTCTGGTTCTGATATTGTCATATTTTAGTTTTGGGATTCGGACATTGTAATTGTGTGGTTGTTGGATGTCCTAACAGCGGAAAACGGCTCGAGAAATTTGTTTGCAAACTCCATAAATGCAAAAGGGAATCAGATGTGTGTGACTCAAACCTCCATTCAAACTGTTTCTCTTCCCATCAGAATTGAAAAATAGTGAAAGGCGAAAGCGATGGGCAGGATTGATCCACAGAAAGGAACAAAAAGGAAACTTTTGACCGCCTAAATCATTCCGAGTTTTCAGCGAACATTTGGAGCCATCAAAGCAAAATCCCGATCCCTCACTCCACCTTTGTTACGAATTTAACAAGTCAACACCAAAGCGAAAGGCACCAACTGTCTCCAAGAAACGCCTTCCACTGCAAAGAGACCAAGACGTGATGTTGCTGTAAAACCATAAGAACAAAAATGTGCAAGCTCGGCCTCTTTGTCTTCTGTTCCTCTCGCTTAACAAACGGGATCCTGCTTTGATGGTGCTCCACATACAAAATGTTCTCTGCAAACTCGGGAACTACATAGACCATGATCCTTTGCTCCATTTCAGTGCAGAAATAACAGTTCTAACACTTTTAAGTCTTTGGATTAAGTCTTGTCAAGGCATTTTAAGAGGAAAAAGTTGCATATTCAGAGTTTTGTTCATATCCTCCACAAAATATCCCAATAAATATCATACCGTGAGATGTATATTGTGAAAAGATTGTACCGAGAGATTAGGATATTGTTACATCCCGTAATCGTGAGCTTTTCCACGATATCGCAATAAATATCGTACCGTGAGCTTCATACCGTGACAATATCGTATCATGAGGCTTGGATTTCGTTACACTCCGAGCTGTGAGCTGTGAGTTCTTCCTCTGCTCCTCTGTGAGTGTCTGGACTCACCTGTCTGTCACCTGAGTGTCGGTGTGAGGGTCCCCGTGAGGACAGAGCTGTGGCCTTGAGCGTGTTGTTTTTATGCATTTGCACAAACGCTGGTTAGTCACGCCAGTGGTGTCTCCGATGTGAACCTTTTCACTGGGCATCAATGACCGCCTGTTCAGTGGCACAATGACCTAGCATGCCCCGCACTTTATATTCAAGAGAGAGACGATCCTGAGCCCCAAGAACGGAGCAGAGTAAAGTGTATGAATGACACAATTAAACATATAAACGAAAACATACAGACATTTCTGCTCGTTTCAGTTCTTACCGAAAGCTTTCTCAAGTCTTGGACAGAATAGATGTTTTGTAGAATTGAGCAGATGATCCAAAAGTGCTCATATACACATCGCAAATTAATTTATAAGCCACTTTAGAAAGGATCATGGTAAATGAATGTGAGAGAATGTGATTATTTCAGACTCTCCGATGGGGCAAGAGCCAGATTTCCCTATTGATGGCTTTGTACTTTGCCATGAAATAAGGTAAATTCACAAATGTTGCACCTGATCACTTTTGTAATTCTTTATTTTTCATTTTTTAAGTGGTATGAAAAAAGCAAAGGGTTACACAGAATCTGGTCTTACAGTTATAATAAATTCAGTCCATTGTTTCCATTTGATCTTAAATTTGTCTAGTTGCAGTCTTATACTAAAAGTAATTCTCTTCATCTTAAAAATATTATAAACAATCTCAAAACAAACAACAAAACTTCATAATATTGAGTTAGAAGTTTTCCATTGTATCGTTCAGAAGTTTTGTATGAACGTTACAATTAAACATATAAACCAAAACATACAGATGTTTTCAGTTCTCACCGAAAACTTTCGCAAGTCTTGGACAGAATATGTGCTTTGTAAAAGTCTAAAAGTGCTCACATACACAACACATGTAAATTTATTTGCCAACTTTGTAGGAAAGATCATGGCAAATGGAAAAACATGCTAAGAAAAATATTATGGAGTAAGAAAGCTTTTAGAAATATTCGTGTGCATAGGATAGAAATCTGTGCATATTTGTCTTTAGTGGAGCATAAAATAAATATTCGTAAACTCTTGAATGAGTCCAGTCGTACATAAAATGTGTTGTGTGTATTTTATCCATCAGAATATGAATTGAAAAGTTACAACATCAAGAATTACAATCACAAAATGAAAATTTACAATTATTCTTTCTTCAGGACGAATACGAATTCACAGATGCGACTTTACTGTCAAAAATTTATCATCACTTCACGGGTGTTATTTATTGAGCAGAAGAATTATTGACTGACATCACGGACGTTTGCACCGCATATGGACTGAACCAAGACTAAACCAAGACTGAACTAGAACAAAACTAGGAATGAACTCGAACTAAAACAGGACTAAACCAGGACTAATCAGGACTGAACCAGGACTGAACTGTGACTAAAACACAATGTTTGTATTTGTCCTGAAGAAAGCGTAATTGTAAATTTTCATTTCATGACTGTAATTCTTGATGTCGTAACTTTTCAGCTCGTATTCTAATGGATAAAATACACACAACACATTTTATGTACAACTGCACTCATTCAAGAGTTTACAAATATTTATTTTATGCTCAACTACAGACAAATATGCACAGATTTCTATCCTATATACACAAATATTTCTGAAAACTTTCATACTCCATAAAATACAAATTAAATAGAAAAAAATAGGGGTGTAACGATATCCAAGTCTCATGATACGATATTGTCACAGTATGAACCTCACAGTATGATATTTATTTTGGGAAAGCTCACGATTAGGGATGTAACAATATCCAAATCTCTCGGTACGATATTTTCACAATTTTACATCTCACAGTACGATATTTATTGTGATATTTTGTGGACAAGACTCTTAATACGCTACTTTTTCCTCTTAAAATGCCTTGACAAGACTTAATCCAAAGACTTAAAAGTGCTTAGAACTGTTGTTTCTTCTTGTAGTCTGCACCAAAACAGAGCAAAGGATCATGGTCGATGTAGTTCCCTCTGTTTTGTAACTCTTAATTTAAGCAAAAAAAAATTGTGATTTGATATGTTGTGATGGTCCACGATATTACTGAGAGACTTTTGACGATACGATATCACGATATTTCAGTTGTTGTTACACCCCAAGTAACAAACTCTGATTTCTTTTGTTTAGAAGTGAAATGAGACAGACGACAGCGGTGGAAGCACTAAATTTGGTGTGAACATCTGAAACAAGACCTCATCATGAGCAACAAGTAAGTTTATTCATTATCCAATCCAATTTTATTATTACAGCATCGCCTTTCTGTAAATGTGAATTTGAAAGAATCCACGTCGAGGGCTCGGTCTGAAGCTTTTTTATTTCCTGTCAGGATGAAAACAATGAACAGAGATGAGAATGTGCACTGTTCACTTAATGCCAGGGCGTGTGTGGGCACGGGCGAGAACATGGCATTCGGAGCCAACTGTTGACAAGTTTAAGCCACGTTTTGACACTGATAACCTGATAACCCGATAACCGTCAGAACTCTGATCTCCTGCTTTTTGTTGATTGATTTTCAGTTTGATATCGTTGTTTGTCAGGAGGAAATCTAGGCCACGGTCGGCATTCTTCTAAATCGTGAAATGTAAATAAAGTCAGTGGTTTACAAGGGAGGGACGAGACACGAGATTAGGTCCACGAGAATGAGATAAGACGACATTTTAAAATAATTTATAGTAAAATAATTGCGCAATACCGTTGGCAGTTTTGGTTTAAAAACATGTATTTATTTATTTATTTTTTTAAACTTATTTTTATTAAATAATTTTTGGTGCAAGCCACATAGTTATGAAAGAGCAGTAAAAATAAAATAGAAGTAAAATGACAATAAAGTTAGAGTGTAGTTGCAATCATACACATACACTATATCATAACAAAAAATAATAATAAATCCTATAAAAAGTAGACATCTATTTGAAATATAGGTTTGAATTGAGGATTATTTGTCTATGAATAAGAATAAAGTCTCCATTTGTAACCTTGCAGTTATTTGCTCCATAATATACACATCTTTTATTTTATTTTTCCGCTGGGTAATTGTGGGGGGCGGCGGTCTGAGCCAGGAGACCGTTATCATTTTTTTGGCAATTAAGAGTAAAATTTTCAGCAAATGAAAATTACAATTTGCTCTTATGTCATTTGGAAAAATTCCCAACAGTACAATGGATGGCTGTAATATCATGTATTTAATATTTTTGTTGTAGAAGTTAGTGGACGTACTTTTTGGAACCATATCTCCCCCAAGAAATGTAACTTGCCTCCCCTCTGACCAATCCCCCTCTCTATTTTTATAATTATGATCTTATTCTTCTCTTCTTATCTTATTATTTCATAAAGGGGTCACGTTTCTATAATACAGTCTACTCACCCTTTGTATCTTCACACAGGGTTCCTCCTCAGGCCAGAGCCTCAGATTTGGAGGTGATTTCAGCTCAAGTGGACGAGGAGCCCCAGCGCCTGGCTCCCGTCCCTCTGGTCGGTTTCGCCTACAGAGACCTGCCCCTGGACATGTCCCTGGCCGGCTCCCAGCTCATCTCCAACCCGGACGAGGACGACAACAGAGACGGGTGAGGCAAAGATCCTGGTCCTGTGCCAACAAAATGAAATTCAGATTGTTTGTGGGAATTACCAAGTGTCCTAAGACTAAACTAAGGTATTTAAAATGTTACACGCCTCACATTAATCACAAAAGCACATCAACAATAGTAAGTAGGAGTTATGAAATTAAGGGATGACAGTGGCAGAGCTGGTTATGTTTTTTTGTCTGTCACCCATTGGGCTGTGGGGTGAAACTTACTTGAGCTTTTACATAACGATTCTCTCCCTTCTGTCTCCAAACTGAATAAAGCCTTTAGTTCAAAAAGCTCATATCACCTGCCTGTATTGTATTAGACGTTACAAAACCAATGCAGAGGTTCAGGAAGTTCTTCTGAGTAAGTAGTAATGCATTTATTCCCACTCAAAGAGCCTCCATCTCCGGCAGCATCCGGCCGCTCATAACATTCAGATACAGATTCAGAGACAGATACACGGAGGTAGAATGTGAGCAGTGAAACTGTTGTAAGATTGGAATGTTTGATTGTGGGATGTAGACATTCTCTGCAGATGTGTCACAGGTTTTACTCTTTCCTCAAAAGTGTTTCATCACACCGCCCCAGGCACGAAAAATGCTCAGTATGTGAGTGCCTGGTTTCAAATGACATCACCTCCTTCACAGATCTGTGGAGTCTGAGCCGGGGCAGTGACCTCTGCAAACGAGCCCGGGTTTGAGCTCTGCCCGTGTTTTCCAGTTGTGTCTTTTTGTGTTACCTGTGTTACCTGTGTGACCTGTGTTACCAGAGTGCAGCTTCTCCGTTTGGCTCAGATGTTTTTACACAAAGACCTGAGTGTGACCAGTTTGTGTTTGTGTGTTTGTGTGTGTGTTTGTGTGCAGGTCAGACTGGCTGAAGCCGTGCTGTGGGCACCGTGCCGCCCTGTGGCAGGTCTGTCTCCTCTCCGCGGGCTTTAACTGTTTCCTGGTCTTCTGTGTGGTCGTGGTGGTGCTGCTCCTCACTCTGGAGCTGCTCATAGACACCATGTTACTGCAATGTAAGTATTTCTGTCTCTTTAAATTCTGAACACTAATTTACCATATTTTCCGGGCTATTAGGCACGCTCTTAAGCCTCTAACCCAATCAAAAAACAACTGTGCGCCCCACCCCGCAAGCCAGAGCGCCTTATACATGAATCCACTCGGGTGTCCCAGCACAACTTCAGTAAACTACAAAGCCGCAGCGCACGCAAACACACATGGAGCAGACAGCGACCGCACAGCGAAAAACACCCACAACCACACTCATCACTCCACACCGACGAGGAAGGAACTGAAAAAGCAAGTGCAATGTGCCACTTCTAGACACAACTGTACATCTGAGTCACTGCGAACACGCCGACAATCCAGCGGTCCCAGACAGCACCCTCCCTACACGCCACAACTGAACAAAGCCCAGAGTCACCGTGAACTTGGAGTTCATGGCTGCATTTAACTATCCAGGCTGGTGTCACCTAGTGCCTCCATTCAATTTAATTTCTCTCTAGGTCAGGAATCAGAATACACTAGACGGTTTGCAAGAACCCCGGAAGTTGTAGACCGCGCATCGGCCAATCAGTGAAGAGCTGTGAAGCCATGACGTCAAACTCAAGCGCCTGTCTGGGTCCCTTTTGTGAAACAGCACAACAGTAAACAAAGCGTCGAGATGGATGTAGATGAAGACATACATTCTGTGTTGGCATCGAGGATTTAAAGCTGGAACAAAGAGAATGTTATCAAGGGGAAAGACGTTATTGCCCTTCTTCCTACGGATTTGGTGCATTACATACGTCACGACCAAATAGCAGCGATTGGTTAAATAAAAAAAGTACTCGCCTACCGTCAAGTGAACGAATCCTAATCCTGCGAGGTCAGACGGTTTCCATCAAGTGAAACTGTCTGACCTCGAATCAGGCCCAAATTTAACACAAAAACAGTGAATATGAGCCCACATGACAGTTGAACCAAAATAAGAGATTGTTGCAGTGATCAGATCACTGGTGATTTTTATCCTCACTTTGCTCTGCCTTAATTTAATTGAAGAGAGTTTTTACATTCAGAAACAGAACTTCAGTCACAGTTTTGATGTTTAATTATTTTTTGTGGTTTCTGTCCTTGCAGTTAATAACGCGGTGCAGTTCGCCTGTGTTATCCATTGGATCAGTCTGGCCATTCTGTCTGTCTTCTTCACTGAGGTGAGTTTTTCTCCTGCACATTCTGGGGTGTCAAAGTGTGACTCCAGCTCAAGTGGGCGTGAAAAATGAAACCTCGAAATGAACCATGACTCAGTAACAACAAAGTCACATGACCAAAGCGTGCATACATTTCACACACACCGGTAATAAACCTTTCTATAAACTTTAGAGTATTTGTAATACATTCAAATCCCCAGTAGATGGTAGCATTTTGAGGCTTCATGTTAGTGTTTTGTGTTAGGATTGGCCTCATTAGTTCACAGGGCTTCGTTTTTCCATCATCAGCAGTTTTGCCTCACAGCCACATGGTTCTGGGTTCAGTTCTCTGGTGTAAGGTCCAAACATTTGTGAAACCATAGATTCACACTTTGCGCACCTTGTTCCACCTTTTGAAATAAATAAAAGTGAAATAAATCCACAGAGATCGATCCAAGTGCAAAACTCTTATAGCTGAGGACATAAAACGTACAGCAGTGGAATTTTTACAGGTAAAGGGCGACAGGCGACTCCACACTCCCATGATGCACCTGTGCTCATCTGAAATAAGGAGCCATAGACAAAAAATAATACAAAAAGTAAACAATACTGAGGTAAACGCATGATTAACATTAGCAATAATTAATTGAAAGCAAAATGTAAATGGTTCAAATTATTTTAAAGCAAATAATCACCAAATAATCATGTTACGAATGACCAAAATGACCAAAAATCATGTGTTTTAAGTTCATATTAAATGAAACAAAACTGAAATAATTATCTCATTCATGAAAATATTACAAAAATTACAAAACTGGGTTTAGGCTCCAACACCGAGTGAGACTTTTTTATCTGTGCAGTTTGATGTAAATGAAATGTAATCTTCTTTTGGACGTCTTAAACAGTTTAATAGAATTCCATCATGACTTCAGATTTCCCGTTTGTCTACAGACGGTGTTCCGCATCGTGGTGCTGGGAATATGGGATTACATAGAGAACAAAGTGGAGGTGAGCCCCTGCTGCGTCTTATTCATCCTTCAGTCACAGTTTAACAGTTTAACAGCCCTCGTCGTCTCGCAGGTGTTTGATGGAGCGGTCATCGTTCTGTCCCTCGCGCCCATGGTCGCCTCCACGGTGGCGAACGGCCCCAGCAGCCCCTGGGACGCCATCGGCCTCATCGTGACCCTGCGCATCTGGAGGGTCAAGAGGATCATCGACGGTCAGTGTCTAAATTAGTTAACAGAGTGAATCGCTGGGTTTCAGATCACATCTCAACATTCTATAGGACAATATTATTTAAAACAGTCTGGCCAAAATGAATATTGCTGAAATGGAAATTTTTGTTGTGACCAGTGAGCTCTCAGGTCTAATCAAGACAAGCCAAGGCAAGTTTATTTGTATAGCACAATTTGTACTCAAATCATAAATAATCTAGCCTGATTCATCAGACGGTTTCACTTCGTAGAAACCGTCTGACCTCGCAGTGTTAGATTTCTTTCGCTCGATGGTAGGTGGGTACTTTTTATCATTTAACCAATCGCTGCTATTTGGTCGTGACGTATGTAATGCACCGCTCGCATGCCCTTCTTCCCGTAGGCAGCAACGTCTTTCCCCTTGATGAAATTCACCAAACATTCTCTTTATACCGGCTTTAAATCCTCGATCTCTGGAATCGAGACAACACAGAATATATGGCTCTTTGTTGATTGGCTGGTACGTGGACTCGCACTTCTGAAGTTTTTGTGAACCGTCTAGTGTATTCTGATTCCTGACCTAGTCGCTGGAGAGAAATGAAATTGAGTGGAGGCACTAGGTGGTGCCAGCCTGTTTATAAATAATCATCATAAAATTTAAAAGAGAGAGGAGAGACATTCAATTAGAGAGAAGAGTGTGGAATGAAAAATGAAAACGTTTAGTCAGACGCAGCTAAACAGAACCGTTTTGAGCCTGGATTTAAACAGAGTCAAAGTAGAGTCTGTCTCACATCTTCAGGCTGTTCCAGGTTTTAGCTGCATGAATCTGAAACTGTGACTCCCCTTGTTTAATCCTGACTCTGGGCACCAGGAGGAGGCCGGTCCCAGAGCTCCTCACAGTGCCAGATGGTTCATATGACACTAAAATGTCACAGATGTACTTTGGTGCTCGACTGTGGACAGACTTGTACATAAGCAGAGCCGTTTTAAAGTCTCTGAGCCACAGGAGCCAGTGCAGAGACCTGAGACCAGGACTTAATGTGCTCGTACTTCCTAGTTCGAGTCAGGACCCGAGCTGCAGCGTTCTGAATGTTCTGCACCGTCTCTCACAGCTCGTTACAGAAGTCTAATCAATAATAGAAAAACATTATTGCATTCACTTTTTGGATATTTCATGATAAAGTACAAATTGGTTGTTTTCAGATTGGATAAATTTCAGACTCTCAGATGGAGCAGCAGCCAGATTTCCCTATAACATGTGAAACCGTCAATATGTAAATTCATACATATTGAACTTGATCATTTCTATTAGTGTCTAGACCCAAGAACTCACTATTTAACCACTAAAAACTAAACTTAACTAACTAAAACTATTCATTTTAGTTACGCCCATCTGTGTTAAATATTATTGCCCAATAGAATGTTACGGTGTCATCTGAAACCCAGTCATCCTCACTTTTAAGGGTGTATCCAACATGAATGGTATCAGTGGGAGATTGAGACACTGCGCCCCCTTGTGTTGCAGCTTATGTACTGCAGGTGAAAGTGGAGCTGGAGCTGGAGATCCAGCAGTTCGAGAAGGCCAAAGCCATTCGAGAGGAGCAGCTGGAGCGGCTCACTCACATCTGTCAGGAGCAGGCCGTACGTGCAATGTTTTACCTCTAAACAGCCAGAAGAGGGCGGTAGAGAGCTATTTTACTATTCCAGCTACAGTAGTGTGTTCAGAAAGTGTTTAAAAGTGTCTCTGTCTGAAGTTACTCAAGTTAGACTTTAATCTGAGCTTTATTTTAACTCAGATTTAGACTTAGACTAACTTTATTGATCCACAAGGGAAATTATTTGGACACAGCAGCTCACACATCACAATATAATATAAAAACAAAGATAAAAAAAAAATATAAATGGTAATAATAAATTCTAAATAAGTAGCCAAAAAAAAAAAACGTGTCACGTGTCAAATAAGGCATAATTATAAAAACGTAAATGTACAAGTCAAAATAAAATAGAAAAAATAACTAATAAAATGTAAAATCTCAGCTTTACAGGACATAAGGTTATCCGTAACATAAGGGTGAATTGTTGTACAGTTGTAGGGAGTATTATATGCTACATAAAAACACAATCTGACCAAAAAGAACTGACTTAGCTGGAACTACAACTGGCTGAGCTGATCTGTGCTGTTAAACAAGTCTCTCTTAACATGACAGCCAAGTTTTTAGTTTAGTTTTTAGTTTTTAGTAAAATTTTTAGTTTTTAAAAACTAAAAAGTTTTTAGTTTTTAGTTTTAAGTTTGTCACTCTCACTGTTTTGTTGAAAATTAAACACCTACCCTGGACCATGAACGCTTGTATTGAGCACAGGTTCTGTTGGTCTGTTGTTTAAATCAATTTTTTATTTTTGTTTTGAATTTTCAGACAATCTTAAACTTCTTCGCCAGCGTTTTCTAGTGCTGAACATTCCTCCACACACATGCATGTACAACACCCCCAGCTTTACATCCCTGCAAAGTATCAGTATGCAGTAAAATGAGAGATTTGTATTTATAAAGGACAAAATCATCATAGAAGTTTGTAAAAATGTTTTGCTGTTTGCTCAGTTTGAGATCCGTCAGCTGAGGGCGCACCTGGCGCAGCAGGACCTGGACCTGTCGGCCGAGCGGGAGGTGGCGCTGCAGATGACCCGAATGTGGGGCAAACGCAACAGCAGCTTCCAGGAGGTGGACGGGCTGGAGCCGAGGGGGCCGAACAGGACACGAGAGCCGGGGGAGGCCACAGGTAACGCCAGAGTCAGAGGTGTTGGGGTTAGGGTTAGTCCGTTTACAATATAATGTTGCCTCGAGAATAGGGTTTCATTCTCTCTTCTTCTCTCACCCTCTAATAAAAAAAAAAAAAAACTAGGGCTGTCAAATTATCTTTTTAATTGCAGTGGCCGGTATAAACTCTGGAACTCTTTGCCCATTGATTTACGGTCCATCCCTGACCTGCTTTTGTTCAAAGCCAAACTTAAAACCTACTTATTTAGAATGGCTTTTAACACTTAGTGGCTCTGTGACACTTTCTTTATTTTAATGGTGTAATGTGCTTCGGTGACCTATTTGTATGATGTTTATTGTTTTTTTTTAATCTTGTTTTAATGTTGTACAACACTTTGGTCAGCTTTGGTTATTGGAAGGTGCTATAGAAACAAAGTTTGATTGATCATATTTACCGAGTTATGTTTTTCAATTGTGTTAATCTCATTTTTAATCTCTAACGTTACTGTTTCTGTTTGCGAGTCGCCTTATTATAAAATCCGTTTTTAGGTGTTGGGGGCACAGTCTCGCTCTTGCAAAGAATTTAAATTTTTTTACATTTTTCCTGCCCACATCTGAGATATTTTGTCCCGCTCTCGCCCGCAAATCCCGCAAGGTGGAGACGTTCGCTTTCTTAAACTCTATCAAACACAGAGAAGCATAAAAGAATTGTCTAAAATGTGCGAGAGATTAGACCACATATGCACATTTAGGCTGCTTAAACTGTTTTTATTAATGCCAAGTAAAATATTCAGCACAAATGATTACATTACATTAATCATTTGTATATTTTACTTCATATTTAGTTTGTGGGACGGCAGTTTATCATTCCACCCGCCCGCTCTTGTACTGTCCAGTCCTGCTCCCACAATGAGCTTTCAAAATGTGTTCCGCTCCACACTGTTTTGCATCAAGTCCCCACTCAGATTTGATTTGTATTTTCTAATTATTTACAGTTTGCCAAAAGAACACAGTGGAATGTAAACGACTGCATCTGTTAAAGTTTGTTAAACAACAAATCACTTTTTCATGTCACTTTTTAATTATACATCATATGTCTTTTGATCTGCCACAATAATGTAATGTAATGTAATGTAAGATGAGTTAAGAACAGTTGATAGTCAAGGTCAGTTAAATACAATCAATCAATGAATCTGCCCAGGGACGACAGGTGGAAATTAGCGCTGATGCTACAATCTGATGTACAAAGCATCTCTCCTGTTAAGGTTAATGTAAAAATTGTGCACTGTCCCTGTCTCAAATAAATAAATAAATAAATTAATTAATTAATTAAATTAAATTAAAATTTGATTAATTTGATAAATTTATTACAGATCATAATTAATTAATTAATCTCTCTTTTTTATATATATAAAAACAAAAAACAATTGTAAAAAGTCCATATTAGACTAAATATTACTCTAACTACATTTAAACTGCCAGCTACGGAAGAGTCCCACATGCAGAAAAAAGTAAAATGTGTGCGTGTGCTCGTGAAAAAACATAAGTCGCCGTCTGTGATGAAGGGTTTTATGACACAGCGATCCAGTTTTCACAGTTCTACTTTTTTTTTTTCAGATCACAGTGGTCAAGACGACATGAATAATTACATCAGCCAGTACTACAGTGAACCCAGCAGCGGTGAGTTCACATACACAATCGTATTTTCTTCCTTGTTTTCAGTATCTACAGGTGCAGAACTTTTTAAATTCTCTTTACAGACATGGGCATCCCAGACCCAGCCGCCCGCGTCATCACCACAGCAGCCATCGACGTGCACCTGCCCACCAACCCCAGCCAGCTGCCCTCCACCCTGGTGAGCGCAGAGGGCGTGAGCTCGGGCCGCCTCCAGGCCACAGAGAGCTCCGTGAGCGAGGGCTCCAGCATCGACCTCAGCTCCACCGTGAGAGAAGCGTCCACCTCCACGGACTACCCCCCTCCCTACAGCAGCCCTCTGGTCCGGGGCAGTCCCAGCGCCGTGGTGCAGGAGCTGCTCTCGTCGCTCTCCGAACACTCGTGTCTAACTCAGAAAGGCCTCGATCCCGTCAACCTCAAACCTCCCAGTCCCACAGGCTCCAACAAAAGCAGCCCCGAGCTAGAACACAGGCTGAACATCTACAACAAGAACCAGGAGAGGGCGCTGCACGGGAAAGCGCTCATCCAGCTTCAGAGCAACGAGCCGTTAGTGGATGAGAAGCGCAGACTGATGGAGCCCGTGCAGACCTCGCTGAAGCGCCTCTCGAAGACATGACCCCTGGGCTGGTGTCGCGTAGAAGCATGGAGCTTTTAGAGCATCCTGGGTCTAACCTGCACTGTCCAACTGCTCAAACTACTCTCTTCTTTCAGGCTACTCTTCAGGAACAGACATTCAACCAAAACTGTTGGCAGCAAAGAAGCTTCAGACGAGATTAGACGAGATGTGTTAACTTCTTGGGTTCTTTTTAAAGACAAGTACAGAAGGGTCACGTCTCAGTTATCTTTCCTCGCTTCCTTTAAATTGATTCTTCTTCTCGATTCAGCTCTCAGACAAATGCGCCAGGTTAAGTGATGTCCCAAAGCTCAGAGGAGGCAAGGGAAGGAAACCAAAGAGGAAACATGAATGGAGATTCAGAAGGAAGACATTGGATAAAACAATAAAACTGTATTCGTCTTAGTGATAAGTACAGATACAGGGACAGCAGTAAAGGAATTTGACTTTAAAACTACTTAAAAAAAATCTTCAAACACATTTATCTGAAACCAAACAGTGATCTGACATTGATTTAAAAGTCCAGAAAGAGTAATTCCTTCATGTAGTCCTCTCTACAGGGTAATTTTAGTCTCTCTCTTCTCTGTGTCTCCTCTGAGTGGGACTTCCTCACCCGTTTTCTTCACAATCGAGGAGAGGAATCAACGAGAAGGAAGCGAGGAAAGAGAAATGAGATGCGGCCAAGGAGATGTATTTACTTTGTTGACGTTTTGGCTACTGCTGCTGTGAGGCATTTTCAGAACTGTCACTGGTGTTGGTGGTGACCAGCCGTGTATATCAACTTTTTATTTACTTCCCGTAGACACTCGGGATGTAACAATAACCGGAATATCATAATGTATCACAATAATGTCAAGTCTCTTTGCTTAAATTAATATTTACGGTGCAGCAAAAGCTAAAACAGAGGGAACTACATAGACCATGATCCTTTGCTCCGTTTCAGTGCAGACTACATGAAGAAATAACTGTTCTAAGCACTTTTTAATCTTAATTCTTTGGATTATGACAGAACCAAAGACTTGTCAGGGCATTTCAAGAAGAAAAAGTAACATATTTACAATTTGGTCGCCTTCACATTTATATCATATCGTGAAAATATCGTAGCAAGAGATTTGGATATTGTTAAAATAATATCGTGGGTCATCACAATAAATCGAATTACAAGTCTGTTTGCTTAAATGATCTTTTTAGCGCCGCAATAGAGCAGAGGGAACTACAAAGACCATGATCCTTTGCTTCATTTCAGGGAAGACTACAAGAAAAAATAAGAGTTATATATCGTACTGAGAGATTTGGATATGGTTCGTAAACGCCTCCCGCCAGAGACCACCAGGCGACAGGGGGCGTGGTCAGTAGGAGGCGTGGGCAGTCTGACCAGGCTGGCCACGCCCACATGTAGAGCGAAATACGACACGTCAACACCAATGACAGGCCTGAAAATGCTCAGAGCAGCAGCCGAAATATGTCAACAAGGTAAAATGCACCTCCCACTGTATTATTTTTAAAAAGAACCCAAGAAGTTAAAGGTGCATTGTGTAACTTTTCTGGTGAAGCGTCTATCAAACACTTTTCTCCATGGAGATGTTATTGCTTTGTCCGGAATGTTTCACAGTATGGCATTAAGCTTTTCTATTTTCATGCAGATAAAACCAGACCAAGTTACAGGTCAGAGCTGCACTGCAAATATCTTGGCCAAAATTGAGGATATAAATGTTTAAATCTATCGGGAAATGATTTACAAGTCGTGAAATGATTTGTCCATGCAGCGAGATCATTTTACTTGACAAGTGATCTTAAAATAAACGACCTCTAGACTAGAATTAAGCCATCTCACAATTAGAATATCTGTTTTTCTGAGTATTTATGAGCTCTAAAACCACCTGAAATTGATTAAATGTAAAGTAGAGCTGTTTAAAGTCATACTGTGGAACATTCCAGGCAGAGCAAGGACATTTCCATAGAAACAAGCAGCTGAGGTGATGGATCCTGGTCCAGAAAAGCTACACAATGCAACTTAAATGTACAAAAAAAGACAAAATGAAGGTTTTTGGATGAAAATTACATGTGATTTCTATTGAAATTTCATGAAGCTGCATAGATGTTTTGGCTCATTTGATACACTTTTTAACAATTTAGATGCCGATTTTATTAATAACGAGCTCTTTGTAACTTCAGCGAACATTTGATCACGTCGACTTGACTGAATTTTGTGGAAATTCTTTTATTTTATTCGGTTGCGGTGTTGGTGCGTTCATGTGCCATACGGGGGATATAGAACAAAAGAATAAAAAATAATAAAATCAATTCTGTTAACTGGACAAAAGTTTTAGATTAAAGAGTTCTGCTCAAACTACAGGTGGACAGTGCTTTAAAGCTGCATTGTGTAACTTTTCATCTGCTTGTTTCCATGGATATGTCAATGCTCTGCCTGGAATGTTCCACAGTGTGACATTAAACAGCTCGACTTTATTCTTTTTTTTTTCAATTGCAGGTGGTTTTACAGCTCAGAAACACTTACAAAAACTGTGCTTTTCTCCATTGTTTTGTCTGGAATGTTCCACAGTATGGCTTTAAACCTTTCTATCTTCACAGAGACCAAACCAGACCAAGTTACAGGTCAGATCTGTGGAGAGGCGACCCCACTCACAGTCAGAATGTCTGTTTTTGTAGGTATTTTTGAGCTCTAAAACCACCTGTAATTGTATAAATGTAGAGTGGTTTAATGTCACACTGTGGAACATTCCAGGCAGAGTGATGACGTATCCATGGAAACAAGCAGGTGACGAAGCCCTAATTAAAAAGTTACACGGTGAATCTTTCATAATAATACACACTGCAAAAAAAGCTTAAGATATAAACACTTAAATCTATTACAGGGTTTCCACTCTTTTTCACTGACAAAATTTCAAAAATTTTCCATGACTTCTCCATGACCTCAAGTGAATTTTCCATGACGGCACCTACATGTGTAGAATTGATCAGACTTTTAGGGCTTAATCTGAAATGTTAACTGTTTCCACTCACTTTATGGTTTGGGATTATAGTTTTTTAACATTCAAAATCCTGTCAGTGTTATTGTCGTCTCTTTTAAAGTGACAGTTTGGAATTTGGACATAGATCATCATTTCCTACTGAGCCAGAGTGTTGGAGACGTGTGGAGACACTTTTATTTTTTTTTTTAGTTTTATTTATTTAAAAGGGACAATGCATATTCATGAACATATACTTGTAAATACACCAGAATTAGCCCAAAGGCTACTTTTTATCTGTAGTCCCTGGCAGGTCAAAGAGATCGAGACATAAAACATAAGAACATAAAACACGTCACAATAGACAAACACACAAGCATGACAAACAACACTGACATTTACACAGGAGCAGAACATTAGTGATCACTTTTTAAAATATTCCATCCAGTCCTTGTATTTGCAGAGGTCACTGGTGCTAGACTAGTGCATGTCAATGGTCATAGTTATCCTGCCACTAAAAACAGTCTTACCCACTCCACAAAACACTCGAAACAAATCTATTATTACACCAGACTGTCGATGTAAATGTTTGTGTTGATAGAATAATGTTTGAAATAAAAGTAACCTTGCAATTGCATGAATCGTCACACATTGAGGGACTATTTTCTCATATATCAGTTCGCCGCTGCCGAGCTTTCTATCAGGAAGCACAACTCACTGCTGCTGCTCAAACATAAATCCTTCAAATGCAAGGTTGGTTTTACTTCAAAAATTATTCTATCAACACAGACATTCACATCGACAGTCTGGTGTAATAATAGTTTTTCTTTGGGTGTTTTGTGGAGTGGGTAAGACTGTTTTTAGTGGCAGGATAACTATGGCCATTGACATGCACTAGTCTAGCACCAGTGACCTCTGCAAATACAAGGACTGGATGGAATATTTAAAAAAGTGTCTCCAACACTCTGGCTCACGAGGAAATGAGGTCCCTATGTCCAAAATTCCAAACTGTCCCTTTAAGTCTCGTCTTAAGACCCAGTTTTACTCTCTGTCTTTTAACACCGTGTGAGTTGTGTGCTCCTGTGTGTGTTTTATTTATTTACTTGATTTATTTTACTTATTTACTGCTATTTTATGATTTTTATGTTTTATGTTTATGCTTTTCTAGACCTGGAAAATGACAATTTCAGTTTCCATGACCGTGGGAACCCTGACCATCAGAAAATGATTTATAAGCTGTGAAATGATCAGTCCATGCAGCAAGATTTTAATTTTACTTGACAAGTTATCTTAAAATAAACTACCTCTAGACCAGAATTAAGCATCTTAGAATTAGTAAGCCGATAATAAATCTGAAAACAAGATGAATAACCTGATATAAGTTTGAAAATCTCGGCCAGCTCAAAGAAATTTGCAGCGTAACTTTTGTCCAGTCGAGAGAATTGATTTGTTCTTTTTGCGATGGACTGAGGGATGATATTGAATCTACAAACTACCTACCTGCATTAAGAATTGAGCCATAAAACAGTCTCCACCTGCTTGTTTAACGTCCTTTAGCTGTACAGAGATCAGATCATCGTTACCGACAAAACTCAAAAACTCAAAACTCTTGGAAGCTGCTGCTGACCGCTCACATTTCAAAGCATGGATGTCTTGAGTTGTTCCAGAATATTTCCAATTTCTCTTGTTTATTCTAACGTTTTTTCCCATACTCACTAAAAACAAGACTGTACAGGGATTTAATACAAATGTGAATAAAGATTAAAGAAACAAAAGAGTCATCGTTTTGTATTAAATAACCTTTTTTTATTAGCAGTAAACTAGAAAAACCCAAAATGGAGCTGCAATTTAAAGCAGAGTTCTGTGCATTGAAAAAGAAAAACCAGGCTGTAAATTAAAGGCGCACTGTGTAACTTTTAAGATGGAGGGTTTTTTACTTGCTTGTCACCATGGAGAAAACATGTATTCTTACCCTGTACGGGCTCGCCTCTCCACAGATATGACCATTAACCTGCTTCCAAAGTGATCTCCAAGTTTATTTACATAAGAGTAATATCTCCATGGAGACGAGCGCAGCCAGAAAAGTTACACAGTGCACGTTTAAGCAGAAATTACAGCAGGGAGAGAGGGGATCATGTGAGGACATTTTCACAATTGTTCATCTTTCCAAGAAATTGTACTTTTATTTTAACGTTTCACATAGAATTAAATATATACAGTTGTTAAAATCATCTACAGAGAACATGATTCAGGAGTCGGTTTGTCCTTTCGGTGGAGCTGTGCTCTCCGCTGCTCTGCTCCTCTCAGATTTCAGAAAAGACAAAGGTGAATGCCCAGGTTATTCACATTTTACTGCATCACTTCAGGGCTGCAGTCATCTCTGGGACGGCCTAAAAAAAAACAAAAAAAACATTAATATTAGGACCAGACAGATTTAAATATGACACAAAGAGATAGAATCAAATGAAACAGAAAACACACTCCAAAGTTCTTGTAGAGGTGCAAAAGCAAGGAGCAGCTATATAAAAGTGAAAAAACACATAGCACAGCACACTCAGATGGCTGATGATAATTTTTCTCACTTTGGACCACATTAAGAAAAAGAAAAATTATCTGATGAAGGCTTTATTGCCAAAACATTATTTAAAAATAAAATAATCGTTTGGACATCAGCCATCTGAGTGTGCTATGCATTTTTTCACTTTTGTAAAGAGGCAGATTAACAATAAAAGTAGCCTAAATAAATCCAATTTAAAATCTAACAGAGCCAAACCTAAGTTTAATAGTCAGCTGAAGATTTACAGTGAATTTTTACATCACTAAATATATCAGCTGTTATAGTGGTACACCAAAGCCAGTTTTATTGTTATGTCACATAAAAAAACCCCAAAAACACTCATATCGTTCGAGCCCTAATTAATATCTTATCATTGCAGTCTTAAAGCACCTATGACAGGTTACACTACTCATTTTACTAAAGAGTTAAGATCATTATATTTAAGATTTTACAAAAGGTTTGACACTTGTTTAGGTTTCAAAGTTTTGCATTTTACTTCCTAATGTGGAATTCCCTTGGCCAGGCTGTGCCACCTAGTGCCTCCACTCAATTTAATTTCTCTCCAGCGACTACACACCGGCTAATCAGCGAAGAGCTGTTGAGTTGCACACTGATTTTAAATAGATTTCTTTTTGAGTTGGTGAATTAATACACATGCTGGGTGTGGTTTGTCACCTTCAGCCCAACAAAATGTCCCTCATATTGTGACGTTACCTTGAAAAGATCTGCCACCAGCCCGTAGTCGGCCACTTGGAAGATGGGCGCCTCTGGGTCCTTGTTGATGGCCACAATAGTCTGAAAACAACAACAACTTAAAACGCTGGCTAAAACATGACAATAAAGCTGTTTATTATGACTTTAAAAAGCGTCTATGACAGGTTGGACAACCTGTTTGGACAATTTTACTAAAACACAGTTTTACTAAAAAACTGTGCACATTTTCAGGTTTAAAAAAAATCACATTAAAGAATTCCGTGGCCATTACCTAGCATCCATATGTCAAAACCCCTTAAACGTACACAGAATTTAATATAAATAAAAATATAAGAAAACACCTTTATTTTGTTGAAATTATGTTGATGAAAAATTATGTAACAATTTACACGTTAAAAAAAAAAAAAAAAAAAAAAAAAAAACACTACTTAACTACTACCTACTTAACTCACTACTTCCTGTAATTTTTAGCATATTTTTTAACTTTTCTTCACAAATTGCTTGTTAATCAGTTTAAACCTATAATTTATATTTACAACAGGCATTACCCCACCACATTAAGTCAAAATTAGAGAATGATCAAAACCTGTCATACGCACATTAACAAAAAAGGAGAGATTAAAATGTGTGTTTGTTAAATACGATACCTTGCTGTCTTTCATTCCAGCGAGATGCTGAATAGCTCCAGAAATACCAACGGCGATGTACAGCTCCTGTGGACGGGAACAGACTGTCAGCTTCACTGGTCTCAGTTCTCACTGTTCTGTTGCTCAAGGTCAGGAGTGAACAAAAACACTTGGTACTTAAAAAGGTCCTATAGGAGGCAAAATGTGACTTGGCTTTAAGTCAGCGCTGTTACCTCATCAAAAACATCCCTGAAGTTGTGTTTTGTTTGATTCACACACGTTTTGAGTCATCATTCCCAAAACTCAAATAGCTCTATTCCACCTTGTGATGTCATGAAGCAGTAGTTTAAGTTAAGAGTTACCTTTTACCGTTTGTCTAGTAGAGATTGGCAATTCCAGGGCTGAAATGATTCTAGTGAAGGTGTATGGAGTTTAAAAACACAGTGGAGCACTTCCTGTGTTTCCACATAACATTGTACAGTGGAACAAGTGTGTTTTCTGTTTGAGAGAAGAACTCTGCTAAAACACAACTCCAGGTCTGTTTTTAACGAGGAAACGTTAGAACATATATCATAAAATACTGTAATATGAGACTTTTAATAATTTATTTCTCAGTTAGTTTAAGCCACTTGACATCATCATGAACAGTAAAAGTGCTGGTTCTATTCTGTTCATTTAGGGGTGTCAATCTCATTTTGGTTCGGGGGCCGTATCCAACCTACTTTGATCCCAAAGTGTCCGGATCAGAAAACTCATGTCATATAAACCCCAAAAATAACATTAAGTTCAAATATTTGTGCAGAGAAACACAAATCTATTACAGAAATCTTTTTTAATTGATGAACTCTTTTACAAAATATTATAATATTATGAACAGCCTGAAACTTTAAAATGCAATTTCAACACAGTGTTTTAACATTAACTTGTTTGCATTTCATAGAATTTAGTCACGGTTTCTATTTGCTTCTGAAACTTGGCATCTTTTAGCCTACACAAGGGCATCAATATCAGGCACCGTGTCCTGAGTAGCTGTTATCTTCAGAATGTCATTCAGGTGCTTGTGTGTTGTGTGTTTAGCTTTGAGTGAAGCTTTGTTTTATTAATGTTCATTCCTGAGAAAACCTGCTCACAAAGGAAGTAACTGTAAATCTATTATTTCTAGTTGCACATCAGAGGATTTGACTGTGAATGGTGTGTAAAAAAAATGCAAATTCTGTCTTTAGGTTTTAAAATATAATGAAAATATTTGAGTAGAAAATCATCCAAGGGCCAGATAAAAAATCTTGGAGGGCCGTATGTTTGACACCCCTGTGTTAATTCATAAGATTTTTTTACCGGTGCAACGATTTTTCCAGTTTGTCCCACTTGCATGTCATTAGGCACATATCCAGCATCTACAGCAGCTCTGGAGGCGCCAACTATAAACAGACAAAAGAACGATGAGTTTATTTACATTTAAAACACAAATTAAAACAGCGTCACATCACAAACCTGCAGCGTTCAATTTGTCGGCAAGATCATACAGCAGTTTGAAGTTCTCCCCGCTCTTCAGTCCTCTTCCTGGAACAGAGACCAAACAGCGTCAGCAGAAATATTAAATAATAAATCTATGAATGTGTCCAAGTATTTATTAGAAATCCCACCTCCAGAAACGACCACCTTGGCGCTGGTGAGCTCTGGGCGATCGCTCTTGGTCAGATTCTGCTCGATCCACTCTGAAACGCCAACCGCTGAAGAGGCAGGAACTGACGACAGGATGAGAAACATTTTACTAAACAAATTATTTTTTATTTTGTTAAAGACATTGTGCAACAGGAATGAGAAACATGTTTTTAATTATAGTTCTGCTTTAATTATTGTCCTATAATGTTTCACTAATGGGGTAAAGCTGTTAAGGTAATAATTTTATGATAACACTTTTTGCTCAAGCATTTTTAACTTTTCAGCATTAAAAAATGATTTAACACTTTTGTTGTCTGTATTGCCCTCTACTGGCAACAGTGGGATTGACAGTATTGCCCTGTTACATATGAATGAAAGTGTTCTGTGATGAGAGTTAAGATGCAGAGAAAATGTTTTAAAGGTAAATACCAGTTTCAGACGCTGCACTGCCCCCGTCAGCTGCTGCTGCTTCAAACGCCGTTCCTCTCACCGTGAACACTTTGACCGGCTCATTACACTTCACAGTACTGAGAGCGTTCCCTTTAAATAACACAAACACACACAGTAGAGTTATGTATGCAAAGATCTGCTCGTGTGAATATGTTAAATAATGTTAAACAATGTTAAATAATCATGTGAATGTGTTAAATAAAATAAAATACCTGCATAGATTGTTCTGACAAAAGTGTCTGGAGCCTTGATCTCAATGATGTCAGAAACTGGGGCCACATCCAACTTGGCTGCTACTCTGGGCAGGAGATTCTGACAAAGACAGAGGACAGTTCATGTTATGAATGAAAATAGAACAAAAACAAGACTATAAATAAAAATGTAAATGATGTACTTAAGTACCTTTCCAAAGGCAGACGCGCCTGCACAAATGTGAGTGAAGTTAAACTGCTGCTGTGTGGCCAGAATGAGGGGAGTCAACTCCTCTGAAAAGAAACAGCATTTTCAGTTTAAATGTGCTTTCTTTGACTGCCTGTGCTAAAATGAGAATTACAGAATAACCAGTGTTGGGATAAACGCGTTATAAAAGTAACAAATTACTGTAATGTGTTGCTTTTTGCTGTAACCCAGTAATGTGGCATTACAGGGAAAAAAAATAATATTTTACTTGGTACAAATGTGAGTAAAGCACGTCACAATGCATTTGTATCCTGGCTTGAAGTGGTGGGTTTTTCGTTTTTCTTTAAACAAATTCATTAAAATCACAGTAATGTCAGCAGAGGTGAAACACCATCATTATGGTTCTGAGTGTCGGGACGGGCCCGGAGGTGCATCCGCGTAAACTGTTGGGTGAACGAGGGCGAAAGGACCAACACAAAACTCCATGGTCCACGGAGTGAATCGCATCTGACACTCAATCGCGCTTTGCTGACGCACTAATCCACGAGCTCAGTGTTCTCTCAGGGGCGATCCTAGATTCCTAGTCCTCGGCTCAGTCCATATACGGCACAAAAGTTTCTCATCTTCGCTCATTGATTGATTGATTGATTGATTTGACAATCGGCGACAGCTATTTTGTTGAGAGTAATTTAAAAGAGCTGCAATAGTCATGTAATGCCTTGCATTTTAAATACAATAATATTGTAATGTAACAAATTACTTTGAAATGACAGTAACAAGTCATAAATAAATAACACATTACAGTTTTGAAGTAACTTGCCCAACAGTGAGAATCACACACCTGGAAGACCGCCTTTATAACAGTCATGTTGAGCCACCAGAACCTTCTTCACTCCCTGGACTTTGCTGAGCTCCTCTGCGACCTGAAGAACACAAGAATGAGATGTGAATGATGAAAATTATAAATACACAGAGGTTATTCAGGGTTTGATCAGCTCTCTGTCTGTTTTGTCTTTTTCACCTTCGCACAGTCTGTCCCCGCAACAAGACAGGACACCTCTCCCCCGAGTTTACTGGCAGCTGTGATGGTGTTGAGGGTGATCGGTGTTAGTTTGTCATTGCTGTGCTCCGCGACCACCAGCGTGCTCTGAAACCGGTGAATGAGGCCCGACTGCAGAAAACACAACAATAAGAACAATCTTATAAATGGCAGCATAAATTCATGGATTGAATGATTCTGTAATAGGGTGACCAGATTATCAAAATAAAAAACTGGGACACTCTCGGTCTGTTGTGGTTGTAAAAGGAGTGTGTAATTATAGAAATTCCATTCATGACGAATAGGTGACTCAGTAGTCACATTTTCTTTGTTTTTTGGTCATTTTTAAGCAGCTTTTCTGTATTTTACCTAAACAAATAACAATTTATGCCTCTCTTTACTGTTGGCTATGGATGGGTATCATTAAGAAACTGTCAATACGATACGTACCTCAATACATAGACCACGATACAATACATGTCTCGATACGATGCACTTTCGATTCGATATATTTCAAACTGATTCAATATTATTCAATGAAAAATAATGCCTAAATCATGTCTGTGATACTAAAAGTCTTTGTTAAACCACTTCTTGTGCAAAGTTCATTTGAAACACAAACATTTTAATCATAGAAATGACAAATGTGTCACATAAACAAATTCCCTTCCCTTGAACAAGAAACAAAACTGTAGCTCTGTAGCAAAATAATTTAGTAAAATATAACAAAAAATACTCCTGGTGATATATCGATACAGAAGTCCACAATATCGATACTGTATCATCACATTAAACAATAATATAGCGATATTTCAATATTTTTGGACACCCCTACTGTTGGCAAGGATCAGATTGGTCAAAAATAGGGACACCTGGGACATTTCTTGTATAAAACTCTGACAAATCTGTAGTTTTGGGTAAATCTGCTGGGACAGGGGACACAGGGCTCAAAACTGGGACATCTGTTTACTATATTCTGTAAACATCATGGAGAGTTCTTAAATTTCAGGTATATGCATCGTGGTGAAAACTGAAGGCTACTGTGTGCTCTTTCTGCTGCACTTTGCCACATCAGCGGTGTTCAAGGTTCTGTAACCTCAGGTCAGGTCTGGACCAGTCTCATCTGGACCTCACTGGACATGATGTGATGTGGTCCAAAAACAAAATGGAAAATAAATCCTAACATAATGTTCATTGAGAAGTTAGTAGAAACGTGAAAAACATGAACAGGACTAATAAAATCGGTCTTTAAATGCCCTGTAGCCAAATGCCCAGGGTTTATCACCTGTTTTCATAACTACACTGCTACCATAGCCGCTTGCGCTAACATCAACAATGAAAACAACGCGAATAAGAACGCAATAAAACACCATAAACATAAGTCTGATAGTTTGTTCAGTCAGACGAGCGGTGCATTTAACATTAAGACAAAAACATGACGTTATTTCGCTGTTATTTCATCTTTTCGTCCCTTTTTACAGCATGACTTTAGCTCGCGGTAGCACTTGTGTAACCATATTGTCCAACGGAGCCACGATATAAACGCTCCAGCGGGTTTATTCTAATCTGAAATCCATGCAGACAAAATGTCACGATGAACCACATTCCCCAAGGTCATATTTTCTCACCAGGAGCCTCAAGTTTGTTCTGTTCAGAGCTCTGTTCATCTTGGTCCTTGTGCACAGCGCGATCCGGGGATCTGTGCCAAAGGTCGGACGTGATGACAGTTCTCGCGAGATTAAGAGGTTTGGGGCCGTCCTACTTTTTTTTTTTTTTAGTCATTTATTTATTTGGGGTTTTTTTAATAGGAATTGTAGCTCCAAAATAATTTAACCTTTGATGCTGTTAGACAAAACATTAACTGTAGGCTTTATTATTATATTTATTATTATTTATTATTATTATTTTTTTATTGACAGCTATTAAGAGGTTTGCGGCCGTCCTACTTTTCTTCAACCACGACGTTATTGGCTAATTATTATATTATTATTTTATTCTATTTTATTTTTTTATACTAGAATTGTAGTTCCGAAATACCCATTAAAATACTTTAAACTGTTGTTGTTAGACAAAGCACTAACTGTAGGCTTTATTAATTGTATTTTATTTTATTTTTTCATAAACTTGACCTGTCTGTGTCCTTAAACAAACTTTATTTGTTTAAGGACATAAGGGGAGTTATTTGGACACAGTAGCTCACACATCACAATATGTATGGTAACATGGCAATGGTAATAATACATTTGAATAAATTCTGGTGTTAAATAAGGCATAATTATATAAATGTAAGTAAGTTTTTTATTTATATAGAACTTTTCACAGACGTTTGTCACAAAGACACTTTACAGAGCTTTATTCCATCACTCCATAACCGGTGGTGATAAGCTACTATTGTAGCCACAGCTGCCCTGGGACAGACTGACAGAAGCGTGGTTGCCAATCGGCGCTATTGGTCCCTCCGACCACCACCATCACTCACACACACACTCCGTTTTCATATTAGGCAATGTGGGGGAAGTGTCTTGCTTAAGGACACAACGGAAACTGTTTTTTTGTTGTTGTTTTGTTTTTTACGACTGGCGCCCCACTGTGGCTCCTGATTTCCCAATGGTCTCCCATCCAAGTACAAACCAGGTGCAGCCCTGCTGAGCTTCTGAGATCTGACGAGATCAAACTTTGACAAATCGGTATGACCACAAATGTACGTCATATATCTCAAGACAAATATCCAATCAGAAAGCAGAATGACCCTCGCATGTCTCTCATTTGTGTTGCTAGTTCCAATGCCGAAACTCAGCTGAATCCACTTAAAGGGACTTTGTCTCTGATCTGATCCTCACTAAACCCCAGCAAAATCAGTATTAGTCAGTGCTAGTGCAGCCTCTTGTGAATCCAGGAGGTTCTGTTTGTATAAGGCAAGGCCCATCCTTATTGTCCTAAGAAAAAATTTACATGTGTCCTCTGTCCTCCTTGTTGTACTTAACAAAGAAAGAGGGCAGGTTACATACATGTATTTATTTATTTATTTATTTGTGCCAAGTATGTTCCACAACACAGCATTAAACATTTTGAACTCAATAAGTGGCATCACCAGGTCAGGTTGCAGATCTGTGAAGAGGCAACCCCATGTACAATAAGGAAGCATGTTTTTCTCTGGGTATTTTTAACATCAGAAATACCTGTGATTGGATAAATGCATCATAGATAAGTTTAATGTCAAAAGTCAAAGCAGTAAGAGAAACTTACTGAGAAAAGCTGTTTTGGAACCCCACACCAAAAAAATTCAAGCCATTTAATCCTGGAAAATGTAGCCTACAAATTGTTACAGCCCCAGGATTAACAAAACACTAAAAATATACAGAAAACAACCTAAACTAAGAAACAGAACAACAGAATAAACAGAGTTTTGTGGCAGAAAAGGGGTCACGCAGGCTTACAAAAAACAAGTGGTAAAACTTAGGGACACACACTAAACTAAAACACAAGTTCCCCAAATTAAACCACATAAACCCACAAACAGAATCGAGTGACCAAATCAAAAAAGGCACAAAACAGAACTAGACTAACACACAAACACAAAACCAAAATGGCAGACTGACCACCAAGGCCAGCAGCCCCAAACAGGTGCTGGCAATCTCCTTAAATAGGGGGAGGTGGCTGCAGGTGAGGTGGGCGTCGACTTGCCCCACCAATCACAGACCAGGACTCCTGCAGCAGGAATCAAGAGAACTCTGCAGAAATATTACAACTAAGGCCTGGGGCCGTAACACAAATATTTTAACATTTTAATTGTTTACTAGTCTATTTTTATCAGATTTTTTAGCATTATTGGTCTTTTATCTTAACCTAAATCATTTAAAACCAACCTCCATGTTCATATTCTTGGCATGTCAGTACAAAATGTGGGTATACTGGCTGAGTTTACTGTTTCAACTTTAACCATAAATGTTTGGGTTATTTAATATTCTGTTTGATATTATTATTACGTAAATGGATGATCTGGGATTTCTACATTTTGGCAAACGAAGCACCATGAGGAACTTTTCTCAAGCCAAACAAACCGAGGCTGATCTGAGAGAGCGGTACAAACCGGTGGGTTGGGTTCTGCTCGTCATCACTCGACTGGAGGCAGATGCTCGGGGCTTAAAGTCTCAGTTTGATTGTTGTGTTTCGGTGTTGACTGATGTGTTTGGATTTGGGAGCTCCAAGTTCAAACCTCATTTTTATCTCAGCAGTTGACTGTCCAGCGGCTGTGTGATTCAGTTAGTTTGGAGTTACTAAAATAGAAAAAAAAGATGCCAAATGCTGTGAGATAGATTAGAGAATATAACCTGTGTACTTTATCTCTGTGTCCAAATACGAGCTGCTTTCTTCTCTTTCTCCTTTTGTCTTTGGAGCAGTTGGAATTTGTTTGTGAACCCTAAAATCTTCTCTCTCCTTTTTGCAGATAATTAAGCCTATATCCTTTTGGGTTCCTTCTTGTAGTTTGCAGCCAAGTGTTCAGAAACTCGATGAAAACCAGCACCTCAGGGTCCTCTGCTGGCAAGCTCCTATAGGCTGTGGAAGTGGAGTCATTATTTTCTGATAAACTATTTGGTGGTGCAACTGTAGCCTGCAGCTTGGAAGTTTCAAGTGGAAGTTGTGCAACATTTTACATTATATATACAAGAGTGTCAAACTCAAATTCACAGAAGCCAGAATTTAAAACTGGGACTAAGTCGTGGGCCAAACTAAATATTTATTGAACAATTTCAGCAGCATGTTCATGTTTTCTCTTCTTTTGAGGTATGTAATGTTTAACCTTTTTTTTTATTAAAATAAATGTTTAATAATAGTTTTGCTTAAACATTGAATCCAGAACAAGCTAAATATAAAATAATAACAAAATTTAAATAAATAATGTTTCTATAGTCTATCTGTAGCTGGCGGGCAGCTCTAATACATGTTTGATATGATCTCGCGGGCCAAATATAATTATATTGCGGGCCAAATTTGGACCCCAGGCCTGAGTTTGACATGTCTGATATATGAGAAGAAAACTCTATAAATCTTATATATATATATACACACCAATATGCACACACTGCGATATATCCCATATGAGTCACATGATCAACAAATGAAAAACAAAAATATTACCCACAAATATTGTTTAAAAGTCCACTATACGCTTCTACACTTTTCTGTGGGGAGCCCGCCACTTGCTTGTCTCCATGAACATGATTTTGCTCTGTCTGGAATGTTCCTCTCTGTGGCATTAAAATAGCATTTAATGTATTTATTCAGTCACATTGAGTTTGTTCTGATCATGAGTCTTTATACTGCGTAATTACCATTTAACCTCACCAATCCCAGCAGCAAACACTGCAAAAACAAAATGTCCTTTGAGCACTAATTTGTCTAAAATTTGTCCACATTTTCTGCACTGATACACTCCAGCTTTAGGACAAGTTATTAAACACCGAGGCTGAGTATTCAGGAGTAAATGTTGGCAGCAGCGAGGCACAGAGGGCAGTGTCAGAGGCCGCACACGTCACGGGAGAAGCGCCGTCCTCCCGCTTCACACTCGCACGGATACAAGGGAAAGTCGCGCGCGCTGGACGCCTCGTGCCCCCCGTGTGAGGTCGGATCCACCGCTTCTGTTAATGCTGGACGCTCTACTTTTCACTTTGTACTTGGGTGACATGGGGGATTATCCAAAACGTAAGTAAAATATTCGTGCGTAATTGTCTGTGGAGTTTTTTTTTCTCGCAAAATGAAAGTGCGTAAAAATGTTCCGGCTTTGGCACAGACACAGTGTTGACAGTTTAGTTTGGCAACACAATTAAAATATACAAATGGATGGATATAGATTAACCTAAAACCATTGCTCAGTTGTGCGTTTTCTTCTTTTACTTTTATCTTCTTAACTTTTATGTTGTGCGTAAAAGTCACACACAGTTGAGGAGTGTCGTGTGTTGTGCAGAGTTGTTGTGTCTAAACACGTTCAAACATCGCAGTGGAGTCACATTTATGTGTCTTCTGAACCACAGAGAAGTCTGGAGTGACGCTGTGCGTGGGCTGTGGAAGTCAAATACTCGACCAGTACATCCTCCGCGTGTCCCCGGACCTGGAGTGGCACGCCGCCTGCCTCAAGTGCGCACAGTGCGGGCAGTACTTGGATGAGACGTGCACGTGCTTTGTGCGTAATGGAAAAACCTACTGCAAAAGGGACTATATTTGGTAGGAAGACTCCGGCCTCAGGTCTAATACACTCTGGACGTTTTCTGGAATAATGTTTCCTCCTGCTTTACTCGCAGGTTATTTGGAATAAAATGCGCAAAGTGCAACAACACCGTCGGTAGCAACGACCTGGTCATGAGAGCGCACGGGAACGTGTACCACACGGAGTGTTTCCGCTGTACGATCTGCGGCAGACCCCTCCTGCCAGGGGACGAGTTCTTGATACGGGACCAGGAGCTGCTCTGCCGCCCGGACCACGAGGCCACGGTGGAGCGAGAAGAGAGCGTGAGCCCCGGGCACGTGAGGCACGAGCGCCCGCCGCTCGTCAGGCCTCCAGGTAACAGATATGATCATTCTGTTTATTCATATTAATAATTATAATGGATGTAGACAAATGCATTTATTATTATTATTATTATTATTATTATTATTATTATTATTATTATTATTGATTATTGCAGAAAAAAATAAGATCTGCAAATTTAGGATGCTCTTGGGTCAAAGAAATTGTGAAAACAATTACCCTGTGAATTAGGCAATTGGCTCAGCTCGTATAGGCCTATCATATTTCTTTCCTCATTCTGTCATCTTCATCTTCATCCTGTGTTTATTTTCATAGTGTCTGTGTGAGACCTGTCCTTGTGCTTTAAGTCTCTTTAGGCCTTTCTAAATGTTTTTTGTAGTCACGGAGCCTTTTTGAGTGATCAAATCCAAAGTCTGCGTTCGTCCACAGATCCGGTCCCGGTGAGACACACACCCCTCCACCGGCATCACGTGCACGGCTCCTCGGAGAAGTCCACGCGCGTGCGAACGGTGCTCAACGAAAAGCAGCTGCACACGCTGCGCACGTGCTACAACGCAAACCCGCGTCCGGACGCGCTCATGAAGGAGCAGCTCGTGGAGATGACCGGCCTCAGCCCCAGAGTCATCCGCGTGTGGTTCCAGAACAAACGCTGCAAAGACAAAAAGAGAAGCCTCCTCCTGAAGCAGCTGCAGCGGCCGCAGCAGGGAGAGCTCCCGGTGAGGCCCGGACCGTACAAGCACCGAGAATAGTTTAGATTTAGACTCTATATACACTACCGGTCAAAAGTTTTAACACAACTGTAATTTTTTCAGTTATTTATTGGAATTCAAGTCATGCAAGTCCAATGAAGAGCTTGAAATGGTACAAATGTAAGAACTGAACAGACAGAGGTTAAAAAAAAAAAAAGATAAAAGAACAAAACACAAGCCCAAACTCTGACAAAACTACCTCAGGAAAAAAGAACAAGATGGTAAACTTGAAAACATGAAGTGTCCGGCAGCACAGTGTCCAGACTTAAACCCCATCGAGCTGGTTTGGGATGAACTGGACAGAAGAGTGAAGCAACCTACAAGTGCCACATATTTCTGGAAACTTCTGCAACAGACTTGGGAAGAACTTTCCGAAGAATATTTGATTTCTATTGTAAAAAGAACGAGCCACGAGTGTGTTCAGCTATTAAATCTGCCAAAGGTGGACACTTTCATGAATCAAAAGTTTAGAATACGTTTGATCAACAGTAAACAGTAAAAATCTGGAGAACGTGTCATGTTCTAAAACTTTTGACTGGTAGTGTATATACTTTTTATTGACCACACCTTATTACAACTGTAGAATCTCTCTGTGTTTTTTATTGATTAAGAATATTCCAAAATATTATAATTCATTTATTATTATTTTGATTGTCCTGTTTCTGTCCTGTGTTTCTTGATCAGGTTCAGCACTGAAATATTGTAATGGTTTCTTATGGTTTCTTCTGGCTCGTTCTGACTCTAGAGCCTGCAGGGCCTGACGGGGACGCTGCTCACGGTGACGAGCCCGGTCCACCTCCAGGAGAGCTCGGAGGGGGAGCTGGTGGAGCACGGACACCAGCCCCTCTGGAAATCCTTCAACAAATTCACCCAGAGAGCGTTCAAGCCTAAAATCTTTCAGGTGACTGTGACAAATCAACACAACTAAGAGACATACAAACACAATAACAATCACTCTGCTCTCTGTTTCTGTGTTCAGGTGACATTATCGGACTCTCAGGGCAGCTCCTCGGGCAGTGATGCATCTCTGTGTTCGGACTCACACAGCAGCCTCCTCCTCAGCCCCGGAGACACGTGAACGTCCCTGTCAAACTTTGTCACTGTACAGAGTCTCGTTTATGTCCCACGTGAGACAGACTTTTACTTAAAGCTCAACAGTCTGGTGAATATTCAAGAGTCAGACATCAAAATCACACCGGAGCTCGTCAAAACACACGTACAGAACTTGTGAAAATGAGGAAAAAAGCGTTCACCCAACATGTAAATATAAAGTTATAAATATTTATTATAGATTTACGCAATAAGAGTTTGATAACCTTAGTTCATGTTTCAGTCCAGTTACATTTACAGAATAAGATATGATGAGGAAATCATGTTCTGTGGATTTAATATTGTCTGGATTATAAATAAATAAAACAGAATTGGAATCAAAACTGTTGACTGATTATTTTTCTTTTATTTCAGAGCAGGAGTTCCCAAACAAACACCGGTCCGAGGCCCAAAACCGGACCACGGGCCAGAAAGTCAAGTACTGGGCCCAGAGAAGTAGAGTCAAAACTTGTTTAGTGTTTACTTACATATTTACTCTAAAAATATACATATTAAACTAAACAGCACGCATGATTATTAAGACAATTTATTCAAACTGTGGTTCTGAATTATAAAAAATTTGTGTTATTATTATTAACCACGCCCTCGTCCATCGGTTCCTGAAAAAAATGTATGTTTATTCCCTAAAAAATTGTATGTTTATTCTTGGTTCTTATGAGAAAATGTTGGGGACTGCCGTTTCAGATGACAAATCACTGTTACGTTGTTTTTTTTTGTAAACAGTTGAATTAATATTATAGTTTTTTTAACATTCAAAATACTCTGAGTGCATTTATTGTTGTCTCTTTTAAACAAAAGGAGCAGATGTTCGGAAATAATCATAATAGCCTCATGAACGCTGTAGTTGCGTGAAAGATACTAAAGTTCCATCACTTTTCCAAAACTTTCAGTGAGTTTACAAAATTCCATGACTTTTCCAGGCCTGGAAAATGACACTTTCCCTGAAAAAATTGCATGTTTATTCTCAGTTGTTACGAGAAAAAAAGTTAGAGAATGTTGTTTCTGAGAACAAATCAGTTACGTTTTTTTTTTTTAAAACTTGCACCTGTGTAAATAGATGAATTAGCTTGTCTTTAGTTTCTTTATCTTATTACTCAATATTATTATTATGACACAAACCAACCCAAACTGATGATTGCTTGTCTGTAGAGGACACAAAGAAAAGCGCATCAAAGGATTCCGGTGTCATTGTCTGGTCTAAAAGGGTAACGTCTAATCTGTATAACTGCAAATGGTAATACCCGATTAAAAATGTAATCACAGAAAAAGGAAATTGGATCAAAAAAGGATGTGAAGGATGCGCAAAAGGAAAAAAACGTCTCCAAAACGTCTGCAATCTAAATACACTAATGATGATCCAGTTTATTCGCCTTCCATTTGTGTTGAAGTGTTGAGATTATGAAATCAACACACAAAAATGAATCACGTTTTGTCCTATTTTTGATCCAAGTTTTGTAATGACGAATCATAAATCCTAAAATCCATGCTTTCCTACTTATTTCAGCACTAAACTAGTTTATTCTTGTACAAACACACGTATAAAAAGTGTAAAGAAACCAATAAATTAAAGTTTATTTAGTGCAGTCAAAACCGAAGGGAACACAGCATGAGAATACAGCAAAATACTAAGTACTTTCCAAACAAGGCAAGACAAGAAACTGTCTTAAAAACATTCATCGTTACAGTATTAACATGTTTAAACGTATATATTAATAAAACAGTATAATCTATAAACACAAGGCTTTGAACAGTATATGATTTAAACAGCTTAATAACAGGATAACAGGTGGATGTGCAAAGGCAAAACTTGGAACTAAAACGTTTTATGGAAAGAAGTGGAAGGGTGTAGTGTGTTTAAAGCTGCACTGTGTAACTTTTACGGGGAGGGTCCGTTACCTGCTCGTCTCTGTTCTGTGATGACATTGTGGCTTTGTCTGGAATATTCCACAGCTAAACGCGATTAACAGGGTTCCCGCTCTTTTTCACTGATGAAATCTCAAAGCTTTTCCATTTTTTCATGACCTAAAGTGAATTTTCCATGACTTTACAGCACCTAAATGTGTAGAATTGATCAGACTAAATATGAAATGTTAAGAATTTCGGACATAGGACCTCATTTCCTCGTGAGCCAGAGTGTTGGAGACGTGCGGTGACACTTTTTAAAATATTCCATGCAGTCCTTGTATTTGCAGAGGTCGCTGTTTCTTTGTCAATGGCCATAGTTATCCTGCCACTAAAAACAGTCTTACCCACTCCACAAAACACCCGAAGAAAAACTATTATTACACCAGACTGTCCATGTGAATGTCTGTGTCAATAGAATAATTTTAGAAGTAAAAACCAACCTTGAATTTGAAGGATTTATGTCTTGTCCTTACTCATAGAAAGTTCGGCAGTGGCGGACTGATATATGAGAAAATAGTCCCTCAACATGCGACGATTCATGCGATGCAAGGTTAGTTTTATTTCAAACATTATTCTATCAACACAGACATTTACAAGGACAGTCTGGGGTAATAATAGATTTTCTTCGGGTGTTTTGTGGAGTGGGTAAGACTGTTTTTAGTGGCAGGATAACTACGGCCATTGACATGCACTAGTCTAGCACCAGCGACCTCTGAAAATACAAGGACTGGATGGAATATTTAAAAAAGTGTCTCCACACGTCTCCAACACTTTGGCTCACGAGGAAATGAGGTCCTATGTCCAAAATTCCGAACTGTCCCTTTAACCGTTTCCACTCACCTTATGGTTTGGTAATAGTTTTTTAACATTCAAAATCCTGTCAGTGCATTTATTGTCGTCTCTTTTAAACAAAAAATGCAGACGTTCGGAAATAATCATAATATCCTAATGAGAATTTAACAGAACGCTGTAGTTGCATGAAATAGATACTAAAATTCCATGACTTTTCCAGGACTTCTATGACTGTGAGAACCCTGAATTAACCGTAACAGTCTTGCGTTTGTTCAGGTAAAGTTGTTTTTATTGCTCTAAAATACCTTGAAAAATATGCGTTCTTTCTCTGGGCGTGTTCACCTCTCCATAGATCTGCGTTGTAACTTCGCTTGGTGGAGTCAGCTGCTCGTTTGATGTAAATAGATTAATATTACTATTCTTATACCGCATTCTGGCACATTCCAGGTAAAGCAATAAAATCTCCGAGGACTGAGCGGAGTGTACACCAGAAAAGTTACACAGGGCACTTTTTGACTTTAAGATTGCTCCTTTTGCAGAAAGAACTTGAGCGCAGACTCCCACTGGTCTCTGGGAAAACGGATGGACAGCTCTCCGTAGTCCGGCATCGGAGGAACTGAAACACGAGACAGAGCAGGTTTAAAGCCTGAGGACACACACGACTTTCTTGTAAATAGCTGACAAGTTATATTACATACTTATTTTTTCTAATTTATTCTGACTTGTACATAAACATTTATATACCGTATTTTTCGAACTATAAGTTGCACTTTTTTTTTCATGGTTTGGGTGTTTCCTGTGACTTATTCTCCGGTGTGACTTATATATTAAAATTTTCACACTGAAGCGTCGAGAGGCTGTAGGCTTGTGTGTCAGTATCTAGTAGTACTATTTCTAATGTACCACTGTCACTTCACTCTACTGCCTCTTCTGTCTCCTGCAGAAAAAGCCTGTGTCCTGCTGCAAGTAGTGAAATATTCAGTCGAAAACGGAAATCGAGCAGCAGAAAGAAAGTTTGGAGTGAGCGAGAAACTTGTGAGGGACTGACGGAAAGCGGGGATGGAGAACATAGCTTCACAGCAATCGGGAGGATGCACCATGAATCTTTCCTGAAGTCACTGGATGGATGGACAAAGCCTGGACTTCAGTGACACCGAAACCATCCTGTCAGGATTCAGAAAGACCCGAATAATTCTAACTGGGACTGATGCCGAGTCTGACGACAGCGACACAGAAGAGGAAGTGGTGCTCTGTTTACCTCCGGAGGTCGCACAGTTGTTCAGAAGTGACACCGAGGATGAAGAATTGAATGGATTTAGTGATTTGGAGTGAGATGGAGAGTTTGGTAAACTTGTTCTGTTCTGTTGTTTATGTTTTATTTATCTGAAGAACTGTTCATGTGTGATGATAAGAGTCTGTTGTTCTCTCCTCTATTGTTTTTACTAGAACTTGACTTTTGAGATGAAATGTCGGTTCCTGGTCTCTGATTTTATAAAATACATTTCCCCCAAAAAGTGCGACTTATATATGTTTTTTTTAATCTCCATTACGCATTTTTTGGCCAGTGTGACTTATACTCCGGAGCAACTTATAGTCCGAAAAATATGGTAATTATGCTTTATTTGATTCCTGTCTCTTGCTCTTTTTTGCTACTTATTTAGAATTTATTATTACCATTTCTATTTTTACTCTTTGTTATTATATTATATTGTGACGTGTGAGTTGTTGTGTCCAAATGATTTCCCTTGAGGATCAATAAAGTTTGTCTAAATCTAAATCAAACTGTATATAACACACAGACTGTATAAAGACATGGACTAAAGGAGTGTCATGTCCACAACGTTCGTTCCCAGTCAAATGAAGCTCATCGACGCTTGAGTTATAGGGGGAATTTGGAGTTAGAAATTGATTTACAGACAAAATAACTAAATAAAAACATCAGGGTCATGTAGAGCGGGTTAATACAGACATTTTATGACCAAAATGATGAGCCTGACAACAGCAGTTACAGAGAGAGATGTTTTTTTCCAATACAAAGTGAACTGAAGCAAGAGTTAATGGAGCCAGAAGTGCGTCAATGCTCACTTCCAATTTGGAACGTGGTGACAAGAGGTTTAGCTACAGTACCGGTGTGTCCATTTATATAAACAGTCTTTGGTTTGAAGCCTAAGGACAGACACGACTTTCCAGTCTGTATCGAACCACATGAGACACGGATCTGTCTTATCTCACGCTCTCATCACTTACCCGCCGCCTTGGTCTTGTTGTCGGGCTCTTTTTCATTAGCAGCACAGTCCTACAACACAGCACAGGGTTAAAAACAGGTAAAATCTTTATTTACTTGTTTATTTAAAGGTTCACTGTGTAACATTTCTAGTGGAGGGTCTGTTATCTGTTACCACTTTGTTTAGAATGTCTATAAACAACTGTAATGAATAAAAGCTGAATAGAAATGATTAAGGCAAAGCAATAACGTCTACATGGAGAAAAGCAGGCGGACACTCCAGCGTAAAAACTGTGCAGAGCATCTTTGTGCATTAAACAAATAAACATTGCTGTAAATGCACTTTTTCATCTAAAAAGTCACCCTAAAAACCAAAGGCAGTATTAGAATAGAATACACAGATACATTTAGGATCATTCCACGTCAAATCTCCGAATGCCCCCGCTCGACCGTCGCAGATTTGACTGAAAAAATTCTAGGAGGTTCACAAACTTTCCAACAGGAAAAGTCCCAAATTTTAGTTTTTCAGATTGCAGTATCTAAAAAACTATTCAAGGTAGGTCCTTCAAATTTTCAAGGGTTAAAATTTGGCAAATGTATATTTAAATAGTTTTTTTTTTGATACAGCAATCTGGAAGTGGCTCCTCTGCTCAAAACAGGTCAGTTGACAAAATATATTTTTAATGACAAACTATAAGGAGTTGGGAGCTAAAATCTGGGACTTTTCCTATTGGAAAGTTTGTGAACCTCCTAGAACTTTTTCTGTGGAATCTGAGATGGTCGAGTGGGGGTATTCAGAGATCTGGTGTGGAATGACCCTATATAATTTATAATAAACAACATTGTAAAAAACATTTTCAAACACATAACAAGGCAAAAATTGCATTATTATTATTTCTATGATTCAAAGAGAATTAAAAAGCACATTACTGAGCTTGTTAGCAGGTTTGATTATTAAAAAGCCACTTCCTCAGGTGTATTTTAATGTATTGTATGTGGTCATTTCCCTGATGATCACAGATACTGAGTTCCACTCCTGTACTGCTGTTGATGTTGTTTCAGGAAAAAAAATCTTTGGGAACTTTTAGTGGTATCAAACCATGTTGAGATGGAAAAACACCAAAACAGATTAATCAGTCCTTTCTACATTCTGTTCAAATCCAGAAGAGTCTGAAACTGGACCAAAGAGCGTGAAAAACCTCCACACAAACATGAGACGGTCCAACCACATCATTTGCTCATTTGTATCATGTGTCTCTTAAATTCAGAAGACATCTCCTCTTCAAAATTCTCTTATCATTCAGAACAAAATAAATCACTTTTTTTTTAACTGAGATGAAAAAGAGATTGGTTACCTGTCCAGCCAGAACCACACGCTTTGTCAAAACTTAACAAAGACGAGTGGATCTGGAGGCGTATCCTGTCTCCCTAATTTCAGAGGAAGTGATTGACAGGGGGATTAACCAATCAGAAAGACACAAGCTCAATTTGCGCCAAAAACAAACATGGCTATTTACACGTAAAAAAGGTCAAAAATCTGCATAAAGGACAGAGAAACGGCGCAGATTTTCTCAGAAGAATCAAAGTCCAAGCATCAAACTCTTACTTTTCTCGGGTAAAAGAAGTTACTGTACATAATTTGTTTTGAAAGTTACGAGAATTTTCAAGACCATGTGATACAAATGAGCAGCTGTGGTTGGATCTTGTCAAGTTTGCACGATTGACGATTTTCACGCTCTTTGGTCCACTTCCAGCCCCTTCTATATTCAAACAGAATGTAGAAGGGACTGGCTGGTCAAAGTGAGATTTATCTGTGGATTTGTTGATGTTTTACCTGTATAAAAGTAGCGAGCAGCACGCAGCTCATCTCGTGCTGCAGGCTGACCTTGTTTTGGGGGTTGTTGTAGCAGGCGGAGATCAGAGTGGGGAAGAGCACGCGGATCAGACCCGGGTGACTGAAGTACTGGAAGGGCAGCTGGCAAAGCTTCTGCAGAACACTGGGCTGTCGACCGGACTGAACGATCCCCTGCAACGAAAACCGAGAGGGATTCTAATTAAAAACGCTTATATACACTTAGCAGAACATAATAATAATAACAACATAACACTGCTGATAGTGAGTCCATCAGTCCAGGGGTGTCCAAACTTTTTTCACCAAAGGCCACATAGACATTAATAATTTATTTTAATTTATTTATTTTGCACGTATATAACATAACAATAAAAAAGCACACTAGATAAAAAAGTAGGTGCCAGAAGAGGTAAAAAAACAAAAAAGGCTTAAATTAAATCTTCAACCTTATGAATACATTCAAATTAAGTCTGTGCAGTTAATTGAATTTTGATCTTGATTGTGATTTGTGTGACAAACAATCTCTAAATTCATATGATCGAGTTGAAATGTAAAGCTTAAAAAGTTTATTTTGGGATATTTTTTTTTAATATAAATAAGTATATCTATTTTATTTTTGAATATAGAGATTGTAGAACAGCTGGATATTTAGTTTATTTTGGATACATTTATGTTTTTCTATGCCTTATTTCATGTTCAAAGTTTATTTTATTCATTTTTTATACATCGCAAAACTGCTCTAAACTGCTCCAAGGAACATATTTGTTGGCTATATTCATTTCTGGGAACACAAAGTCTTCTCCATCTCCATCGGTGTCTCTACCCTCTGGAACTCACCACCTCAGCAAATCTGTGACTCTACTGAACTTTTCACCTTCAAGAAACTGCTCAAAACCCGTCTATTTAGAATATTTAGAACCACTGTTAATGTCTAACCTGCTTTCAATTATGTTTTGTCCCATTACCATGTTTTGTCTTTTTAAATGTTTTTTTTTTTTTTTTGTAGAGCGTCTTTGAGTGTTTAGAAAAACGTGACATAAATAAAATGCATTATTATTCTTAAATTTGGTAGCCTGATTCATCAGCCATTTCACTTTGAAGAAACCGTCTGACCTCGCAGCATTTGGATTTGTTCACTCAACAGTAGGTACTTTTTTTATTTAACCAATCACTGCTATTTGGTCGTGACGTATGTAATGCGGCGTTAAAGGGACTAACTGGTATATTAAGCTTTTCCCAAATCCTGTAGGAAGAAGGACAATAACGTCTTTCCCCTTGATAAAATTCAACAAACATTCTCTTTGTTCGGGCTTTAAATCCTCGATCTCGAGAATCGTTGCCAACACTGAATATATGACTTTTCGCTGATTGGCTGGTGCCCGAACTCGCACTTCCGGGGTTTTTGTGAACCATCTAGTGCAGGGGTCTCAGACTCGCGGCCCAGGGGCAAACTGCGGCCCGCGGAAGGATTTTTTGCGGCCCTCCACTTAATTCCAAAGAATAATGTCAGTGCAGCCGCGGTAGATGTACGCACAATCCCACCCCCCTACTGCGGGCCGCACTGACAGATGAAGCTGCAATCAGTGCCCATGCAGATTCATAACAGATTATTAACGCAGTTTACATCCCAAAACTCAATTTACAGCAGTTGTGAAGCAACGAGTCAAAGTGGATCTGTTAATACGAGTACACGTGCACATACGGCGTCACCGAAGAACCAAAACAAACCACACATGGTGGTACACGTGTGCGCACTTCACTTTACGCTCCCATAATCACAGTATAAGAAATAAAAAGACATTGACAGTCTGTTTACCTGTTCAACACTCGGTGCGTAACTTGCTGGCAACCCGATGACCAAGCTCCACATATGTGTCGCCGAAATCCACGCGCACTCAGCGGCAAACACAGTTGTCCCATCAATATGCAAGCACCACAAAACTGCAGTGATCTATTCCAGAGGCTTGGCGACACGTTAGCAAAAAGTACGAGGCAAAAACAAGCATCTTCCATCCATGTTTGACATACGAGAAGCAGATACACTCCAGTGTGGTCCGCTTTCACACCGGCAAACGAACCAGAACTGGTCCGATTAACGAGCCTCTGTATCCCGGTAGAACAGCGATATCTCCAGTAACCAATACTGATGTTCTTTGTTAATACCGCGGGCCGTCCTCATCTTATCACCATGAGCTCATAAAACAGCAACATTTAGAACTTTCTACAAACTCATCGCATCAGCCCAGAGTTCGGGTAACAGCAGCAGCCAACAGCGCTCACCGTAGCGCGCAGCTCCTCACGACAGCGCTGGGGTCTGGTCCTTGGTCTTCTGTCGTCCTACAAGCGCGTTAGTCAGATGGTCCGGAGGCTCTGTCCTCCATGTGCTGGTTCCAGACGGTGGCGAGCAAGACCAGTGCGCAATGACTGGGTCTGAGCGGATACGTTCCGCCGTCTGCACGCTGGTTCCGTACGGGGAAAGTGAGAAAGCGCTGTGGACTACAGGTCTGTGCTGCTCCTGTCCTCCGCGCTCAAGAACCGCGGCTGGTTCCGAGGTGGTGCAAAGTATCCGGACAGAAGCGTGAATCCAGTTTAGTTGGTGTCCGCATTTGGTTCTTCCCGGGGAAAGCGCTTTTCACTCCCCGCTCCACGTCATCTGAGCCCGGACAGAACCGGAGCTGCTCCTGCTGGTTCGGGACTCTGGTTTGGATCTAGTCCGACTGTATTTCTCACACTAGGCTAAAAGCAGGACATTTTTTAAAGGTGAATCAATTGAATGGGCGATTGCCTATTGCCATAAAATTAAGTGGTTAATTAAAGCCTAAAATAACAAATGCTGGTTGGTACATGATCACGGGGAACACCGGGACCTCTCTGTGCGTGCACGTCCTGAACAGAAGTACACAGCCCCATTTTTGACTCACTCTGGAGCCACATGTTCGCACACTGATACTTGCTCTGATCTTCGTGTGTTACATTCTCTGTATTGGCCATTGTTGGTAAAATAATTCGAAAATGAATCGCGGCTGCGTCTGGACAACAATCTGTTACTGCACTGGAATCGTACAGCGCGTCATTACAGGCAGAGGAGACGCGTTTCTCCCATGATGCATTTCGAATAGTTCGTTTGGACCTGCTGTCTATGATTTGGACCCGGGTTCGCGTTCACACCAGAGGAACCGCACCAAAGTTGGTCATTTGGTGCGGATTCAAGCGAACCGAGACCACCTCTTTTTTGAGGTCTCGGTCTGCTTGAGTTGGTGCGGGTCCGAGTCCGACTGACGCTTTCACACCAACGCAAACGAACCAAGCTAACCACTTCTGGTTCGAATGGACCGTTTGGTGCACACCAAATACTGTCGGTATGAAAGCACCTAATACAGGTCAAGGCTCACTGATGAGCATCTTCAATCTATCCTGAGGGTCTCATATGCTTCCTCCTGCAAGCCAAATATCTCTCAGCTGTGCAAGATGAAGTGTAGCCAGGTTTCAACCAGCAAGAAGTAGGCAAAAGAAGAAGAGTAGAGGTATTAGTTTAAACTTACGTTCTGAATACATTTTCATGTTCTGAACTGTTATTAAAGATTAAGAAAGTGTGTTGCATGTTGTTCTTTCTCTCTCTTTTTTTCCGTGCAACCGCTATTTATCGAATACTCGGTACGGCCCAGCCTCACTCAGACTTTATCTAATGTGGCCCCCGGGTAATTTGAGTTTGAGACCCCTGATCTAGTGTATTCTGATTCCTGACCTAGTTGCTGAAGATAAATTAAATTGAGCGGAGGCACTAGGTGACACCAGCCTGGCTATACATTTGGCCCACGTGACATAGTTTGGACAACCCTGGTCTAAAAAGACTATATGCTGGACTATATGCTATAATAACAACATAACAGACTTTGTTTCCAACTGAATTATCATAAACATATAAAAGAGAGACTACACTGTGCTTAAAAATGTATGAAATTGTACAAAATAAAGTAATCTGAGCCTCAGTAGTCTTAACAAAATCTATAGGTGTCAGTAAACTTACAGTGTAAAGTTGTATGAATGAATTCTAAGAAAATTGTTACTGTAAAAATGAGACAAACTACACAAAAACATCAAGTGCTTTGTTTGGTAACTATTTGTGCATGTTGCGTGCATGCGGCAAATGCTTAAGAAAATTGGTTTCTTAACATTTCCCGAATGTCAAATAACCTGCAGATTTAAAATACAAACAGGAATTGAGACGGTTTAACCTGTCAACAGTTCCAAACAACAGTTCAAGGTCAGACAGGTCAGAGATCCCAAGACTCATCACCTAAAATGATTCACCCGATTACAGTGAGCCCCAGAGCTTAGAGGGGCAAGTCTGAGCAGAACAGACCAAGCGCCACCTCAGAGTCACCCGCAGAGAGGCAGCTCCAGACGGGGGCACGTACAGAACACAGGGTTCCCACTCTTCCTCACTGACAACATTTCAAAACTTGTCCATGATTTTTCATGACCTAAAGTGAATTTTCCATGACCTTACTGCACCTACATGTGTAGAACTGATCAGACTTTTAGGGCTAAATATGAAATGTTAATCCTTTCCACTCACCTTATGGTTTGGGATTATAGTTTTTTAACATTCAAAATACTGTCAGCGCATTTATTGTTGTCACTTTTAAACAAAAGGCGCAGATGTTCAGAAATGATCAGAATAGCCTCGTGAGAACTTAACAAAACGCTGTAGTTGCGTGAAAGAGATACTAAAATTCCATTACTTTTTCAGGCCTGTAAAATGACGTTTTAAATTTCCATGACTTTTCCAGGATTTCCATGACCGCGGGAACCCTGAGAAGAGACCAAGCGCCACCTCGCAGTCACCCACAGAGACGGCTCCAGAGGGGGGGCAGAGGGGCAGGGGGGCTCATACAGACGGGTGCCCTGGGACAGTTATCCATCCTGTGAATGTTGGTCAATGTGTAACGTATTTTCCACACTATAGGGCGGTCTGGATTATAAGGTGCACTGTCATTAAATGGTCTATTTTCGAACTTTTTTCACAAATAAACTGCACCGGACTTTAAACGAAACACAACAGTTGGATGGGTGAGTGGTTTTGTTTGTTTGTGGCGTTTACGGTGACTCTGGGCTTTGTTCAGTTGTGGCGTGTAGGGAGGGTGCTGTCTGGGACCAACGGATTATCGGCGTGTTTGCAGTGACTCAGTTGTTCAGTTGTGTCTAGAAGCGGCACATTGCACTCGCTTTTTCAGTTCGTTCCTCTGTTCCTTTCCTCATTGGCGTGGAGTGATGACTGTGGCTGCGGGTGTGTTTCGCTGTGCAGTCACCGTCTGCTCCATGTGTGTTTGCGTGTTCTGTGGCTTTGTAGTTTACTGAAGTCACGCTGGGACACCCGAGTGGATCCGTGCTCTGGATTGCGGGGCGTGTGGTCAGAGGCTTAAGAGCGCATCTAATAGCCCGGAAAATACGGTGTGTTTTTTCTTAACAATCACAGATTAATTATTTGATTTGCTAACAACTTTTATGTTAGTAAATGTTATGTTTTGAATGCTGCCATGCAAAAATATCGAAATATCAGTATATCATATCGTTTAATGTGATGATACAGTATCGGTATTGTGGGCTTTTTTTGGGTATATTTTACTAATTATTTTGTTACAGCGCTCCTCTAGAGGAAGGAAACTCGTTAATGAGACACATTTTACATATTCACAGTTTTGATGATTAAAACAGGCTTTGCACAAGAAGTGGTTTAACGACGACTTTAAGTATCACATGATTAAGCTGTATCAAACTGATTTAATATATCATATTGAATTGAAAGAGCACTGTATCGAGGTATGCATCATATCGGCAGCTTCTTAATACCCAGCCCTATTGATTACCAATATAATAGAAAATATCTCTTTTGAATGGAAAAGTCCTCGAAAAGTTGAACACCATGAGTCTAAAAATACATTTAAAGGTCCCATATTACGCAAAACTGACTCATGTGAGCTTCAGGTCATGTTGTAATGCTGTTACCTCATCAAAAACAGACCTGGAGTTGTGTTTTGTTTCATGCACACCTGTTTTAGTAATCCTGGTTTATTAGTCTGTCTTCATCTCCAAAGCTCAAAATGCTCTGTTCCAGCTTTTGATGTCTTTTAGCGGCCCTTTTTAAGTGAACAGCTACGTTTTACCTTTAGTTCAATAGAGATCTGCAATTCCAGGGCTGAAATTATGTAAATACACAAAGGAGAACAGAGTGTTTTCAGTCTGAGAGAAGAAATCGAGAGAAGAATTCGAGAGAAGAATACGAAGGGTTTGGGCGTTAAACGTGTGAATGAGACAAAACATAACTCCAGGTCTGTTTGTGATGGGAAAACATTATAACATAGATCAAAAAATAGCGTAAGATGGGCTCTTTAACTGACTGACGGATCAGAAGAGGCTCACACAAAAGAAGCAGACTAAAGTAAAGTTATGATTGTGACGAGCTGAAAGTCGGGGTACCTGGTTGTCCGGGTGATTGACGGTGAAGTAGCCCACACAGATGATGACGTCGTGCAGCAGAGCCTCGGATGAGTGCTGGCTGCAGAACCAGAGCAGGGAGCTGACCACGTGACGGAAAGCGAGAGACAAGCCCTCCGCTCCTAAAACAGACTGAAGGGGTTTTCTTGTTAATAAATAAGACTACGGAGACCCCCAACGGCTTATCACTACCCCCTTAGTCCTAAAAACAAGCTGGAAGAAAATAGTGTGATAGTTTTATACTACAAAAAGCTATGCACATATTTGTTTGTTATTAGTATTAGAAAGACAAATATAAGCAGTTGGCTGATATATCAGGCCAATATTTAGACTTTTTAGTGCACCGGCTGTCAGCTTTAAATCTCTAGCACAGGCCGTTTTTTAAATTTTGTTTTTATTTTGGTCGATATTCTGCCTAAAAATACTGTACACACAAAACTTAATTTTATCGCAGCGCAAAGAGAACTGCTGAAGACATGACTACAGCTCTCCTTTAAAGAGCTCTGGGTGAGTTTGCAGTACATATCATCTTAAAAATATCGGCCAACATTCGGTAAGGGCACTGATGATGTATAATATTAGTAAATTGGGTTTAGAAGGCTGTAGTGGTAACAAAACTGTAAAGTTAACAACAAAACAAACCTGACAGATGAAAAACTTACAAACAAGTGCATGCATTTGGATTATAGATTACTGTTCTGATGCTCACTTGGAAGGCGGGCAGGTCGAGCAGGGCAAAGCTGTTGAGGAAGCGGATGCCGTTGAGAGCGACCTGGATGACCCCAGAGCTGTACGGCTCCTGACAGTGAGACGAGGACTCGGGGAACGTGTGGAGGAGGATGGAGTAAAGAGTGTGGACCACGCCCACCAGGTCTGTGCTCTGCAGCAGGCTGCTCAGGCCGCTCGGGTCCTGACGCTTGTTATCAAATATACTTGGGGCTCTGAAAAGGAGAAATCAAGTTTTAGGTCAATAAATAAACAATAACTCATCGTGGTACTGTATAAGACTGTATAAATAAATCAACTCTGGGTCCAATTCACTCTGTATTGGAAAAATGTCACCTCTCTTTCTATAACTGCTGCTGTCATGGTCCTCATTTTGGTCTTAACATGTTTGTATAACCTGCTCTACATGATCCTGGTGTTTCCATTTCGTAATTTCGTCTGTAAATCAATTTCTTTTCCTAATATGAAACTTAACCTCTAGCCTCGATGAGCTTCATTTGACTGGAGCTGAAGGATATGGCTGTCAGTCCATTGCTTTATAAAGTAAAGATACAGGCAGAGTTACTCACCGTCCAGTGACCACAAAGCAGAGTTTACAGATGTTGTGGAGCAGAGCAGAAGCTTCTCGAAGGAATGAAGACATTTTGGGACAATCGTCGACGGGACTTTGGATGGACAAAAACACGCCGTACAGTTTGTCGATTAAACCCACGTTGACGACATAACTGAAAAACAGAACAGAGGACAAACAAGCCGTCATTCTCAGTAAGAAGAAAAAGGTACAGGGGATTATTTCTTTTAGCAGTTCATCGTAACCATGGATGTATAATAAGATATGGAAGATAAACCCAAGATGGTGCAGTGTTGTTTTCAATGGCCTGTGCTCAGTGGCCTGAAGTGCCAAAAAAGTTTATTTTTTTCACATTACTTTCTGAATACTGGCCTCGCCCTGCCCACTGTGTGATGTCAGAAACGTGCCGTTCTGGCCAATCAGAGCGAGAGCTGCTAGAGCAGAGCTAGTGAGGGCTCAGAGCAGAGCTAGGCTAAATCTTACAGGGCTTTGACGATTTCAAAATTAATTTATTCTCTAATTTTAATCTAAAATCCAGCCTTTGTGAAAGCTGTGGATGCCCTGTCAGAACATGGGCAGTTTGATTTAATAAAAAACTGCACTGTGCTCTAAAGGAGACTTCTTTCTGGGATGGAACTCCCGGGAGCTGGGACAGAGGGGGAGTGTCTTATCCAGTTCTTATCACAGATCCATGGCCGTAACATGAGTTTGGTGTAGATTAGGACAAACCTGATGAGGTCTTGGGTCCGAGAGTTGAAGGAGTCTGCAGCAGAGTTCTTATTCTTAACATCTGGGGAAGAAATTCTCTCTCCACCTTCATTAAAAGGAGGCCACAAGGACGAGAGGATGGAGGAGATGGTCTGCAGCAGACCTGTGGTCAAACCTTCAAACACCAGTTTGTTTGCAGTTCGTCCAAAGATGGATTTATCCTCATCTGGAACGTAGAGCTGAAATAAACACAAATATTAAAATGGGTCAAATACTGTGCTTCATTGGCATTTTTATAATCATATTTCTGGCCAGGTTATAAATATGAGTGTACAAGTATCCCTTCAAATTAAAGGTCCTATATTACACAGAATTTAAGCCATGTTATAATTCTGTTACCTCCTCAAAAACAGACCTGGAGTTGTGTTTAGTTTCATTCACACATTTGAGGAACCTTTTATTATTACTCTTTCAATATCTTCAAAGCTCAGAATGCTCTGTTTCACCTTGTGAAGTCATATAGTGGTAGTTTTCAAGTTAAATGCTGCTTTTACCTTTAGTTCCGTAGAGAATGGCAATTCCAAGGCTGAAATTATCCAAATGATCCTCGTGAAGGTGTGTGTTAAACATGTGTGATTGAAACAAAACACAACTCCAAGTCTGTTTATGATGAGGAAACAACATTATAACAGATCAGAAAGTAGAGTAATATGGTCTCTTCTGATCTCCCGTCTGTGTTACCGTGAGCTGGTGCAGGAGGAGGTCCAGGAGGAGGGCGATCTTGTTGCTGAAGAGGACATAGGAGCAGGTGTGTGGGCACGAGGCACAGGCCAGGTAATACGTGTTCACAGCAGCACACAGAGACCTGAGGGCACAGAGACAGCGCATTAAGACCAGTTACACTCCTCCAACATATAACCTATTATTTACACCATCTGGATTGCACTGATCCATCTTTATTAGTTCTGATACTGATTCCGACAGTATAGCTTGAAATACAGTATCTGCTGACATCTGATATTAACCGATCCGAATTCAGGAGCATTTTTTTTTTTTTTTTTCATAAAAGGTCTAATAAATCTCACATTTTGCAAGTAAGATGGCAAGTGGGATTGTTCTCTATGTTCTTGGGTTACTCCCTCTTCTCTCCTACGCACCCATTTCAAGAAACTGATGTGCAAAGTTCTCATTCTTGTGCTTCATATTAAAATGAAATAAGATAAACCTCCAAATATGTCAAGTAGCTGTTATTTATTCCTCAAGTAACTTCAGAACAGCTTTGTGTAAATGCAAAGTTCAAATATTATGGGAGTTATGGGCAGACTACGACCAGTAAATAGTCATTTTACATTGATTTACATCCATACAGGTTCATAAGTGCCAGAACATCTAGACTGGCCCACAGGCTGCTGAACAGTGCCCCGCCACCCTTCTCTCCCCTCCTACGGTCAGTAAACCATATCCACTCATTACAATAACTGAACTGGACTTTGTATGCAAAAGGACATTTAAACACACATCTGACTGGTTGCCTCCCTGTCCTTGATGTCCCAGTTCTTTTGGTTCTTTTGTTGTGATTTGTTGATATGCCCCTTTGCTGCTGCACTGATAATATTACTAATATTGTATTCTAAGGTTTACATAGTGGGTGTAACGTAGGGGTGTAACGATATCCAAGTCTCACGATACGATATGGTCACGGTATGAACCTCCCGGTATGATATTTATTATGATATTGTGGGAAAGCTAAAAAAAATTGCACTTTTTTTCATGGTTTGAGTGTTTCCTGCAACTTATACTCCGATGCGACTTGTATATTAAAATTTTCAGACTGACAGCAGCGAGAGGCTCTAGGCTTGTGTGTCGGTATCAAGTACTACTATTACTTCTGTACCACTGTCACTTCGCACTCTACTGCACATGTCTCCTGCAGAAAAAGCCACTGTCTTGCTGCAAATAGTGAAATATTCAGCCGAAAACGGTAATCAAGCAACAGAAAGAAAGTTTGGAGTGAGGGAGAAACTTGTGAGGAACTTGTGGAAAGTGAGGATGGAGAACACAACTTCACGGCAACCAGGAGGGTGCACCATGAAACTTTCCTGGAAGTCACTGGATGAATTGACAAAGCCTGAACTTCAATGACAATCGAAACCATCCTGTCGGGATTCAGAAAGGCCGAAATAATTCAAACTAGAACTGATGTAGAGTCTGACGACAGCGACACAGAAGAGGAAGCGGCGCTCTGTTTATCTGATGGATCTGTGGTTTATCTCTGGAGGTCACGCAGAAGTGACACAGAGGATGAAGAATTCAGTGGATTTAGTGATTTGGAGTGAGATCACGAGTTTGGAAAACTTATGTTATGTTGTTTATGCTATAGTTATCTGAAGAACAGTTAATATGTTACGTTGTTCTCTATTGTGTTATTATTACTATAACTTGCCTTTCAAGATGAAATGTTGGTTCCTGGTCTCTGATTTTACAAAATACATTTCCCCAAAAAGTGCGACTTACATGTTTTTTTTCTTCTTCATTGCACATTTTTTGGCTGGTGCAACTTATAGTCCAGAAAATATGGTAGTTCCTTAGGTCTTCTTTTAGCTATTACCGCACCATAACTCTTAATTTAAGCAAAGAGACTTGTAATTCGATATATTGTGATGGTCCACGATATTATCGTGCCAACTTTGACGATACAATATTGTTACATCCCTAGAGTAAAGTTTACGTGGTGGGAGTCATAGGGTGGGTGCTCTAAACTATTATGCACTTTTAAAATACTACTGTATGCAGTCTGTATGATGCTCTAACGTAATTTCGTTGTTATTTATATGACAATGACAACAAAGGAATTGAATTGGACTTATACAAACAGGAATAACCTGAACCAATATTTGGAAGTCGATATCAGACTGGTGTACTAGTTGTTGCCTACTTACAAAGGATAAAGTGATTTAAAGTTAAATTTAAATAAATTTTTTTGGTTGTGAGTGTTCATTGGTCTGTCTTTGTCCCTATCAGGCCCAGCTTCTTAATCCTGCCCACTCCTGACAGTTTTCCCATATCCCACCTGTAGGGGGCGCTCTGCTGGGGGCTGATTTCTGAATGAGGTTTGCAGGAGCTTGGTTCACTACAGTTCACAGATCTGAGTCCAGTGCGTGTCAGGCTCATGGCTTCTGTTTGTCAGTGGTACTGTTTATTATACAGAGTTTCTGAGTGAGGGGCCCGAGGGAGTCTGGGGAGGAGAGACCACATGTGAGGGCAGCTGAGGTGGCATCTGTTCCTGATACCTCCTTATGGGGCAAGAGCGAGGGGTAAACTAGACTAGAGCAAATCTCCAGCTGTCGATAGGTAACCAAAAGAAGAGAGATGACGTTCCACTTTAGTCATTTAATGAATTTAAAGTGACAATATTACACTATTTTATGATCTATATTATGTTTCCTCATCAAAAACAGACCTGTAGTTGTGTTTTGTTTAATTCAGACATATTTAAACGCACAAACCCTGCAGATTTAGACTGACGGAAAACACTCTGATCCACCTTGTGATGTCACGTGGTAATAAAGGAAGTGCTCCACAATGTTTTTAAACGCCACACACACATAAATGAGTTTCCTTCCTCCGCTACAAAACTGTAGCGCTGTAACAAAATAATTTAGTAAAATATACCAAAAAATATAAATACAGATACAGCAGCGTATGATATTGATATAGTATCAGGATATTAATCAATACAATATATCGATATTTTGATACCTTTGCCCACTACTAATTGATATTTCAATATTTTTGCACACTCCTGTTTTTTTTTTTAACCAGATGACAAATTGAATTTCTCCTTTGCCACTAATAATAAAGGATTACTCACTCATACATGCGTGAATGAAACAAAACACAATTGTGGGTATGTTTTTGAGGAGGTAACGACATTCTAACATGGCTAAGAGCTCACAAGAGTCAATTTTGTAAAATATAGGACCTTTAAATATACTAGTATTATATATCGTGATCATATTGTAACATAGCAGGTTTTTCTTTTCCCCTAATTTCCTGACACCTGATCGAGGCGGTGAGGGGGAGGAGCTCATTGTGTCGAATGATTTTGTAAAGTGCTCTCTGGTCTCATGTTGCACAAAAGGTTTGAAGAGACGGGTACATGCCAACAGTGATTTTCCTGATCCTGTGTTAATCATGTGTCATTACATTACACAGGTTTACCTGAATAGGGTCTTATGCTAACCACAATTGACTCCCGCCGGCGTACACCACAACCTAATCTTTTTTAAACTAATTTATCACTGTCAGAAGCTATTGAGGCAACCAGAATGACACTGCGCCATTGTGTTTTCTTGCTGTATTATCTTTCTATTGCCTACAGTAAATTCAGGGGCCATTTCCTGAGTTAAATGAGACCAAAATCAGTGGGTGGAGGAGGCATTAACCGCCTCCTCATCCTCACAGCTCCTGGGATCTCTGCATGTGTGGGCAGTGGTCACCCAACCCTGATAAAATGAACTGGTTTAATAATTCAGAAAGGGATCTTACTGTAGCAGATACACTAACAGTAAAAGGTCTGGACACACCCTCTCATTCAGAGTTTTTTTTTCTTAGTTTTTTTGTTGTTGTTGCTGTTTTCTACATTTTATATACATACAGAAGACATGAAATATATAATGCAAGATATATGGGATTAGGCAGCAAAGAAAAATGTTAAATAAAGGCTACCATGCACTACATGAGAATTTGCCCGATTTCGGCTGTGATTTGTTTTCCCTGAGAAGCGTGACCTGACTTTGTGTGTCTGTTTGCTTTGAAAATCATGTATCTGAAGTATTTCACCACATTTCACAAATAATAATAACACAGTTTTGACTTGTATCTAAACTATAAGTGCAGTGCTCTGATACTTTGAACATAAAGAGTCTCAAATCAAGTCGTTTTACTGTAGACAGGAAACAGCTGACGCGATCACTTTACAGCTTTATATCCTGTGGTCTGCAGTCAGATCCCGCTGCAGTGTTTGCGATCGGAGATTTTAAGTCTCATAAGATTCTCTTTGTGTCTGTGGTGTGCGCTTTTTGTCACACGTTTAAAAATCGTTTAAGACCGTGTGTGGCAGCCTTAAGTATACAAACTTTTTTTTTTTTATATATATATATTTTCCATTCAAATAACAAATGGACATGGCTAACTTGTTAGAGACCACATTCTAAATAGAAAGTGAGCACGGGCACGCTTCTGGCCCCATCGACCCGGCTCCAATTGCTCCTCATGTTGGTGTTAAAATGTTCGTATTATCCACAGACCGTATATATGAGTGGACATAACTAACGCTGTAGCCGCTGCGTGCCAAACAGGAATTTTGCCAGGAGGCTCTTCTGGCTCCTTCTGACTCTGACGCCAATTGACTTACATTAGAATCTTGTTGCTCCTCTCTCTGTAACTGCTGCAGTGAGTCTCGTCATTTTGGTCTTAAAATATTTGTATTAACTCGCTTTTGCTATTTTGTTCATCAAAAAAAATTCCTATTCATAACACAAATCCTGGCTCCAGATTCGCTCCTGTAACCGTTGAGCGGCGCTGAACGCTGCGGGTAAAGTCACACTCGCTTAGTCCACTTCTTTTATACACTCTATGGTATTAACCTGCTCTACATGATCCTGGTGTTTTTATTTCACTACTTTGTCTGTAAATCTATTCCCAATATCCAACTCCGCTCGAAATATTCACCTTGTAACTGTGAACCTCAATGAGCTTCATTTGACTGAAGCCGAACAGTATGGGTGACGCCACAGTCTCTTAGTACACTTCTTTATACATTCTATGTTTCAAATGCTCGAAGTATCCACCCTTTGCTTTATTAACAGCGCTGCAAACCCCTTTTTCTCAATGATTTTCTTGATGAAGTCTCCTGAAATGGTTTTCTGGTGTCAGGGTCAAGAAAAAATGCCAAAAGTGACAATCTGTGATGGATGACTTTTTAATTTTTTCTTAATCAAAGTTTTTATTTATTTTGAGTTCATTTTTGTTTGGATTTCACATGTGTCCATTTATAATTTTGATGCCTTCAGTGAGAATCTATAATGGAAATAATCAGAGAAATACATGAAAAAATGTGTCCAAACTTTTGACTGGTCGGGTATACAAACCTAAGTACTCAGATAATACTAGTAAAATGGACAATTTGTGTTTTGTACAGTTGTAAGTTGGAGTTTTACATTTCTAACCCCCTCCTGTGTGTTCTTGGCTGGAGTCACAGTCCCTGCAGCTTAAACAGGCTAAATGTGTGTGAGGAGGAAACAGAACCTGAGCCAAAATAAAAGGCAGATCTGTGTCCCTGTGCAGTCAGACAATCCCTTCATTCAGAGATCGTCAAGTGACATTTCATTTGATTCTGCCATTGATCTCCGCAATACCCCGAAAGAGTGTGAGACGTGTGGTCCGGCTGTGTGGCAGAGGAAGGGCAGCGAGAGGAAGGAAATCTGACACGCCAACGCTGGACAAATGGGAGAAAACATCCTGAAATCCAACCGAAAGAGCCACTCCGATACACGAGACACTCCAGTCAGGTGACAAGCCTGGACCTACAACCACAAGCTGTATGAAGAAGTGGACTAAGGGACTGTGACATCACCTAAAGGATCAATAGGATCAGTCAAATGAAGCTCATCGAGGCTGCAGTTACTGATACTTTGTAGTGCCATCACGCTGTGGGTGTTCTAAATGTAACTCTATTGACGTCAACTCCTATTGGGCACCACAGATTTCTAATGCAGAAGTTATTGGACTTGTTTGTTTTATTAACAAATTTTACATAAATATTGAGATTTCAAATGTCCAAATTACAACAATGTTCCGTGGGTGAGATTATAACTATTAATGGGCGGCAGTAGCTCAGTTGGCACAGCATTTGTCCACTGATCCGAAGGTTGGCAGTTCGAATCCTGCTCTTGACATAAACATCATTGGTTGAACAGTCAGATCCACTGACTTACAGATTGGCGGTGCGATTCCAGCTCCCTCAGAAGAATGCTGTTGTTGTGTCCTTGAGCAAAACGCTTAACCCACCTCACCCCCAGTGTCTGCGTACACTGGTGTGTGAGTGCGTGTGTGAATGAGTGAGTAGTTCCTAGCGCTTTGAGCCTTGAAGGTGGAAAATCGCTATATAAAAATATGACCATTTACCATTTATATAGCAGACACAAGCACAATAGGTCTTCTATAATATCGTTTACTCACTTGACAGGGATTCGGGTGGCTGTGTTGGGGGTGGACGCTGCAGTGATGACCTGTAAGATCTGCTCCAGAGCCAGAAGACCCCCGCCCACCTGGAACGCCACTTGGTCTGCATTGTTCTGTGGAGAAAACACAGTAAGTTAGTACCTTTTGGCCTTACTACCTTGTCAAAGCCTGATCCCGACAGATCTCAGAAGCTCAGCAGGACCGGGCCTGTTTAGTACTTGGATGGGAGACACTGGGAAAATCAGGTGCCACAGGGGGGAGCCAGGTGCAAAAACTGTCGTTGTGTCCTTAGCAAGACACTTCACCCACATTGCCTAGTATGAAAGTGGTGTGTGTGTGTGTGTGTGTGTGTGAGTGATGGTGGTGGTCGAAGGGGCCGATGGCACAAATTGGCAGCTGTGCTTCCATCAGTCTACCCCAGGACAGCTGTGGCTACAATAGTAGTTTACCACCACTGCGTGTGAAGTGAATGAATAATGCTCTTTAAAGCATCTTTGAGTGTCCAGAAAAGCGGTTTATTAAACTGATGCAGCACCGTCATCATCATCATCATCCTTCTATTAAAACAATACTTTACAACATACAGTACGCTCAAGAAATATTAGCAGAGCTGGTGGTTATGAGAAAAGAATGCTAGAAAAAAAATCTTCTGACACGTTCTTTATTTTGTAACTATTTACTAATAATACAAATGGAAAAATAGGAAATAAAAAGTGAGCTTTAAGTCATGTTATAATGTTGATACCTCCTCAAAAACAGACCTGGAGTTGTTTTGTTTCATGTTTGAGTAACACTTTATTATTAGTCTGTCCACATCTCCAAAGCTCAAAATGCTCTGTTCCACCTTGTGATGTCATGAAACAGTAGTTAAATTAACAGCTCCTTTTACCTTTAGTTCAGTAGAGATTGACAATCCCATGTCTAAAATCATTCAAATTATTCAAGTGAAGGTGTATGCAGTTTAAAATAACACTGCCGAGCACTTCCTGTATTACCACTTACTGACATCACAAGGAGTGTTTTTTGATCGAGAAAAGAACTCATCTTAAATACGCAGGGTTTGTGTGTTAAAAATGTGAATGAAACACGACTTCAGGAGTGTTTGTGATAAGGAAACAACATTATAAAGATCAGAAAATAGTGTAATATGACCCTTTAAATTAATTTATTGAATCGTACTGTGAAGGGGACACCATGTTTTACAAAACCTATTGGTAATTTTCCACTTGATCAGCTTTAATCCCCTCTTGTCAGTACCATGTAGCTAAACTAGAATAAGAACCCTTTTCAGAACCTTTTCATAGCATCTTATCAGAGGGTATTAAAATAAGCAGCCAGGCCTGCCCGGTCCTGACAGTCTCCAGCGCACTTCTGCTCCGATGACAGATCCTCCTCTTGTGATGAGTGAACAATACAAGCCATCCTGTGTCTAGGTGGTCTATAGAAATCTACAGACAGACAACTTAAACACTCCCGACAAAGCCGGAATAATGCGCCCTCAAGAACACTGCCAAAACACAGGACGGGGATCATCTAAAGAGATTTTCTAAACGCCTTAACAGAAGCTCGCTTAGTCTGCGCTTAAAAGGTCAAATATTACGCAAAATTGACTCTTCTGAGCTTTAAACCGCGTTAGAATGTTGTTACTTCATCGAAAACAGACCTGGAGTTGTGTTTTGTTTCATTCACACATGTTTAAATACTGTGTGCAGGATTTGTGTGTTAGTTATTCTCTCAAAAATGTTAAAAAATGTTCCAACTTTTGAGGTCACGTGGCAATACAGGAAGTGCTTCACTGTGTTTTTAAACTTTATACACCTTCACTAGAATAATTTGGATGATTTGCTGGACTAAAAGGTAAAAGGTAGGTGGGTAGGTAACGTTAAAACTACCACTACATGACATCACAAAGTGCGACAGAGCATTTTGAGATTTGTAGATGTAGACAGACTAATAAAGAGAGTTACTCAAACCTGTGCGAATGAAACAAAACACGACTCTGGGTCTGTTTCTGCTCAGGTAACAACAGTATAACATGACTTAAAGCTCCTGGTTTAGTCCTGGTTTTAGTCCTGGTTTTAGTCCTGGTTTTAGTCCTGGTTTTAGTCCTGGTTTTAGTCCTGGTTTTAGTCCTGGTTTTAGTCCTGGTTTTAGTCCTGGTTTTAGTCCTGGTTTTAGTCCTGGTTTAGTCACGATTTTAGTCCTGGTTTAGACCTGGTTTAGACCTGGTTTAGACCTGGTTTAGACCTGGTTTAGACCTGGTTTAGACCTGGTTTAAGTGCTCATTTTAGCCCTGGTTTTTAGCCCTGGTTTTAGCCCTGGTTTTTAGCCCTGGGTTTAGCCCTGGGTTTAGCCCTGGGTTTAGTCCCGGTTTTAGTCCTGGTTTAGTCCTTTAGTCCTGGTTTAGGCCTGGTTTTAGTCCTGACTTTATTGCTCAAATTTTACTCTAAAATTGGGACTAAAGGACCTTTTAACTAGACTTTTGTAATATTCTTTATTATAGAAGCCTGTAATTTCTTCTTAAAAATGTTTGTCAGGAGAATCAAATTTGGGGGCACAACATTGTCTATTTAATACAGACGGACTGGAAATCTAATTCAACGTTTTGTACTGAGGAAGTCAAACAGGCCCCGCACGGAGAACAGCGTCTGCTCCCTCCACGTGCTCAATCAAAACACACTCGGTCTGCTCCTCGTTAACCAATTAGCAAAGGCCAGTGGTTAGAGTAAGAGATAGTCTGCTCTGCACCCGACCACAGCGTTTGAAAGAAGCCTTTTAATCTAATATTACAATATCATAGTTTCTGAAATATAACGGGTTACACACATAGACTATATATAAATAAATAGACACCGCTAACCCACTTGGCGTTGCATTTCAGTTGACTTTAAAATGAAAAAATCTCACCCCTTTCTGTAACTGCTGCTGTGAGTCTCGTTATTTTGGTTTTAAAATGTTCGTATTAACCCTCTCTACAGGATCCTGGTGTTTTTATTTCACTATTTGTTCAGTAAAATAAATTCCAATTCTAATATGAAACTCAACTTCAAATTCCCTCTTATAACCGCGAGCCTCGATGAGCTTCATTTGACTGGAGCCGAACGTTAAGGCTGACGTCACACTCCCTTAGAATCCGTGTATCATTTGTTCATTCGTTTTTCAATATAGAACCAAAAATAAAAATAAAAACACAGTTTTCTTCATTATTTGTCTCCAAAACCAAAATGAAAAAAATTATAATTTTTAGAATTTGTTTTTTCAGTTTTCGATTTTGTGTTTAAATGAAGAAAAAAAGGATAAAGGCCGTTTCCCGTTTTCGTGACTTAAACTGCGATGCTGGACTGAACCAGGACTGAACCAGGAACGGGACCAGGACTGAGACCAGGACTGAGACCAGGACTGAGACTGGGACCAAACCAGAACTGAGACCGGGACTGAGAAAGGGACCAGACCAGAACTGAGACTGGGACTGAGACCGGGACTGAGACCAGGACTGAAAACGGTTTAGTCCTGGTTTAGTCTTGTTTTAGTCCTGGTTCAGTCCGTATGTTGCACAAAATTCCAACATCGCAGTTTAAGTCACGGAAACAAGAAACAGTCGTTATCCGAAAACTCAAAAAAAAATATATATATATCGTTATCCGTTTTTTTTTGTTTTCTTATTTTTGGTTTTATATTGAAAAATGAATGAAACATATAGTCTACTTCTTTATACAGTCTATGGTTACATTATTGTGAAAAACATAAGTCAAACATGAATTACTGAAAAAAAAAAAAGCTCTTTTGGTACAGCTGAATAGCAGTTAAAATCTTAAAAATTATTGTCGTACCTTTTTCTCTAAAATGCGTGAGATTTCTCCCAGAGTTCGGTCTAGAGCGGACACTCGGCTGCTGCTCCACTGACCGCTGTCCTGACCATGCAGCTGCTTCAGGAGGTCTCGGACCAAACGCTGCAATCTGAAAACAGAAAACACAAACAGGTTTATCACAACACGAGCCTCCAAAAAATATACAGTGAAAAAAAAAACACAGGCGGCTGTTCGTACGACTCCAGTCCCATAATTAAAGGTCCTATATTACAACAAATTGTCTCTTATGGGCTTTAAATCATGTTATAATGCTGTTACTTCATCAAAAACAGACCTGGAGTTGTGTTTTGTTTCACTCACACATGTTGCCTGTCTACATATCCAAACTCAAAATGCTCTCAGGGTTTCCACTCTTTTTCACTGACCAAATTTTTCTTTTCCAGGACTTTTTCATGACCTAAAGTGAATTTTCCATGACTTTCCACTCACCTTATGGTTTGGTTTTATAGTTTTTTAACATTCAAAATCCTGTCAGTGCATTTATTGTCGTCTCTTTTAAAGGTTGTATAGAGGATTTTTTTTAGGGAAGAGAAATACAGCGACAGTCCTTGTGCGCATTCAGAATTACTGTTGAAGTGACCTGCCTAGAAGTAATTCAGCGACCGACGCGTCAGTTTTTAGACCCTTCGTCTGCTTCGGTCACGCCATCGCTGGACGAGATCTCCAAGAATCACCTCAGTTTGGCTTTGCTCCTTTTCCTCTTCTCTTCTTCTTTCAGCGACCTCAAAAACAGACTTTGTTTTGCGGCGAACCGGTTGTGGATTCTCGTCCGCCGTTGCGACAAACTTTGTGCGAAATGCGAGGAAGCGACAGTTTGAAAAAGCCTCTAAGAACTGCTGCGTAAACCACGTGATCCCCGCACTCCGACGAGTCAGTTATACTAGGGAGTTTGATTGACAACCTAACAGCCAATAGAAAATGAGGGAGCCTTGTTTTCTATTGGCTGATGTTTATCTGGCCTCAACACGTCCAAAGTTGATAGATTTTCGTTCTTTTTTTTTTTGGTCATCATAATTACAAAGCTGCTGCGTCTCTGTAATGGTATTTTAATCTTTCACTGACAGTTTGAAACAAAAAAAAAATCCTCCATACAACCTTTAAACAAAAAGCACAGACATTCGGAAATAATCATAATATCCTAATGAGAATTTAACAGAATGCTGTAGTTGCGTGAAAGAGATACTGAAATTCCAAGACTTTTCAAGGCCTGTAAAATGACATTTTCAATTTCCATGACTTTTCCAGGATTTCCATGACCCTGGGAACCCTGTGCTCATGAAACTGTAGTTCCTTTTATGTTTGGTTCTGTAGAAATTGGCGATTCCCGGTCTGAAATCATCCGAATGACCCAAGTGAAGGTGTATGGAGTTTAAAAACACAGTGGAACACTTCCTGTATTACCACATGACATCACAAGGTGGAACTGAATTTTTTTTCCATCTGAGAGAAGAAGTTTGTGTGGTAAACAAGTGTGAATTAAGCAAAACACAACTCCAGGTCTGTTTGCAATGAGGAAACAACATTATAACATATATCAGAAAATAGCGTAATATGGGCATTTAAATTTATACTTTATTTTTTACTACAAAATACCCAAAAAACGCTGCACTTACTTGGCCTTGTATGGCGAATCGGGGACCTGTGCCTTCGCCTCCTGTGACGTCTCATATTCCTTGGCCCTGCAGAAAACAGTCGGTACAAACGCATGTAAAATAAGTCCAGTTTAGTCTATTTATTTGGGCTGTCTGTCAAACGTTCCCCCGGTAACCTGGCTCCAAATAATCACCTCCCGATCAGTGAAAACATGTTTTTTCTTCCATCTTGTCGTACCACATATAGACTGACCCAAACCCTCCGTCTGCAAGAGGATCACATTCTTGATTCTTCCCAATGTTAAATAAACACTTAAGAGGGTGGTATGCCCGAGCGTCACCTTGGTCTGGGTCACACGACATTCCCAGACACGATAAAAAACTATTGATCACGGCGGATTCCTGTTAGCCATTCCACACCGATGAAATCACTGTTCCTGGAAAAGCGCAGGTGAAGAATTCTAATCTAATACTTTTAATCAGGAGCCCAACGATGGGAGATGCCTTTGTGGTTCGTCTGGAGGGCAGCGGAGAGTAGAATTATATATCCTCGTATGATACTGACTCGGAATGTAACGATATGTAAATCACACGGTATGATACAATTACGATATTCATTTCACGATACGATATTATTGCGATATTGTGAAAACACTAACAGGATTGAAGAAATGCTTTGTTTTCCTTTTTAAAAGCCTTGACTTGAGGATATATTGGTGTCATAGTCCAAAGAATTAAGACAGAAAAGTTCTTAACAGTTATTTCTTCATATTTGCGGAATTAAAATGAAACAACTGATCACAGTCTATGATGTTTCCTCAATTTTTTTTAGCTCTTGCTGCAATAAAACAATGCATTAGGGCTGGGTATCATTAAGAAGCTGGCAATACCTCGATACACAGGCCACAAAACGATACAGATCTCGATACAGTGCACTTTTGATTCAGTACGATATATTTCAAATCATTTCAACACGGCTGAATAAAAAAATAAAGGCTAAATCATGGCTGTGATACTAAAAGTCTTTGTTAAACCACTTCTTGTGCAAAGTTCATATGAAAAAAGCCCAGGTTAATCATCAAAACAGTGAATATGTCAGATGTGTCTCATAAAAGAGTTTCCTTCCTCTAAACAAGCAACAAAACTGTAGCTGTAACAAAATAATTTTGTAAAATATACCAAAAAATACTTTCTGTGATATATTGATACAGTATCGATATCGTAGGCTGCTGTATCATCACATTAAACTATATGATATATTGATATTTCGATATTTTTGCCCCTGCAATGCAATTAAGCAAATAAGTTTCGAATATACTGTGATTATTGTTACATCCCCAATACTGACAGAATGAGACATAAAATGTAGCTTTGTAGACTGGGTGTTGAGTCAGTGATTTTCCACAAACACTACCAGTTAAAAGTTTGGACACGCCATCTCAATGATTATTATTTTTCTTGTGTATGTTTACTATTTTTTACATTTTAGATACACATGGACGACATCAGCAACATGATGCAAGATTAGGGTGACCGGATTTTCAAAATAAAAAACTCGGACACCCCGGTTTGGGGTGATTGGTAATAATAAAATTGTGAAACGAGAGCAGAAGTAAGGAAAATTGTTCTGCGCTCAGAAGGTGATGTGTCAGTATAGTCACATTTTCTCTGTGTTTTGGTCATTTTTAAGCTGCTTTTCTGTATTTTACTGAACCTAATGACAATTTTTGCCTCTTTACTGTTGGCAGGGATCAAATTAGTTATAAATAAGGACACCTGGGACATTTCTTGTATAAAACTGGGACAAATCATTGGTTTTGGATAAATCTGCTGGGACAGGGGACACAGGGCTCCAAACTGGGACTGTCCCTGGTAAGTAGGGACGTCTGGTCACCTTATGCAAGATATGTCTGGAATGATGTAACAAAGAAAAAAACTAAATATTTTTATATTTTCAATTCAAATCCTCAGAGTAGCCACCCTTTGTTTTGTAGACAGCGCTGCAAACCCTTGATCTTCTCCCACTGAGCTTCTTGATTCAGTTTCCTCAAACGGTTTTTACTTCACAGTTGTAACATGACATCTAAACACGGGGTTCAACGCAAATGGTCTTTTTTTTTTTTTTTTTACCCTAACCCTCTAAAACAAGTAAAACAAGTGCACACTGACTTCCTGCTAAACGTGCCACTCGATATTGCCACACTTGTACTTGTACTTGTCTATCGGAAATGCTCTTAATGTACTTTTTAATATTGCTTTTATGTTATTATTATTATTATTTTTTCAGATCATTTTTAATCACTGGACCTCAGGGAACAAATTTCATTCTATCATGTGTTTCTCTCGCGTGGTTGAGTCACAAATAAAGACCCTTGAACCTTGAAGTTTTGAGTAATTTTAGTTTATATTAAGTTTACTATATTCCATATGTGTTCATTCTGTGTTTTGATGCTTTTAGTGAGAATCTACAATGCAAGTAAACATGGAAATAATGAAGGAAACTGAATTAAACAGTGTGTCCAAACTTTTGACTAGTAGTGTATGATATAAGGTTTAAGGCTGTGTATTAAAAATGTGTTTATGGAGGAGGGTCTGTCACCATCTGCTGGTAACAACAGGAAGTGATCAGCAACACGGTTATTAGAAATGTGACCCTACAAGATAAATGGTACTATATTATGTGGAAATTGACTCTTGTGAGCGTTAAGCCATGTTACAAAGCTGCTGTCTTCTCAGAAACAGACCTGGAGTTGTGTTTTGTTTCATTCACACGTTATTATCAGTCTTAGTAGTCTGATGCCATCACCTTTTTTTGTATGAATGAAACAAAACACAACTCCAGGTCTGTTTGTGATGAGGAAACATAACATGGATCAAAAACAGAGTACAGAGTAGGCCCTTTAATCTGTGATAGAAGAGCAGATCAAACTCAAACCTGGAGTTCATTCGAGCGCGCAGTTTCTTGGCCTTCTTTCGTGCTTTCTGCCGCTCCTCTGCGTCCTTCGTGTTCTCGGAGGACACAGAGCTGTCCGTCACTATGTCCACAATGTACTTTTTTAATGATAGGTGCTCCTAAAACAAGAGAAATTATAATCACTACTGGCTTTTTCCCAAAATATTCCAAATAAAATGAATAGAAACATCTTCCAAATAAAGATATAAAGTCATATTTCTGTACTTTTTCACATTTTACCAGACATTTTCAAGCACATTCCCAAAACATTGTTAAAATATCATTACAGATAATGCAAAAAAATACAAATAATATATTTTTTTGGCATTATGTCAATTGATGATATGCAGTGACATCAAGCTGGGGGTGTTCTAAATGTCTCTGGAATATTCAGCAGTGCACACAGTAGCAGAAACACGATTAAAAAGTTATAAGATAGTCCGAAATAGGACCATGAACATTTTTTCTTGAGTTTTCAGAGTTTGATTTTCAACAAAAATAGTGTGAGAGCTTATGATTGTAATTTTGTGTGAGAGACTTGTTAAATAGCACACATCAGCTCACCTATTGTAGTTCCAACTAAGTCAGCTCTTTCTAGTTAGACTTAGACTAGACTTAGTCTTACAATAAAGATTAAAGTCTAATAGAGCTTCAGACATTAGAGAGCCTACAGTTAGTATCACACCCCCAGAGATTGTTTACGACAGCTGGAAAGTATCAGCTGTGTACGCACCACTTCCTCGTCCGACAGCTCTCGGCCCTGGATGCTGCTGCTGTCCCTCACGGCCTGTTGGTGCTGCTTTCCTTTGGTGTGGCTGAACAGGTGCACCTCTGATGTGATCTACAAACACAAGTAAACATGAAGAGAATACAGCGGTGAGTCTATGTTAAACTAGCTGAAAGAGCTTTGTAGATATGGAATAGAAAAATAGATGAAGGGTAAAAGCAACAGTAAATTAGTCCAATAAAATCAAAAAGAAGTCAAGAAAGAAAGAAGATACATTAGATAAATTAGATAGATAGATCAGGGTATCCTCAGGTTTGACTACCCCAAATTTAAGACTTTTTAAAGATCTTTTTAAGACCACATAAATGAAAATTAAGACCAACAGCCCATCCATTATGCGGGCGAAAAATACCAGATCCAATTCTAATAATGACCAACCAATTACTATATCTAGAATCTAAGAGCCGCTGTGGATTAAACCTACACTTCTCCATGATCCATCCAACGTCTTCCTCCACTGCACTGATTGTTTACTCATTGCCGCCGGCACCACAAACCAAAGTACTGTTTGCGCATACTCCAAATTAGACGTTCATTCATGTCACATGATTTCACGTTGTTGTTTTTTTTCCCCCTCCCTCTATTTAACGTTGCACTGCAGCCTGGTTGAGTATACAAAAAAATAGGCTAATGAAACTTAAAACCTTTGTAAAAAAAAAAAAAAAAAAGACTTGGACAACATAATTTAAGACTTTTTAAGGCCTTAATTTAGAAAAATGAAATTTAAGACCTTTTTAAGACTTTCAAGATACTGTAGATACTTTATTGATCCCGAAGGAAATTCAAAGATAAGGAAAAATGGTCAATGCAAAGAAAATATTAGGGGTGGACTATATGCCAGAAAAAATATCACAATTTTCTTAGAGCCAGATCATGATTTAGATTTTACCATTTCATATAAATTTAATATAAATAAAAAAGATTCTATCAACTGGACAAAAGTTTTTAGAGTGAAGACATAAAACTAATACATCAATCTGTTTATAGTTCACAGTTTACAATTTCTGTTTCTTAACTCGGGCTATTGAAATACATGAAGTGTGCTGTGCCTGAGTCATATTTACATAATCCGCCTAATGGGTGCTTTCATACCTATTAGCCTAACCTATATACAGGCTATCACTGTTGTTTTCCTTGTTTTGATTTTGACCAGAGGTGTGAAGATATAAATAGTAGATAGACGGAAACTTTTGTCCAGTTGACAGAATCAAAATTTTCTTTTTCTATGGACCCTTCCGGGACAAGTGAAAGATTACAAAGATATAAACTGAATATCTTTATTTTGCCTTGAAGAGGTAACTAAAGTGAAGTAATTTGCCTATTCTGAAAGTTCACACTTCATTACAATTGGTTAAATCTACCCGTCACTCATTCAGAGCATTGTCTTTGTTTACCAAAGTAGCAGATTGTAAAAGGAATGAGATCATGATAAAATTTTTATTCAAGTTCGTTGGGCTGAAAGATAACGCTTATTTGATGTGTAATCTTAAATGTGTGTATCTCACCAGCACAGAGCAGAGGGAGCAGTGCTTTTTGCGTTCGTAGGGTGTGAGTTTGGGAGCGTAGTCTGTGTTTGCGTGACGCCCGCTGCTCAGCTCTGCAGCTTTCTCTTTCCTCTGCTCGATCTGCTCCATGTGCCTCCTGCTGCTCTCATCGTGCTACAAAAAAAAAAAAAAAAAAAAAAAAAAAGGTCACGAGGCTAATTCATAGTTTAGAGTCAAATATAACAGGTGGTTAAAAAAAAAAGAACACCTTCATCTGAATCTTCTTCTGCAGCTCCTCCATGGCCTCCTGTTGTGCTGCACTCAGAGCTGCCAGACGCTCCTCACGATCCCTTCACAAATTTCACAAAAAAAGTCTTTTATAATATCTCAGATCAGAAAAAATAACCAGATATAACCAAATATAACCAAATAAACAACTATCACTTCCAACTTATAGCAGTTCAATGGAGCTTAACAAAGGTGTAGAAATACATCTCCCATCAAAAAAAAAAAAGTTTGCAATCTTTCTCAGGCACAGTGACTATTGACCACAATCTGTTTCTGAAACTCTGACCGCAAAGTAATAAAAGCAGCTCTTGTTGAACTCCATTATTAGTTACGACTCAGTTCAGTGCTTTCGATTGCTTTTTTTTGAAAAGGTTCAGTTTGTGGCTCATGCGTCACCCAGAATCAATGAATATATAATGTTACGTTAAAAATGTGTGATTTTTTTTAAATGTATCCCGAAAAGAGGGGTATCCAACCTTTTTACTCCAGTGAACTGTTTTAACAAAATGAAAATTGCAGAGGTATTACTGTTGGCGGTCACAAGAAATCAAGTTTATATAAGATTGATGGGTAGCTTCAAATGGAGTTCACTTAGATGCCGATAAAATTTAAGCTTTGGCATTTATTTACGCACATAACAGGCATCTAAAGTAATAGTTATAATGGTAAATACGTATGTGATGAATACATTTCTTTTATATTCAGCGTAAAAAGTTCTTAAATCCTTTGGGGAGTTTCTTGAAAGAGGTTGGAAAAGTAACAGCTAAACTCCTGATCTGAAGCATTTGACCAATAATATTTGTACCGTATTTTCCGCACTATTAGGCGCTCTGGATTATGAGGTGCACTGTCATTAAATGGTCTATTTTCAAACTTTTTTCACAAATAAATTGCACCGGACTTTAAACGACCGCTGGATTGTCGGCGTGTTCGCAGTGACTCAGTTGTTCAGTTGTGTCTAGAAGTGGCACATTGCACTCGCTTTTTCGGTTCGTTCCTCTATTCCGTTCCTCGTCGGTGTGGAGCGATGAGTGTGGCTGTGGGTGTTTTTCACTGTGCGGTCGCTGTCTGCTCCGTGTGTGTTTGCGGTTTTGTAGTTTACTGAAGTCGTGCTGGGACACCCGAGTGGATTCGTGTATAGGGCGCTCTGGATTGTGGCGCGCAGTCATTTTTTGATGGGGTTGGAGGCTTAAGAGCGCGCCCTATAGCCCAGAAAATACGGTAATAATTTCAGAAAACATTGATTGTTGTTAGAGATTCAGACCTGGCTCTCTCTCTGGCTGCGTCCTCTCTGGCTCTCTCCTTCTCCTGACGCTGTAGTTCGATCCGTGCTTCCTGCTCCTTCCTCTTCGTGAGCAGCTCCTCCATCCTGGCCTGACGCTCCGCCTCCAGGACGCGCTTTCTCTCCTAAAAACAAACAAGCGTGAGACACATTTCTATTGAATCAAATTATTAGGGTGACAGCACCTCAGCGTTTGTCCACCGATCTGATGGTTGGTCATTGAAATCCTGCTCTCGACACAAATATCATTGGGAGAGCGGTCAGACCCACCAGCCCACAGGTTGGCAGTGAAATTCCACCTCCCTGGGCAAAACACTTAAACCCTCTCTTGTCTGTGTGTGTGAATGTGTGAGTGGTTCTTTGATGTAAAGCCTTGAAGGTGGAAAAGTGCTGATGACCATTTACCATTTTATTACTGTATTACTGTAACATTTTTGCTACCGTTTTATTTATATTTCTGCTCTTTGTTATTATAATATATTGTGAAGTGTGAGCTACTGTGTCCGTATAATTTCTCTTGTGGATCAAAAAACTTTGTCTAAGTTTAAGCCAAAGCACAGATCATGAGTTTATGATGAGGTTCACCTGTACAGCCTCGTCTCGGGCCTGTTTCTCCTCCTGTCTCCTCTGTCGTTCATCTTGGAGCTCGTTCAGACGCTGCTCGTACTCGTTCAGTTTGGCCAGAGCGTCATGTCTCTTGTTTTGGGCTTCCAGGGTGTTGATGAAGGCGATTTCATTCACCTGTAAAGACCGCACACATGTGGGTTAATTCAGGTAGTAGAGGTACAGTGATCCAGCTTTTTCATTTCTGATACTGATTCCGATAATAAAGCTGAAAGTATCTGTCTATACCTGCTATTAAATGATACCAGTGCAGAGACAGAAAACCGCATTTATTTTCTTTAAGCTAACATAAAATAAGACAAAACTAATCCTAATGTGTTACGTAGCTGTCATTTATCTCAACAGAACAACTTTGTTTAAATAATACTTCAAACATTATGAGATTTCTGGGCTGTACATTACATAGTACATAGTCTCATCACATCAATTTAGACTGAACATATATTTGGAAGCTGGTATCCAATCCAGCAAGTTAGATATGTGATTCAAATATCAGATGAGTGGATTCCTATAAAGTACGTCATTTTCAGTGTTAATAGAGACTACTGTGGATCTTCATAGCCTAAAGCCGACATGTCAAACTCAGGCTCAGGGTCCAAATTTGGCCCGTGATATAATTATATTTGGCCCGCGAGATCATATAAAATATGTATTAGAGCTGACCCGCCGGCTACAGATAAGACTATAGAGACATTATTTATTAAAAATGTTATTATTTTATATTCTGCTTGTTCTGGATTCAATGTTTAAGCAAAACTATTATTAAACATTTATTTTAATAAGAAAAGGTTTAACGTTACTTATCTCTAAAAAAGAGAAAACATGCAGGTGTTGTTAAAATGTTTCAATAAATATTTAATTTGGCCCTCTACTTTGTCCCAGTTTTTAATTTTGGCCTCTGTGAATTTGAGTTTGACACCCCTGACATCACCAAATCACTCTGTTAACCATTGTATTAAACTATACTGGGCAAAAGGGACTGCTGAAAGATTAAATATAGACAGTTGATTAAATACAGGCAATAATAAGTGAGACATTTATACTGCAATTATATTCTGAGATTAAATAATTAAAATGAAAATGATGTCTGCCACCACAGTTGCCCCAGAATCTATGAGAAACGCTGCAGTGCTGTAAACCTTCTTGTAAAAATATCTAAAGCCTGACGTGCAACAGGATTGTCACAAATAAAACTATGTAGATGACAAATAAAAGACTACAGATATTTCAGCAACACGTCGTACTGTGGATCCTGTACCTTGGCTTCTTCTTCTTGTGCCTTTTTCACAATCGCCTGCAGCTGCACCTCCCTCTTCAGTTCGGCGTGGAGCAGTTTTTCCTCCATCATTTTTCGACGTTGCTCCAGCAGCTCCTCTTTCCATTTCCTCACGTCTTTCTCCTGATAAAGTAATGATAAATTAAAGCATTAAAGAGGTTGTCTGTAGGGTAAAATGTCAAAAATGCATATAGAAAATCAGACAACCAAAACTTAAGGTACTCTGTTTAAAAATCATCCATCTAAAATACAGAACTAAATAATTCTGTATATTTTGTTTGATATATTTGATGTCTTCTGGACCTACAGTATATGAACATGAATGAAAATGAGGATGTGTCCAAACCTTTATCACATTTATTGCAGTCACCTGTTCGTATTACACTGCTCTCTTACAGGCTTGTATTAAAACAGGGCTGTGGGTGAGTTTGTAGTAAATTAAAATCACAAAGAATTTGAAGAAAATAATCAAAATTTGCATTATGTCAGTCCAAAAATATAGACAGAGTTTATTGGCCATTGACTGTTCTGAACTGTAAACAATTGATGTCAGTATTGGGAAAAAAACGAAAAACAATACTGACGATTCTCAGATTTAAAAAATATACAACAAACTACTTTTCTATGAATTTTATGAAGGGTTCTTGGAGCGGAGGGCACTGTATATTTCATTGTACCATTCTCTGCTCTCTCACGGCTGCCTGGGCCCAGCTGTCCACAGAGTGATGGCGTCTGAATATTTAGTGATTCTATCAGGGCCCGTGCTGACAGACGCCCTCGTGGGAGCCATGTTGGACTGAGCTTGCCTGGGACATTGGACCTACCCTCTCCAAGAGCTTCTGCAGTTTAAGAGTCTTTTCCTCTCTCAGTTTGTCCCTCAGCTGTTGGGCCTTCAGCTGTTTCTCCTCATGTTTCTTCTTAGACTCTGCGAGGGTTCTGCCAAAATATAGAAACAAATGATTTTTCTCAGTCAGTGACCCCATCAACAGGGAACAGACCTGGACTGAGGTTGTTTGGGACTTCTGGGTGGTACTACAGAAAACACCAGGTCAGATGACACGCAGGGTGTTATATCTTCGTTGGTATATGGGAGTTCTCTGTACCTCTTACGTGACGGTGAGGACAGTTTTTCGTGCATGTGGATTCCGTGTCCCGGAGGTCGAGCTGGTTCCTCCTCCACCATATCGCCCCAGGAAGTGCTCTGACGCCATGTTTCCCGAGCTGCAGATACAATGAACATTTTAAAAAGTAAAAGTTATGTATTTTATTCAAAACTATTTAACATAACCATTAGTGCTGCTGCTGTCAGTAGCAAATGTCATACATTTAAGTTCATGTTTTATAATATTACATTATATTCATATTGATATATAGTAAAATATTTAAAAAGCAATATAGAGCAAAATAAGTTAATTTTTCTGTAAGTTCATGTAAATAAATTTTATTTTATTTTGGTTGATTTGCTCCACTTCCAATTACATATAATTTCAAGGGGAAGTTTTTATGGGTGCACTGCCTTAATTGAGAGACACACGAGGAGCTGACCTCTGAGCCAAAAAGACATTTTTTGTTTTAAGTTAAAAGTTTCACAAGGACAAGACTTTATTCCCTTTGAGTGGATGTGGCCAATGAGGTACATTTTGTGTTATTTTATTGTGTAATTACTTTTCTGACTGTGTTTGGTATCCAAGGGTTAATTTTTTTAAGTTTTGTTTTTTTCCTTTCTATAGTTCTGTGTCGGCATTAAGGTTCATTTACATGTGAAGACATGTGAAAGACTCCAGTCCGAATAAATGCTTGTTAAAACCAAAGAATGATTTTGAGCCTTGTTTAAACAATTAGGGATGGTATCGGAAAATATCAATACTTGTTACCTATATTCTATACCATTTTAATCTTGCTATGCCTCGTTCTCTGTGTAACCTTTCGCAGCAAGATGGATTCTCGTGATATTTGTGAGTTTAAAGACTCACGAGAATTTATATTTGTGACCACTGTACAGCTAATTGTGTGTCCGGACTGGTCACATTGCAGCATTGAGGTTTGTACTGAAGCCAAAGGTGAAGCGCCCAAACGAACCAAAGCAAACAAGCACACACGTATTTCAGACTATTTTAGCGTCTATTTAGTTTGTGAAAAACTTGCCAAAAAGTGTGCAATTGTGAACAGGAACAGGGTCTGTGCTTTCCTCTCATCTGTATTTAACTAAAGTTTGATTTTTCGGCTTGTTCTGCTCGTGACGCTTCAACTAATCACATTAAAATAGTCATCTTGTTACTTTGGGTTTCCAATCTCTTTCAGTGAGAGCAGTCCCCGATTGATAATGTGTAGAGCTCAGTTAAGAGTGACACACAGATCAGTCTGGTGTGAGCCTGGTTATTCTCTGTGTGCCCTCTTTAAACAAGTTATTTTCTATTCCAGTAAAATACATTTTGTTATTATTGTGAAAGTGAAAAATGTGTTTGTAATCGTTAGTTTAACTTAAGATAAATTTGTGGGCCACACTATTAGTTGGGAGAAATATATAGAACTTATGCTCAGGCTCGGGTCAGACTCAAACACACTGGCGAGTTATCTGTTACCTGTCGACAGTAACAGTCTCAGAGCGAGTGGTTTTAAGTGTTCAAAAGATCAGAGCACCACACTTCTATTTTAGATACAAGTCAAAAATGTGTTATTATTATTTGTGAAATGAGGTGCAATACTTCGGATACATGATTTTTAAAGCATAAAGATTGGCGATATACATAAGAAGTAGAGTCACTGTCGCTAATCTGCAGCTTCAACTTGATCCGTGCTCTGTGTGGATGTAAACAGACAAATGTGAGGAACTACTCTCACCTTTTTACTTTCAAAGAACGCCTTAAATTGGATTAACAGCGCTGTTTTGTGGACTGGATGTCATTATTTGTGGAGGACAAATTCAATAGATAATATGTATAAGATGCTGCACTTTAAATTTACCACAAAGTCTTCACATTATTTTCGCTGTATCCCAAGTTTGTATTTTGCATCTTTTTTTCCATTAGAGGCCACACAAACAATATCCTACGTGTGTCATTAGGCTGATGAAAAAAGTGTGATTTTAATTGTGTCAGGTTCGGTCAGGATCAGACACAAATATCTTAATGCCCATCAGGTTCGGGTCAGATTCGATCACTGCTCTGTCGGACACAGGCTGGGCTCAGAGAGAAAAATTTGGCCCAACCCGCACTCTATACACTATGGATTTTAAAAGTTATATTTCGGTGTCAGTAAATACCGATTATTGGCCACAGCATCAGGCTAAATATCGTATTGACTCAAAAATTCCACACTGGCCCATCTCTAATAACTATATAATTTCTTACCGTCATAATCTGCCAACATTTCACTCCAGTCAATATTCGCTCCACCGCCCCCACTGCCTATGCTCATCTGCAATACAAAAATTTTATTCCTAGTATTGTTATTATTACTTTTTAGGTTGAAAATACAAAGTCACTCAACAAAGATGAGAGCTCTCACAGAAAAGTCATTTTCGTTGTCTGTTTCCAGCTCACTGTTCTCAGCCTGGATCTCTCTGGTCAGCTGCTCCTCCTCCGCGATGGCGCTGGCAATGGCCTCTTCGTTTGCTTTTTCTAAACGGTCGGCTAATTCCTCTTTCTTTGCCAAAACTTCTGCCATGGACTGAGGCTGGAACACAGCACACTGAGGTAAGTAACGTTAGACCCAAGTAACCAGCAGCATGTGGGGAATACTTTTTGTATTTGTCCAAAACTTCAAATCACACTTCAGTCACTTATAAACGGTGCACACTTTAACGTCAAAACACACGTGATGCTTTCAGGATCATGCACGTTCACTGTGAGAATGGAGAGATGGTGGAAGGAGGACTTTTGTTGAGTTTATTCAATTTAATTACATGTTTTATTTTAGAATTTTATTGCTATTTGGACAGAGCCCTCTACTTCGAATCAATACTAATAATAATAATGTTTGTTTCAGACTAATTCAGACAGGAGATTTCAAGACAATTCTTTAGAGATTGGCCTCCAAGTGAGTGACCATAACATTAAAAACAACACTTTAATGAAAAATACAAGGGTCCATGTATTGTATTTCTATTATTCTATTATTATTAACACGTTATATATCGGTGTAAGCTAAAATCTTTCCCCTTTCTGAGCTCTATTTTCCAGAGAACACAGCGATTCCAGCACCTCTCAGAGCTATGAACTTTTGCTTTCTTAAGACTAACTTTGTTTAGGCAGTATAAACACCCCTGGGTACAGCTCCTCCATCTCTCAGCACTCACAGTAGAAAGCTCTGTGGGGTCCAGTGCACTCTCCAGTTTCACCGCTGCTGTGGAAGTCTGGGTCTTTCCTGGAGCAGACGAGGCCCATATCGTCCCACTGCCCCCCGGGGTCAGCGGTCTGTCCTCAGGGGCTGGTGGGGGTAGGTCTGAGGGAGGGGCGGGATCGGGGGTGGGTTCGGGGACGGGGTCGGGGGCGGGTGCAGGGTCAGGGGGTGGTGCTTCCTCCGGGGGAACAGAGCAGAGATGCTGCCCTGTGTCGTGTACACCCTCTGCTGGAGACTGCACCGATAATTACACACAAAAAGATGCAAACTCAATTATCACATGCGGTTTCAAAACAGTTCAGGAGCAATGACAAAGAAAACAAAACCATTACATGCGGCACACGAATGAGAACACGCACATGCAGAAATAATGTGGTTTTATACTCTCAGGCTAAAGGAAGAAATTACAATATTGACTAATCATTCTTCCTCTTCTTCTTCCGCTATTTAAGTAGGGACGTAAAAATAACATCAGCAGTTCAAACCGCTGCCTGCACTCTACAGCATAAGACCACAAGGCTCAAGAGCGCAAATATGATCTACTGTAAATGTGTAAATTCAACAATAATCGATCCTTTGCAGTGACATTACGCTGGGGGTGTTCTACATGCATCTCTATTGGCAAAAAGTTCAGCAGTTACAACAAAAAATTTTATTTAAACAGCACATTTTCAGAAGCCTGTGGTCAATACAAGTGTTCATGATCGTGTTTAGGAGTTTGATTTTGAACAAAAAGGCATGAGTGACTAACTAAAAAAACTTTTGGCTGAAGCAAACTATCTTGTGACTCAAATTAAAACAGAAAACACACATCAAAGTTCTTGTAGAGGTGTAAATGCAAGGAACAGTAAAACAAAAGTGAAAACATGCATCGCACACGTATATGGCTATTGTTTTTTTAATTTTTAAATAACGTTTCAGCAAAAAAGCCTTTGTCAGAAAAAAAAAAAAAAAAAAGATCTGACGAAGGCTATTTAAATATTAAAAAAAGCTTTTGGACATCGGTCATCTGAGTGTGCTATGGATTTTTTCACTTTTAACCATCTTGTGACTGTCATTTTATGTGTGAGAAACTTGTTGAAGCCACAAATTGTCTCAGCTGTTTTAGTTCCAACCAAATCAGCAACAAAACAAAACTCAGATTAAGTCTAACTTGAGTAACAGAGCTTCTAACAGAGTATAGCTTCCAGTTAGCTTCACACCCCCAGGGAATGTTGAACAGAACTGTGGGAGCTATTTGCTTATTTTGTTGATTCAAAAATTAGTTTATTATTTTTTGTTTATTAATTTGTTTACTCATTTAGTTGTGTTAATTTGCATATTATAATTTTGATATGTTAATATTATGTTTGTTCATTTTAGTCTAAATTGGTATTATTTACATTAGCACCTTTTTTGTTTTTGATTTAATTTGGGTCACCTAAGGGACAAAGGAGGTTGGGACACATAAACCAGAGTGCACATGGATGGGCCTATGGTTTTTTACCAGTCAAAAGAAGAGGGCAGCAAGAGTAGACCTTTAATATCTATCCTTGTTGTTTGCCTAAAACTGGAAATAAATCTTGGAAACTCAGCTCTGGTCATGGATATTGATTTGTTTTTTGTCACTGCGTAAACCACAAACCCGTGGTGCCCAAAAGTGATTATTTGAGTTATGTTTAGTTCTGAGTTTGCTCACTGCTGCTTTTCTTTGACAAACAGTCACTATAAGGACCATGAACAATTGAATTAATCACAGGCTCCATTTTGTTCTTCTTCTTGAGTTTTCAGACTTAAAACTTGTTTGTCTGTGTTTGCTAATGTTTGCATGGTAACTGATGTACATTTTAGAGTAGAGGTACATGTAGAACACCCCCAGCTTGATGTCAGTGTAAAATATCAATAGGCCTGATATTGCGTAATAAGAACAACAATAATGCCATAGATATTACATCCCTACTTCCATGCTGGTAATGAATGATGACAGACAAAATCTCAGAGAACAGCCTCCAGAGTGCACCTCCAGTACCTCCAGAGCATCACCGCTCTTTGGGGCCTCCTCCTTCTGCAGATCTTGCTCCGGTGGTTTGGGGTCTGGGCTCTGGCGCTGGGGGAGGGCCGGTTCCTGTGGTTGCGGGTGGGTCGGTTTAGCCCTGGTCTGGTCGGCTTTGGGAGGGGCATGAGCCACGACCGGACTGACTTTGGCGATCATCGTGGCAGAGCGAGGCTTCGCTGGTCGTCCACGGTGCACTGTCTCCCACCCCTCTGCGTCCTTTTTGGCTGAAAATTATAAGCAGAGAGTGTCACCAATTTTATTTCATCAAGACAGATCACAATTATAAGATGTTTAAAAGTTCTATATTACACAAATTGACTCCTGTGAGCTTTAAGACATGTTATAATGTTGTTACTAGGGATGGGCATGATTAATCGATTAATTGATCATTGATTACGTTAATTTTAATCGACAAACCGAATGTAGGTTGCTGTGCGTAGCGTGACCAAACAGGAGTCCGTACATGTAGCTCTCTGAACTCAGAAGGAGCGAGCCAACACAAACATTCGGTCAGTCTGCAACGTACCGAAGCACAAATGCGTATTTAACGATGATTTGTACAAGAAATTCCACCCTTGCCGTTGCGTTCGGGACAAGTGTGAGTCCATGTGCACAGTGTACAAAGCAGCACATATGTTTCGGTGTCCAGTGGGAAAAAGCTTTGCCAGGTGAGAGTCGCGCAATGTCGATGACGAGTCCCCACCTCCCTCCCCCCGTACGGTGTCCTTTTGACAAGCGCAAATATGGTCACACTAACCTGTATTCCACTGAGTCATGTCTTTTAATCTGACAGAAATTGATCGCATCAGCGCACAAGAGCTGTAGTTTTATCTTTGTTGAGTTTATGCAAATTAGCCATGTAGTTTTAAGGTTCGTTTCTGTGAGAGTTGCGCAAAACTGCATTAAACATATTATAATCTCAAACGGGCTGATGTGGCTCTAGAGTCGTTACGGTTTAAATGTCGTAAAGTTGAATTTATTTATGCAGATTAGTAGTGCAGATAGTAATAATAATGATGATCATTTTAATATAAAAACGTTAATGATTAATCGATAATCGATCGTTAATTCTTCCGACGATCGATTAAGAAAATTTCATCGAATGCCCATCCCTAGTTTTTACCTCATCAAAAACAGGCCTGAAGCTGTGTTTTGTTTCATTCACGCATGTTTGAGTAACACTTTATTATTAATCTGTTTACATATCCATATCAAAATGCTCTGGTCCACCTTGTGATGTAATGAAGCGGTAGTTTTCAAGTTTACAGTTACATTTTATCTTTAGTTCAGCAGAAATTGGCAATTCCAGGGCTGAAATGATCCAAATGATTCTAGTGAAGGTGTATGGAGTTTAAAAACACAGTGGAGGACTTCTGGTACTACCACAAGATTACCAGTGGTGTTCAGATGGAGGATTTGGCCTCTGTGTGGAGACATCGGGTCATACTGAGCCAACCTAACCATGTACTGCGCTCACAGTTCGTGCAAATGCCCTCTGGGAGACGATATGTCACCCCACAGAAAAAGACCAACTGCTACACCAAATCTTTAATTCCTTCTGCCATAAAGCTTTTAAATGGAAAGTGAATTTGCTATTGTGTCCCTGATGCACTGAGGTTTGAATGTATGGCATCTGCTTTTTCCTTTTCTTTCATTAATTAAAGATTGTGCAAGACCAGAGATGTGCGAACTGAATTGCCCTTTGGGATTAATAAAGTTGTTGATTGATTGATTGACTGACATGATATCACAAGGTGGAACAGAGTGTTTACTGTTTGAGAGAAGAACATAGCTAGATTTGTTAAACGTGTGAATGAAACAAAACATGATGAGAAAACTACATTATAACATAGATCAGAAAATAGCGTAATATGGGACCTTTAAGTTTGTCACAAAAATTCTGTCAAACAAAATTGTTAAGACTAAAATCTGACATTTCTAGTTCTATATCAACAAATGTCTGTCATGCAAATCCAATTTAACCCTCTACCCTATTGATTAGTGAAGTGTTCTGTAGCTACTATAAATAACAAGTCAGATGTGAAAGGTAAGCAATCCTGAAACTAACTAAATCAAACAGATCTGATATGTTTCTAACCTGGTTTCTCCGGCTGAGAGACTGTGGTTTGGCTGCCGTGTGGGAGGGACTGAGAACACTTGACTCTGTCCGCCCAGCTGGGACCGGTGTGAGAGAGACGTGCTGCAGCCAGTGACGGGGGAGGACCTCTGCACAGAACAAATACAGCAGAAGGTTTCAGTGAAGGTGACTTTCAGTTCAAATGTGAACATTTGAACTGAAAGTAAACTCAGAGAGAAAATAAACAATGATGGACTAAATAAATCTAGAACATAGACTGTATAAATACTTGTAAATGGACATAGTTAATCCACTTGTCACCGAGTTCCAAATAGGTTCTGGCTTCACTGACTCTAGCTCCATTTCACTTTGTATTGAAAAAATGTGGCTCCTCTCCTTGTAACTGCTGCTGTCAGGCTCCTCATTTTGGTCTAAAAATGTTCATATTAACCCGCTCTACATGATCCTAATGTTTTTATTTTGTTATTTTGTTCATATATCAATTCCTATTTTATTTTTATTCTGCACTCTTCTCTCTTCTCATTTAATGTTATTTTTTTGATGATGATGATGATTTATGTTCTGTTTGTATTGTTATTTTAATGTCTTTCTGGCTTTCTTTAAAGCACTTTGAATTACTTTGTGTATGAATTGTGCTATATAAATAAACTTGTCTTGCCTAATCCTGACATGAAACTTTGCTCCTAACTGGACCCATAACTGCAAGCCTCGGTTAGCTTCATTTGACTGGACACTATGAGTGACATTGGACTCCCTTGGTCCACTTCTTTCTACAGAGTATGATCTAGACAGCTGCGCTAATCTGAAGACAAGTTTCACTTTTATCTAAAAATGATTACCCAAAGTTGAGAGCACGCCGAGCGCCTGGAGAGGGGACGATTCTGTCAGCTGAGGGACTGGCCATCACATGACGCCCTGGTGACATCTTTCGTACTTCCCAGGCCAAAGACGTGGGCCTAAACAAAAGGGAACATGGACATTGGAACAAGTTTAGTTATTTAATTATTAGTCATTAAAATTATGAGCAATATGAGATCTATAAAGTTAGCATTTCAAAACCTTAAGTTCATCATAATCAATACAAGTGCACCTGTTTTGGGCGTCTGTGTTCTCCAACTTCTCCTGGAGCTGGATCCAGTCAATCAGAGCTTTAAAATCCCGAACATAGTTGTCCAACATCATCAGCACCTCCTAAACAGAAGACAAAGAGAAAACTATGAACTATAAATGTACAACACAAGTAGGGCTGTACAATATTAAAGTAGAACTGCTTTGCTTTAACAACACTATAATATTTTTAAACTGAGATGTTTAGTGTTGTAAATGCACGGACCCTGCACTCCACCACGCTCTGGTCCGATTCACAGGTGACGTAGATCTCGTCCACAGCTCGCCTCAGGTTCTCAAAGAGGAAGGCCCAGTATCTCGCGCGCAGGTCCACTTTTCGAGGCTGTCTGCTCTTGGACGGGCTCTTCTCCACGCCTTTGTCCAGTAAGACAGAGACGCTCTTACTGTCACCCCCTGCATTCTGTAAACACACAATGGAACGTCAGAATCCTTTTTATATTTATACTTTATTTATTACTGCATGGTAGCACCAACCTTCCTGCTCCTCTGCTGTCCAGAGCCGGTTCTCTGGGTCTTTGAGCTGTTTTTGGACTTGGCTGTGTGAAGCAAATAAGAGGACAGAGAATTAAGTTAATAGACCACAATCATCTTTTGTTTGAAGAACTATACTGGCTTTGTATAACTCATCAAAGAACTCCAGTTTGGGTAAAGGCCAGTGCAAACTGGTTATTCCACTTTCTAAAAAGCAAGACCATTGTTAAATGTTTTTTGCATGGTATTTTTTAACTCTGTAGGAACTTTGTGTACATTGCTCTTTGCCAAATAATGAGTCATGATTTTATAAATATAATAATTGGCAACCGCTGAAATGAAGTGCTTTTTATAAGAGGTAGTACAAGAGAAGCTGAAATGTAGTCCAATGGCCTGTTTACCTTCCTCTTCCTTCGTCTCCAGGGGAACATTCCAGGCGATGAGATTTCGAGCTGCACGTCCTTCCTCCGCAACAATCTTCCTCACTTTATCATGACTGTTGGAGCGCGTGAAGGAAGCCTGCCACACAAAAGACTTAATGAGTGAATGACTGGCACAAAACCAAAACACACATCAGGGCAGCGCGTTAACCGCATTCACAACAAACTGCGTGTTTAGGGGAAACAAGCATATGAACCTCTGTGTCATCAAACCAAAACAAAATCAGTAAAAGAAAGAAGAAAAGCCATTCCCAATCACATTCCCAGGGAGCTGTACATGAGGACGTGGAGGAGACGCGGCTCCACTCAGGGTTCCTCACTTTAGCTGATATTTTCAGGCTCTTGTTGATTTGTTTTTTCCTCCTAGTGAATTCTTACAAATATTTATTATTAATTTATAATGAGTAGATCAGGCATGCATCTCTCTCAACACCTCATTTCAACAGAGGAACAGAAGATAAAAGTTCAAGTGGAGATTTCACCTGGTCTTTAAATAACCTATATACATTAGGACAGGGATCTCCAGCCTTTTGCGTCTGGTGAGCTACCTTTACAAAATGAAAATGCCAGAGAGTTACTCATTTTAACGGTCGCAAGAAATTGAGTCGATATAAGAGGGCAAGCCTTAGATGTTGTACAGTTAGACGCCTCTAAAACCTAAAACCATTATCCATTTACAGAACACAAAGTTTAAAACAACACATTTACAGTAGAAATTAATCACATTTGAGTTATTCAATACAATATGTATAATTCAGAAAACCCTTGGCAAGTTACTTGTAAGGGGGTGGAGAGCTACTGGCAGCTCCCAAGCCACAGGTTGGAGGCCTATGCATTAGGGTGACCAGATTTAATCCCCGATAATAATAAAATTGTGAAATGAGTGCGTGTTTAAGGAAATTGTTTAGGCAAAGATTATTCATGACTAAAATGTGAGTCAGAATAATTACATTTTCTTTGTGTTTTGGTCATTTTAAGCAGCTTTTTTATATTATACCTACACAGATGACAATTTTGCCTCTCTTTACTGTTGACAGGGATCTCAAGTCACAGGTTGGAGACCCCTGCATTAGGGTGACCAGATTTAATCCCAGACAATAATAAAATTGTGAAACAAGTGCGTATTTAAGGAAAATTGTTATGCAGAGACTATTCATGACTAAAATGTGAGTCAGTATAGTTACATTTTCTTTGTGTTTTGGTAATTTTTAAGCAGATTTTCGGTATTATACCTAAAGAGATGACAATGTATGCATCTCTTTGCTGTTGACAGGGATTAGATTGGTTAAAAATAGGGACACCTGGGACATTTCTTGTACAAAACTGGGACAAATAAATGGTTTTGGATAAATCTGCTGGGACAGGGGACACAGGGCTCCAAACTGGGACTGTTATGAGTAAATAGGGACGTCTGGTCACCCTATATAACACATGGATGCTGATGGACTGGAAATATGAGCCAGCTATGGCGGGGCACATCCTTCAGCTGGAGTTTACTGCGCCACTGACACCCAAAATGCAGTGGCAGTGCAGACAACAAATAGACGGTTTATACGTGGATAGAAAAGTACCTTCAGAGCATTAATAGATGTATTCTTGCTTCTGCCACCTCCATGAGAAGACCCAGAGCTGTTACTCCCAGACCTGTCCCTGGTGTCCCCGCCTTGGCTCAACCTGGGACCGGATCGGTACTGCCCCGCGCCCCGCCGCCGCACGTCCTTGGACATTTACTCTCTTTTTACTTGCTACTTTTCAAAACAGCGCATCCACGGGCGTGAATAAATCTACTTGTCCGATATAACAGAGGAATTTGTCAGACATGTTTGCTAAAGACAACCGAACGCCCGAGTAGGAAACGTTTGTGGATGCAGTTTTACAGACAACACGCTCATCCAATGCGCGTGACGCAACCTTGAGCGCGGACCAATCAGATTCACGAAATATGGGTTATAGGGCGGGACTTCCTGTAGTCTACCATGGCAACGGAAAAAAAAACGAGCGGGATGTTTTTTTTTTAATTATTATTAATTTTTGTATTGTTTTATTTTTGAATAGCTAAATTTTTAGTTTATTTATATTTTGTATTTTTATTTATTTATTTAATATTTATTTTTATTATTTATTTTTTGAGCAGGATGTTTTATTTTTATAGCACCTCGCTGGCACCAGACTTTTATTGTGGAATATTTAGACGGAAATAAGAATTCATTGGGAAAAGCAAAGTAAGTTTTTAACTCTGCTGCTTTTCATTTTATGCATAATTATTCCGTTTCCTCAATTGTTTATCTGTCATCAGAACAGACTAGCCTGCATTTCAGAACATTATTTGTTTGACTTGCTGTTAAAGGACTTACATTACGCAAAATGTTCTCTTGTGAGCTTTAAACCATGTTAGAATGTTATTACCTCATCATTTTGTTTTGTTTAGGGTGACTAGACGTCCCTATTTACCCGGGGCAATCCCAGTTTTGAGCCCTGTGTCCCCTGTCCCAGCAGATTTAAACAAAACCAGTGATTTGTGCCAATTTTATACAAGAAATGTCCCAGGTGTGCCTATTTTTGACCAATTTGCTCTAAACCTGGACTAAACTAAGATTAAACCAGGACTACATCAGGTCTAAACCAGGACTAAAACAGGACTATCACAATTTTTGACTAATCTGATCCCCGCCAACTGTAAGAGAAGCATAAATTGTCATGAGTTTTTCCAAAATACAGTAATCTGTGCTTGCAAAAAACCATAAAACAAAAAAATGGAGCAACAGAAGTCTCTTAGATTATGATTGACACGAGAATGCAAAATGTGACACGCTCTTTTCACAGTTTTATTTATACCAACCAAACTAACCTTGGTGTGCCCCAGTTTAGAATTTTGAAAATCTGGTCACCTTAGTTTTGTTTTTTTCACACATGTTTGAGTAAACCTTTATTATCAGTCTGTCTACATCTCCAAAGTTAAAAATACTCTGTTCATGCATTGGTTATTTTCATGTTAACAGCTCCTTTTACCTTTACATTATATCCATAATTCCAAATTCTCCAATTCCAGACCCCATTTTAAAACAATATCCTAGACATTAAGAATTATCTTCAAACTTTAAACAGTATTTCTAACAATACATCTATCAAAGCACTCAATATTACAGGAGAATTCTATTTAAATTTTAACCACTTTCTCATTTTCTTTTATTTATTTCTCTGTATGTATAATTATCTGCTTCAGTTTAAATTACCATGTATGTCAGTTTTGTTATTGTTTTATTTTGGCTTTAAATTGTTTTGCTGTTCTTTTAACCAAATATTCGTGTCTGTAAATGTTTAATTCACATGTGTCTCTTTAGATGTCTCTTCGGTTTGTGGTTCTGTTGCTCTTGCTGCAGTTTTGCACGAGTCATCAGCACAACACACAACACGGAACAAACGTCCTGCTCGGAGAAGAGGTATTTATTTATATCATTACTGTCTCCACCAGTGTTTTTCATTAATATCGGAGACTATGGTGGCTCTCCAAAGTCAAAAATTCTCCCCTGTACTTTAAAAAGAACATGAACAAAACATTTTTTAGTTCACTGACATTAATTTGGTCTTCCGATAAAATTAGTTTTTATACCTGACAGTTTCCACACTGAGGAAGACCACTAATGAGCAGTCGAAACTGTCAGGTATAAAAAAAACAAACACTTGGTCTGAAAAAAGAACCTAATAACATTAAACCTTTTTTATTATAGAACAAGCAAATTACAAATAAATCAGGTATCATGAATGACATTGGTTCAGTTTGCAGTAAATATGCATTTGGAAAAAAATAAAACAAAAAAGAGAATGTAAATGGGGGATATATTGCTAAATAAAATAAAGAAAAAAAAAGAAAACAGGTAAATAAAAAAAAATTTAAAAATCAAAATGAAAGAAGTTTGAATGAACTTTTAGACTTAACACGGGCCAGAGATTTAAGTAAAAATCCAAACTCATTCTTTCAGTTAATAAAGTTTGGAATAGATTTTTAAAAATTGACATTTATGTACAGTATGTATTACTTTGCTAATAATACAATATTTGTAATACCATTGTCAAACATGGACAAAAAATTTACATAACAGAATGTATTTATTTATTTGATTTATTTAATGAGACATTGACAGCGCACAATTTTTACATTAACCTTAACAGGAGAGATGCATTGTACAAAATCGCACTTTGTTGCTCCTTGTATTGTCATTCACATAAAAAGTAACTACACTGTTCAAAATTACTTGCTTAAATATGAAATACACACAATAAGTGACATTTAAACTCCAGAAATGTAAATAAGAAAATTATTAATCGAGGAAGTATGAGTTCTCTTTATCGCTTTGTGGTTTAATATTCTCTGTTTTGTGTTGTATTTCAGCACACAGGTGAAGTGGAGAATCTGAGCCCCGCAGAGCAAAAGAAAAAAATGCTGGAAATTGTGCAGAGGATCGATGCAAATGGAGATAAACTTTTAAATGCAGGTAGAGTCTCCTCAGATGTGTCAGGCTCCTCCTTCTGTGGTTTCATTATAAATATGTCCTTCCTGCCTCATTGAAATGATAAACAACGAACAAAAATAGGTGATTACAACGGAACTTGGTTATTGATATTTTGCAGCTGGGGGTGTTAAAATTTTTTACTTTAATCTAATTTTTGTTTCAACACAATCTGACCAGAAAGAATTTACTTAGCTGGAACCACAACAGATAAGCTGATTTGTGCTGTTAAACAATTTCCATGCTGATAAAATGTTTTGTTTTTGTAGAAAATAAAACTCCTACACTGGACCGTGAACGTTAGTATTGATTACAGCCTTCTGAAAATGTGTCTATTTTATATTTTTTCTTGAATTTCAGACTTATTTTAAACAGGGATGTAGTGGGGATTTTATGAGTGGGGGTATGCGATTTGTGACGTCATAAATGTGATGAATCCTGCCCACCTGAACCAGAACTAAACCAGGACTAAAACAGGACTGAACCAGTACTAAACCAGGACTAAAACAGGACTGAACCAGGACTGAACCAGGACTGAACCAGGTCTAAACCAGGACTAAAGCAGGATTAAAACCGAAATGAACCAGGACTAAACCAGAAATGAACCAGGACTAAACCAGGACTACACCAGGACTAAACCAGGAATAAACCAGGACTAAACCAGGTCTAAACCAGGTCTAAACCTGGACTAAACCAGAACTGAACCAGGACTGAACCAGGACTGAACCAGGACTGAACCAGGACTAAAACAGTTGTGAACCAGGAGTGAACCAGGATTAAATCAGGACTAAACCAGGACTAAACCAGGACTAAACCAGGACTGAACCAGAACTGAACCAGGACTGAACCAGGACTGAACCAGAACTGAACCAGGACTAAAACAGGAGTGAACCAGGAGTGAACCAGGAGTGAACCAGGATTAAATCAGGATTAAACCAGGAATAAACCAGGACTAAACCAGGACTAAACCAGGACTAAACCAGGACTGAACCAGGACTGAACCAGGACTGAACCAGGACTGAACCAGGACTGAACTAGGACTGAACCAGGACTGAACCAGGACTAAAGCAGGACTAAAGCAGGACTACACCAGGACTACACCAGGTCTAAACCAGGTCTAAACCAGGATTAAACCTTGACTAAACCACGACTAATCTTGGACTTGAGACATTGAACATTTTCGACTGTATTTACTAACGTGTGCATTGTGTCACCATGGTAACTGCGGCCATATACTAATACATGCATACATACAGACCCCCCCATAGCAATGTCACTGTGAAGCATCAGTATGTTTTTTTGTTTTTCTGCAGAGGAGATGGCCGTGTGGATCCAGCGTGTGTACAGGAGATACGCCATGGAGGACGCTGCAGAGAGGTTTCCAGAGTTTGACCTGGATCACGACGGTCTCGTTTCATGGGAGGAGTACAACACGGTGACCCACGGACACCTCATCCCCCTGGACGACTCGCCGCTGGACGACCCAGAGCAGCAGTCTCTCAGACAAGTACGAGCACAGTCCACTCTTTTTTACCACAAAAGAATGTTCAGAGAATGTTGGCTTTGTCTTTAGAGGTCACATATTACGCAAAATTTACTCTTGTGAGATTTAAGTCGCATTTTAAAGTTGTTACCGTCTTGAAAACAGACCTGGAGAATCTGTTTATCATTCGTTCATTCATTTTTCAGAATAAAACCAAAAATAAGAAAATGAAAAAAAAAAATCTTCATTATTTGTCTCCAAAACCAAAATGAAATTATTTGTTTTTACATTTTTCGATTTTGTGTTAAAATGAAAAATGGAAAAAAAGGGATAACAGTTTCCAATTTCCGTGACTTATACTGCGATGCCGGATTGAACCAGGACTGAATTAGGACTAAACCAGAACTGAACCAGGGCTAAACCAGGGCTAAACCAGGACTAAACCAGGACTAAACCAGGACTAAACCAGGACTAAACCAGGACTAAACCAGGACTAAACCGATCTCAGTCCCAGTCTCTGTCCCGGTCTCTGTCCCGGTCTCTGTCCCGGTCTCAGTCCCGGTCTCAGTCCCGGTCTCAGTCCCGGTCTCTGTCCCGGTCTCTGTCCCGGTCTCTGTCCCGGTCTCTGTCCCGGTCTCTGTCCCGGTCTCTGTCCCGGTCTGGTGCCAGTCTCAGTGCTGATGTCTGTCCCGGTCTGGTCCTGGTCTGTTTCCGGTCTTAGTCCTGGTTTGGTTCTGCTCTGTTTCCGGTCTTAGTCCTGGTCTGGTCCAGGTCTGGTCTGGTTTGTTCCTCCCAGTCTAAGTCCCGGTCTTGTCCTGATCCTTTCCTGGTCTAACTCTATGTGACACTCAGTTCTGGTTTAGTCCTGTTTTAGTCCTGTTTTAGTCCTGTTTTAGTCTTGTTTTAGTCCTGGTTCAGTCCGGCATCGCCAAGAAAACAAGAAACAGCCATTATCCATTTTTTTTCCATTATTCATTTAAACACAAAACCGAAAACCTGAAAAGATGAATCATCATCTGTCTTTCATTTTGGTTTTGGAGACAAATAATGAAGAAAATAGTTGTTTTTTCGTTTTGTTATTTTTGGTTTTATTTTGAAAAAACACTGAACAAATGATACACGGATTCTGGAGTTTGTTTTGTTTCTATAACTGTTGCTGGACGTTAAGAATAACTCATTTTCTTGTCTGGTTTGAAGCTCCACAGACGGGAGAAGCAGCGTTTTGACTTTGCAGACGGCGACGGTAACGCGGGCCTCAACGTGACCGAGTTTCTGGCCTTCACTCACCCGTCTGAAGTCGATCGCATGGCTGTAAGCACGATTTACACATCACAGATTACGGGTGTGGGGGGGCTTCTACATGTGTCTCTATTGGCAGAATGTGCATCAGTTACCATGGTGACACATAGCTTAATCACTTGTTTCACAGTTTTATTATTACCAACCTTCAAAAAACCAGGGATGTCCTAGTTTTTTTTGGAAACCTGGTCACTCTAGTTTAACAGCACAACTCGCATGTGGTAGTTCCAGATAAATCAGTTGTTTTTATGTTTAAAAAAAGGCTCAGATTAAAGTCTAACAGAGCTGCAGACAGAGCAGTGCCCACAGTTGCCATCAAAACCCCTGGCAATGTTGTTGAGTATAAATATCATTCATTATTTTGCTTTTTTTTTTTAGGACTTTGCCATTGAAGATGTGTTACATGAATACGATTTGGATCAAGATGGATTCATTAGCATCAGTGAGTTTATTGGAAATGCTCGTGGTGATGGTATGTACGAACAAACAAACAAACACTCGGGATGGGACAAGATCTCATGCCACAAGATCTCACGAGACAAAATTGCCACGAGATTGTGCACACATATTGAAAATGATCCTGTTAGACTTTTTTTTTCCATGTTTTTATGTTTGGATTGGATACAAAAATGGAGTTAAGTACTGTGAGTGACATTTTTTGACAAGCTGAAGTCCCAAAAAACAGAGGTGGGGACTTGCACGTCGTGACTTGGATTCGAGTCAGACTTGAGTCAATATTTTTAGGACTTGAGACTTGGCTTGATAAAATGGACTCTATTTGGACTTGAAGGTCAGTGACTTGGGACTTGACTCGAACTTGAGGCCTGTGACTTGAGAAGACTTGATGCTTCTCCTAAAAAAATATATGTTTTTAGAAAATACTTTACAGTAAAACAGAGGGAACTACAGAGAACTACACTACAAAATAACAGTTATTTAGCACTTTTAAATCTGAATTCTTTCTATTCTGACCGTAATAATTCACACTCAGATCTTGTGAAGTCATTTAAAAAGGAAAAAATTGCATTTCTACAACTCGTATATAAAAATACCATGACGTTTTATGTACAGCTTAGTTTAAAAGTCATATAAACTGCAAAAATTTAAGCTGCATTTGGTATTTCGGTTTAAAGATTTGAAATGACTTGAAGCTCAAAGCAGACGACTTGACTTGGACTTGACTTGGACTCGTGGACCAGTAACTCAAGACTCGACTTGGTCTTGCCTTTATTCGACTCAGACTTGACTCGGACTTGAGGTCAAAGACTTGAGGCTTGTAAAACAACGACTTGGTCCCACCTCTGCCAAAAATCACAGCAAAAACATTAAATAAAGAAAATCAAAAATGATGAGGCCAAAATTGGGAACTGGACTGCACAATTTATGTATTATAGAATGTCAAAATCTCATCCAATCTCGTGTCTCGTGTCGTTTTGTGGAAACTGCATCTCGTCCCACCCCTACAATACACTGTCACATGTACAGTATGAGCTCGTGTCACTTCTGTTTTCTTCTTCTTGTAGGTGATTCTGTTTCACACTGGGAAATGGAAGAGACAATTCGTTTCAAAGACCTGTACGATCAAGACAAAGACGGGAAGTTAAACAGAGAAGAACAGCTACGGTGGATCGCGCCAAATAGTTACGGTACAGCCAGAGAAGAGGTACGAACTTTTATAGCTATGATCTATGTTCTAATGTTGTTTCCTCTTCACAAATAGACCTGGAGGTGTGTTTTGTTTCATTCATACTAGAGGTGAGATCGGGCCTAAAAAATCCAGCCCGACCCGACCCGGCCCGCGGGTATTAAAACCCGACCCGGCCCGAGCCCGACCAATTAACTTGATTTGCAGGCCCGAGCCCGAAGCAAACCCGAAATGTCATATTTTATTTGTGAGGACTCGGGAGGAGTACAGCTGTTTAAATGCCTGCTCAGCGTCGAGGTGCCAGTCTTTTTGCTCTCGTATGAAAGCAAAGCGCCACATTGACGACATTCAGCGAAGCCAACGCAAGTTTCTGTAGCATTTTCAACAATCAATTTGAAGCTTTTCCACACCTCACTCTTACCGGTGCGTGTTTGTCTTTTCAGTTCTCCTGCCTTTAGTTTAACTTCTTGCTCCTCCATATTGGGGATACCAGGTCAAAATAGATGCAGACTTGCGAAGGGGAAGATTATTAAATTAAGAGGGGGCGTTCACGTGCGCAGAGCTCTGGCTCTGCGGATCCTGTTTAGTAGTTAAATAGCAATTACATTACATTACTTCTCTGTTTTATCCATATTATTTATTTTATAACAAGTATTTCTTAGTTTAGTATCCACACATCGTTTTAGCATACATTTTATAAACATATATTTATTTGAAAAAAAGTCAGCGAAAGAGAAGCCCGACCCGACCCGAAGTAATGATTGACATTTTCGGGTCGGGTCGGGCTTGGGCTTGGGCTCGGTCTTAAGATCTTACCTCTAATTCATACACATTTAACACACAAGCCCTGCATATTAAGGCTGAGTTCCTCTCTCAAACACTTTGTTCCACCTTGTCATATCAAGTGTCAATACAGGAAGTGCTCCGTACACCTTCACTAGAATCGCTTGAATGATTTCAGACCAGTCTAGACCAGAATTGCCAGTCTCTACTGAACTAAAGGTAAAATGTGGTCTGTTAAATTGAAAACTACTAATAAAGGATTACTCAAACACGTGTGAATGAAACAAAACACAACTCTGGGTACATTTTTGAAGAAGAAAACGGCATAAAAATGGTTTAAGGCTCACAAGAGTCAATTTTATGTAATATAGGGACCTTTAAACTGAGCTGGTCACTTATAAATTGTGTTTTTATGGAACCAAAATTGAGTGATATAATTATATTTGCGACAGATAGGCTATACAGACCTTATTTATTTAAAATTTTGTTATTATTTTATATTCTGCTTGTTCTGGATTCAATGTTTAAGCAAAACTAGCATTAAACATTTATCTTAATAAGAAAAGGTTGAACATTACATATCTCCAAAGAAGAGAAAACATGCAGAGAGTGTTGACATTTTTCAATAAATATTTGGTTTGGCCCACGACTTAGTCCCAGTTTTTAATTTTGGCCTCTGTGAATTTGAGTTTGATAGCACACCACATTACAGGTCAGATTTGTGGGGAGGTGATTCATAATTAGAATGCATGTTTTTCAAGGTATTGTTTTGAAAATAAATTAATGCAACATACAGTAGATACTGCAATAGAGATTCCATACTGTGTGTAAGGTTCAAACATTTGTTAAGCCACAGTTTGACACTTTGCACACCTTGTTCCACCTTTTAAAATGCATCAAAAATGAAATAAATCCACAGAGAGCGATCCAAGTGCAGTCAAAAACTCTTTACTGTGTATTCACGTATAGTTGAAGACATATGAAGTGACCAAAAAGTAGAATTTTACAGGTAAAGGAGGACAGGAAATCACTCCAAACTCCGATGGTGCACCTGCGCTCATCTTAAATAAGGAGGCATAGACCATAAAATAATACAAAAATAAGCATTACTTAGGTAAACTTATGATTTAACATGAATAATATTTATCAGTAATTGAAAGAAAAATGTAAATAGATCAAATAATTTAAGCAAATAATCACCAAATAATCATGTTAACCAAAAATCATGCATTTTAAGTAAATATTAACTTAAACAAAATAGGAATAATTATCTCAGTGGTTAAAATATTACAAAAATTACGACTCTCACAGTGGAAATTCCAGGCAAAACAACAACAACAAATCTCCATGGAAACAAGCATCGGAAAGTTACAAGCACTCTTTAAACTGAAAGCCAGCAGTCGCCCTTTTATGCGAGTATTCATAGCTGATCTCTCTGATATGATTAACAGGCTCTGCACTTGATCAAAGAAGTGGACCGCGACCTGGACGGACTCCTGTCGGTGGAGGAAATACTGAGAAACCAGGACACGTTTATGAACAGCGAAGTGACAGACTACGGGCGGCAGCTACACGTCACCCACGATGAACTATGAAAAACAAGTCAAACACGAGGGCACGCTGCCTCTGTGTGTGTGTTTTTTCACCGACGTGTAAATGAATGAATAGACAATGGTGAATATGAGCAGTAAAGTTCAGTGAGTGACACAGGGCTGGAGTATCATTAAAAAGTTTCCGATACGATACATACCTCGATACAAAGGCCACGATCCAATCCAGTCCAATTTTATTTGTATAGCACATTTTATAAACAGGTCAACAAGTTTCCAAAGTGCTTCACATAACAATGTAAAACATTTCACTTTAAAAAGTCAGTAGAATTATGTTCAGCAGAATTATGAGGACCTAATAGCAAAATTGAGAATCTAACAGCAGAATTATGAGGACCTAACAGAATCAGTAGATAAAAGAATAATAATAAAATCAATTAACAAAAATAATAAAATCAGTAAATAAAGGCTGTACTAAAATATATATAAAATAGAAAAAAATAAAATAAATAAATAAATAAAAGACACACAGTTAAATAAACAAACCACACAATTCACGTGGTGTTAAAAGCCACAGAATAAAAGTGGGTCTAAGGACGATACTTAAAACACTTCACTGTGGGTTCTGTTGGGACGTGGGGGTGCAGCAGAGAAGGTCCCGTCCCTCCTGGTTTTAAAGGGACAGTTCAGAATTTTGGACATAGGGTCTCATTTCCTAGTGAGTACTGTAGGCGTGTGGAGACACTTTTTGAAATATTCCATCCAGTCCTTGTATTTGCAGAGGTCGCTGGTGCTAGACTCGTGCATGTCAATGGTCATAGTTATCCTGCCACTAAAAACAGTCTTACCCGCTCCACAAAACACCCGAGGCAAATCTATTATTACACCAGACTGTCGATGTAAATGTCTGTGCTGATAGAATAATGTTCGAAATAAATCTAACTTTGCATCGCATGAATCGTCGCATGTTGAGGGACTATTTTCTCATATATCAGTCCGCCGCTGCCGAACTTTTTATCAGGAAGAACAATTCACTGCTGCTGCTCAGACATAAATCCTTCAAATGCAAGGTTGGTTTTAATTAACAGTGCACCTTATAATCCAGAGCGCCCAATAGTGCTGAAAATACGGTAATTGATACTTTTCAACATTCCCCGGGGGGTGTGGCGCTAACTGTAGGCACTGCTCTGTCTGAAGCTCTGTCTTTGACGTCATTTTGCTCATTAATACTTTGCAGTAACTTCACGATACATTTCTACATGTGTCTCTATTGACAGAATGTATGTCAGTTACCATGGTGACACAAAGCACACATTAACAAATAGTCGAAAAAGTTGTAAGATTGTCTGAAAACTCAAGAAAAAAATACAAAATGGTTTTAAACAGCTCGTATTCAGGAGCCTGTGATCAGTCCGAGCGTTCATGGTCCTGTTCAGGAGTTTAACTTTCAACAAAAAAGTGAAAGTTGGCTGTTGACTAATGCTAGGGTGACCAGATTTTCAAAATCGGAAGCGGGCCTCTCCTCCCCCCTTGGTTTGTAGTGGTTGGTAATAGTAAAATTGTGAAACAAGGGCGTAATTAAGTTCTGCATTTCCGCCCATTCACAACTAACATGAGTCAGTATAGCCACATTTTCTTTGTGTTTTGGTCATTTTTAAGCAGCATCTCTGTATTTTACCTAAACAAATGACAATTTATGAGTCTCTTTACTGTTGTCAGGGATCAGATTGGTCAAAAATTGGGACACCTTGAACATTTCTTGTTTAAAACTGGGACAAATTACTGGTTTTGGATAAATCTAAAGAACTGTCTAAGCTGGATCTACAACAAGTGAGCTGATTTTTTCCTCCAGTGAGCTACCTTTACAAAACAAAAAGGCCAGAGAGCTACTAGTTTTAGCTGTTACAAGAACTCTAATATATAAAAGAGCCACAGCGAGCCTTAGATACAGTCAGAGTAGACCAGACGTCCCTGTTTACTCGGGACAGTCCCAGTTTTGAGCTCTGTGTCCCCTGTCCCTGCAGACTTATCCAAAACCAGTCATTTGTCCCAGTTTTGTACAAGCAGTGTCCCAGGTGTCCCTATTTTGGACTAATTCAATACCTGCCAACAGTAAAAAGAGACATAAATTGTGATTTGTTTAGGTAAAATACAGAAAACCTGCTTAAAAATGATCAAAGCATAGAGAAAATGTGACTAGTCATGAATGGGCTGAGTGCAGAAAAGTTTTCCTGAATTACACACTCATTTCACAATTTTATTACCAACCACCACAAACCAGGGGTGTCCCAGTTTTTGATTTTGAAAATATAGTCACCCTAAGTTAGATGTCTATAAAAGATAAACCATTATCTGTTTATTAGTGCACAAAGTTATGTATCAAAACACATGTACAACGGTAAAAGGCATTTAATTAATCAAAATTTACTTATTCAGCATCAAGTGTAATTCAGAAATCCCTTGGCGAGCTACTTGGAAGGAGGTGGAGAGCTACAGGTTGGAGGCTCTACAACCTGCATCTCATTTCTCTTTCCTCACTTCCTTCTCCTTGATTCCTCTCCTCGATCCCCCAAGTTTCAGCTGTCAATCAAATGTGTCGTATTAAGAGGTGTCCCAAAGAAAACCACAGACGGAAGGAAGGAGTAAACCTGATGGAGGCTTCAGGAGGCAAACATCAGATAAAAAAATCAAACTTTATTGGTTTTAGTGAGAAGTTTAGATCCTCTCTCCTCGCTTTATCTCCTCTGTGGGCAGGACTTCCTCACCCATGTCCTCCAAAATCGAAGAGAGGAATCAAGGAGAAGGAAGCGAGGAAAGAGAAATCACTCAAACAAGACCACTGATCCCAGGCTCCTGAACATGTGCGGTTAAATCCATTTTGCATTTTTCAGAATTGTGTCACCATTGTAACTGCCGAGCATCCATAAAAAATCTCAATATTGACATTTAAATAGCGGCTCGCATTGTGTTTGTGGTTTGTTTTTCTTCTGATAACATTATGTTTCACACAGTTCCTCATCTGCATTGTCTGGTTTGTATAGAGTTTGGTTCACGTGAGAGGAACAAACTTATATCTGCTCCTGTTAAACACTTCAGGGAAATCTCTGAATCATAATAGCATAATGTGTTTGCTTTGAAACTGTCCTGATAATTAGTGGTCACAATATAGGACCATTATTTTATACTTAAACGCACTAACACAGGGATGGGCAAACTTTTTGACTCGTGGACCAAAAAGGGTTCTAAAATTTGACGGAAGGGCCAGACCTGGGGCAGATGGATGGAGTTTTTTGGTAATCCACCTCATAAGAGAAAAAATTAACACGGGATATCTAGAAAACATATCCCATGTTATTGAAATATCCCATTATTACAAAGCATTACAACTAAATATTTGTCTTTCAAGTCCCATGGTATATACTATTTATTGAAATTACTTTAAAAACACTGAAATTTATTATTGTCATTATTATTCATTATCGGAGGGCCGCATATGGCCCCTGGGCCGTAGTTTGCCCACCCCTGCACTAGCAATTTAACTATTCAGATATTATATTGCTCTAATGTTTAAAGATCTTATATTACGCAAAATGGACTCGTGTGAGGTTTAAGACGTGTTATAATGTTGTTAACTTCTCAAAAACAGACCTGGAGTTGTGTTTTGTTTCATTCACATGTTTGAGTAATCTTTTATTATTAGTCTGTCAACATCTTCAAAGCTGAAAATGCTCTGTTCCACCTTCTGATGTCATGAAGCAGTAATTTTCAAGTTAGGGGAATCGAAAGGGGTCTTATGTCTTATTCGCACGAGATTAGTTTTACCTGTGGACCTTTGGTGATTTGTATAATAATTGTGGAGGATGCCTGAGATTTAAAAGGGACAGTTCGGAATTTTGGACATAGGACCTCATTTCCTAGTGAGCCAGAGTGTTGGAGACATGTGGAAACACTTATCAAAATATTCCATCCAGTCCTTGTATTTGCAGAGGTCGCTGGTGCTAGACTAGTGCATGTCAATGGTCATAGTTATTCTGCCTCTAAAAACAATCTTACCCACTCCACAAAACACCTGAAGAAAATCTATTATTACACCAGATTGTCCATGTGAATGTCTGTGTTGATAGAATAATAAACTAACCTTGCGTCGCATGAATCGTCGCATGTTGAGGGACTATTTTCTCATATATCAGTCCGCTGCTGCCAAACTTTCTATCACTTTCTATCATTTTTCTCACTGCTGCTTCTCAGATATAAATCCTTCAAATGCAAGGTTGGTTTTACTTCTACAATTATTCTATCAACACAGACACTTACATCGACAGACTGACTTAATAACAGTTTTGTTTTGGGTGTTCTGTGGAGTGGGTAAGACTGTTTTTAGTGGCAGGATAACTATGGCCATTGACATGCACTAGTCTAGCACCAGCGACCTCTGTAAATACAAGAACTGGATGGAATATTTAAAAAGTGTCTCCACACATCTCCAACACTCTGACTAACTAGGAAATGAGGTCCTATGTCCAAAATTCTAAACTGTCCCTTTAATCCCCAGAGTAGTCCTGTGCGAATCTGCATCTCATTGATTGTTGTTGTAATCACATGTCTTTTCTTTCGTTTTCTTTTCTCTCCACATTTTTTTCTCTTTCAATTTCTGTGTCAGTTTCAGTAAAACAGAGTAATTTGTACACTTTGTTTATCCCATGCGAATGCAGCGGAAGTAACACAGAGGCGGGGCAGTAATTTGAAAATTACTAGACTTAATTACCCAGGTTGTACTTATCCTGTTTGAATATGGCTTTTGGGACCCAGAATTTGACCCTCTTCCATTGAATTTATATCGAAGAGGGGCTCATATGAAGTTCTTTGCTCCAGGCCCTGAAATTTCTGTTGACGGGCCTGTGTAAAGATCGGCAATTCCATGGCTGAAAGTATTCCAGTGATTCTTGTGAAGGTGTATTGAGTTTAAAAACACAGTGGAGCACTTTCTGTATTACTGCATGACATCACAAAGAGTGTTTTCAGAACATTTCAGCCTAAATATGCAGGATTTGAAAGTTAAACATGTGTGAATGAAACAAAACACAACTCCAGATCTATTTTTGATGAGGAAATAACATCATAACATAGATCAGAAAATAGCCTAATATTTCCCTTTAATTCGATGTTTTGCAACGAGTGAAAGTACCAAAATGCTGCGATTGTGTCATTGTTATTTTTGTAATTTTTTTAAATTAAATATCCGTTTTCTGTTACATCACATCTTTGCTCTTTTTAAACATTAAACAGTGTTTTGGAAGACTGAACATTTTATTATTAACAGAGGTCTGCAATTTACAGGACAGGGGCGTCAGAATCGAGGGGGATAAAGGTCGTGTTTATCAAGGGCCCGGAGCTAGAGGGGCCCTTCACAAAATCTGTAACATGCAAATATCATACAGTAAACATGTCATATGGGTCCAAGACGATGATTTGTACTGAATTTGGGCCCAGAATTTTGCACTACTCCCCTGCCTCCAGAATCAGGCTGATGAAAAGATAAAAAAAACAGGTGATCAGAGACAAGCAGCAGAGGAAGAGAGCTAATATGTTTTAGAGCATATAAAATAGACTTATACAAACTTTACTGATTCACAAAGGAAATTATTTGGACACAGTAGCTCACACATCACAGTATAATATAATAACAAAGAGCAAAAGTATAAATGGTAATAATAAATTCAAGCATAACAAGAAACAGGTGTTAAATAAGTCATAATATATAATATACATTATATAAATGTATGTACAAGTCAAAATAAAACATAGAAATATAGTAATAAGTATATCTCAGTTATATACAAGAGGTTTAAAGGTCCTATATTACACAAAACAGGCTCTTGTGAGCTTTTTATTATCTGTTACATAAAGGTGAGTTTTTGCACAGTTGTAGGGAGTATTATTTTCTACATAAAGGTGAGTTGTACAGTTATAGGGAGTATTATCTGCTCCATAAAAGTGAGTTTTTGCAAAGTTATGAGGAGTATTATCTGTCACATAAACGTGATTGCTGTACAGTTGTAGGGAGTTGTATCTGTTACATGAGGGTGAGTTGTACAGTTGTAGGGAGTATTATCTGCTGCATAAAGGAGTTTTTGCACAGTTGTAGGGAGTATTATCTGCTACATATAGGTGAGCTTTTGCACAGTTGTAGGGAATATTATCTGCTCCATAAAAGTGAGTTTTGGCACAGTTGTAGGGAGTATTATCTGCTACATAAAGCTGAGTTATAGGGAGTTATAGTGAGTATTATCTGTTGCATAAGAGTGAGTTTTTGCACAGTTTTTGGGAGTATTATCTGGCACATAAGTGTGAGTTGTACAGTTGTAGGGAGTATTATCATTTGAGTTGGAGTACAGTATGAGCGGAGTATTGTATATCTCACTGTCTGATGACAACACGAAGGGACAGGAACTCAAAGCAACCACCGAGCCCTCAGAAGTGTGAGAGTCATAGCACGGTGGCAGAGGCGGTTTAAGTGCGGTAAGTCTTCCTCTTTTTCTCGGCTCAGTGACTGCTGTTTCCTCTCTACTGTCATTTCTCACACATGCACAGAGCTGGACCCCTCTTCTCTGAGAAAAATAATAATAACGGAAATACAGCTGAACTACGCCGATATGACCTTACAGTTTAAGGACTCTTTTTGGGTGAGTTGTCTCTTGTTTTTCTTTGCGTAGGAACTCAGTCGCAGGTGTACTTTTGACTGAGAGTTGTACTTTTGCCTGTAGACTCAACAGAGGTAATCCCCACCTTGCAACACTTGATTTACGGCTTGTAGAGAGCATTATTACAGATTCCTTGAATAACGGAATCCTGTAAAACACAAATGAAGACGATTAATTGTGTTTCTTTGCTGTTTACCCCCTTTTCATTTATTTTACCACTGAAATTAAACCTTTAATGCCATTTAGTAATATGCAACAAGATTTCCTTTACGTGCGTAGGGTGACCAGATTTTAAAAACTAGGACCCTGCTCTTTTTGGAATGGTTGGTAGAGATGAAATTGTGAAAAAAAGCAACTTAACATTGTCCATTCTTGACTCACTTGTGGGGTTTTTTGGGGGTTTTTTGCCTTGTGGTCATTTTCAAGCTTGTTTTTTGTATTTTAGCTTAAGAAATGACAGTATTTTGCCCATTTTACTGTCAAAGGGTATTAAATTTGTGTATTTTGAGGGCATTTTTTGTATAAAACTTTGACAAATCCAGTTTTTTGGGAAATCTGCTAACACAAGGGACATAGGAAAACTATCTAAAACTACCGCTTAAAGGTGCACTGTGTAACTTTTTGGTTGAGGGTCCGTCACCTAGCCTGATTCATCAGCTGGTTTTACTTCGTTTCACTTCGTACAAACCGTCTGACCTCGCAGTGTTAGAATCCGTTCACTCAACGGTAGGTGGGTACTTTTTTTTATTTCACCAATCGCTGCTATTTGGTCTTGATGTATGTAATGCGCCAAATCCTGTAGGAAGAAGGACAATAACGTCTTTCCCCTTGATAAAATTCACCAAACTTTCTCTTTGTTCTGGCTTTAAATCCTCGATCTTGGGAATCGTTGACAACACTAAATGTATGTCTCTTCTCTGATTGGCCAGTGCCCGAACTTGCACTTCTGGGGTTTTTGTGAACCGTCTTGTGTATTCTGACTCCTGACCTAGTCATTTGAGAGAAATGAAACTGAGCGGAGGCACTAGGTGGCACCAGCCTGGCTATCCATCACCTGCTTGTTACTAAGAATACTGTATGTCATTTCCCTGCCTGGAATGTTCCAAAGTATGACATTAAACACCTCAAACTTAAGTTTACTCAACTAAAAGTGGTTTTACTGCTCAAAAAAAAAAAAAAAAAATAGGCATTCTGACAGTGAATAGGGATCTCCTCTCCACACATCTGACCTATAACTTTGCAACAGTGACCAGACAGTGCAAGCGCCATCAGCGGATAACACAATGACGTCACATCCTCATATAAATAAATGCTCCTTTTTACACAAGGTGTAAGAGCGCCATTTATGACGAATGCTCAACAGATTCATCAAGAAAATCAGTTATTTAATTTTTAAAAGACTTAACATCCTTGAAGAAAACACATTTGACAGACCCTCCACCAGAAAAGTTACACGGTGCAGCTTTAGCTCTCTATGCCTATGTTTGGGAATAAAATGTGTTTATGTTTGAAAGTGTGCATGTGAGTAATGCCAGTGCTATTTCAGAGTGCAGATTTTGTTAGTAACGCCGGCTACGAGGCTCTGACTCAGAGACTCAACGATGGGCGGCGGACGTGCAAAGAGCTGGAGGATTTATTAAAGATGAGGTGAGTTTATGTGACATGCGCTCTTGTATTTTAGGTCATACCACTTGACCACATTGACGCGTGGTTTTGTTCTCTCAGAGCCTCGGCCGAAGAGAAGTATGGCAAAGAGCTGGTGGCCATCGCACACAAAGCAGGAGGCCTTTTTGAAATATGGTAGATTAAGTATAGATTATGTCTGAAGTGCTTTTGGGGGCAGTTTCAATTGTATTAACTGTTTAAATGTTTTTTTACAGCACACTAAGAGCATCGTTTGATGAAATGAAAAGGGGTAAGTATTTTATTATTGGTCTAATACATGCATCACAAATTTCGGACTTCCGATCATTGTGCATTGCAATTCATACTGGGAAGGATTTTCCGAAAAAGTGAGCATCAAACCGCCATGTTTGTTTTCCCAGTGGGATGCGTCTATTGACAAAGCCGATCTTTTCAAGTCTTTTGAACCATATCACTTTTGTTTCTGGTTCTGATAATTGTGTGGTTGTTGGATCCTAACAGCGGAAAACGGCTCGAGAAATTTGTTTGTGAGCTCCATAAATGCAAAATGGAATCAGATGTGTGTGACTGCAAACCTCTGTTCAAACTGTTCAAAGGAATTGAAAAATAGTGAAAGGCGAAGGCGATGGGCAGAATTGATCCACAGGAAATACGAAAAAGGAAACCTTTGGCTGCTTAAATCATCTTAGGTTTGCAATAATTGATAATTTAGGCAGACAAAGGTTTCCTTTTTCGTCTTTCCTGTGCATCAATCCTGCCCATCGCTTTCGCCTTTCACTATTTTTCAATTCTGTTGGGAAGGGAAACAGTTTGAACAGAGGTTTCACATAGATTCACACAGATCCGATTCTGTTTTGCATTTATGGAGTTCACAAACTTTTGAAGCCCATTTCTCGAGCTGTTTTCCGCTGTTAGGACATCCAACATCCACACAATTACGATGTCCGAATCCCAAAACTAAAATACGACGATATCAGAACCAGAAACAAAAGTGATATGGTTCAAAAGACTTGAAAAGATCAACTTTGTCAATAGACGCATCCCACTGGGAAAACAAACATTACGGTTTGATGTTCACTTTTTCGGAAAATCCTTCCCAGTATGAACTGCGCAATGACTGAAGTCCAAAATTCATCATGCATCTATTGGTCTAGTTAATTGAGTTAAAGATACCAGAGCAAAAAAATACTCAAGTAAAAGTAAAAGTATCACATGAAAAAATCTTCTGAAGTGAAAGTATTTAAAAAGCTGATAGTGATAATGAAAATGTAAGTAAAAGTATTTCATGCAGATTTTGTGGTCTTACAGGGCTTCACATTTATTGAAAAAACAGATTTTAAATATTCAACAGAAACATTTGAACTGTTTTTATTTGTATATTTTTGTTTGCTCAAACTACGAACATATTTTATTTTTATTTAATTTGTTTATTTATGTCATTCATAAAGTATAAAAAGACATAAACAGTGTGTAAACATACAAGAAATGAAAAGGAATTAATGAAAAGGAGCAGAAATGAGAGTAATCTTATGTTTTCTGACCCCTTTTCCAGACAATTCATTAACACTGATGGTTATTTAAAACATTTTAAATCAATACATTTAATTTCAATCACAAATATTAATAAAACTGTTAAAAAATAAACCTCTCAGCCTTCTCAAGAGGTCCCAAACAATAATAAAAAAATACTTTTACTTTTCAGTCCTGTTCATAAATGCAGTGGAATATAAAGTACAGACACCTGCGCTCAAATGTTGTGAAATAAACGTAAAAAGTAAAGATACCTGCAATTTTACTTAAAGGTGCATTGTGTAACTTTTCTGGTAGAGGGTCAGCCACCTGCTTTTCTCCATGGAGATGTTATTACTTTGTCTGAAATGTTTCACAGTGTGGCATTAAACTTATCCATCTTCCGTTCATTTTCAATTACGGGTGTTTTTATTGTTCAAAGACGTGCACACCTAAAGTCAGCAGGCTCTCCTCTGCACAGATCTGACCTGTATCTTGATCTGGTGGCATCTCCTGCTTGTTTCCATGGAGACAAGATACTGTGAAACATTCCAAGCAAACCAATCACATCGTCAGGGAGACAAAAATGTAAAAATGTAAATGTAAAAAGTGTAGCTTTAAAGTGCCTATCACAGGTTTATTATGATTATTCTAATTTTGACTTAAGTTTGTCACAATTCCACACAAGAGACACATTTTTCTGACAATTTGAACATGATTTCAACAAAATAAAGGTGATTTCTTGCACTTTTATTTGGCAAATTAAAATGTCTGTGTACATTAGAGGAATTTTAGAGGAGTTCATCATGTTTGCCAGATAACATTTATGGAATTTCCTGTTGTGATGTCATGATTTAAAACCTTCAAATTGACCAAAATGGGGAAAAACGTAGTGAATTGTCATCTTAAATCGTCAATATAAAGATCTTAACTGTGTTTTGGTAAAATAAGTAGTCTCATCTGTCAATCTAGCACTTTGAGAACAGGACTTATACTTTTACTTCGTTATGTTCCACCACAGCTGATTGTAGGACCTAGTATTTACCTGCTGATTGTGACTCGTACTTTTTGCGACTTGTCCTTTTTGTGACTTGTATTTTTTGTTGTGATGACCCGCAGAAATCGAAAGCGTTGGGAGGCAGCACATGCAGCTGGCGATGGCGCTCAGGGAGGAGGTGAAGAGGATGGAGCAGTTCAGAGAGAGACAGAAGGAGCAGAGGAGAAAGGTCTGTGTTTTTACTTTTATGTCTCTATCAGGATCTACCACGACTCCAGAGTAACTATACTTATTTGTCCTTTTTACAGTTTGAAAGTGTGGTGGAGAAGATTCAGAAAACTAAAGTCTCCTTTTATAAGAAGACCATAGATGTGAGTATCATTCAAGCATAAAGCCGGTTTCAGTTTCAGTGTTTATATTTACACTACCGGTCAAAAGTTTGGACACGCCCTCTTTTTCAAGAGACTTTTTTCTTTGTTTACCACTTTTTACTTTTTATATACATACAGAAAACATCAAACACTTCTGGGTAAATTAAATGGCTTAAATTAAGAACATCTGACTTTATTTGAGTAGATTCAACTTGACAAGTAAAATTATCTGCCAATGGAGTAAGTGTGTTTTTCTTAAGGTTAGGTTATGTTGCTATATTCGTACCCGTAGGTAAATTTGCTTTGCAGATTTGAGAGGCAGGTTCCACATTTCACATTTCATTCATCCACAAAACACGTATAAAAACACAATTATAAAATAAAGTGTTACAGAGCTCCAGTGCAGAATGGTTTGTTCTATAAACAATTAGTTAAATTCATCCATCACGCTTGGCTAAAACCACAATAAATATTAAATATGTTAAAAACACACAATCTCTGATATATATATAGATTACAATTTATTCATAAGTACGATAGCAGCCGGAACGAAGCTCCTTTTAAAACGATTCGTTCTAGATCTTGGGACTAAAAGCCTCTAAACAGAAGAAAGAAGCTGAAACTCTGAATTTAATGGATGTTGCACGTCTTTTAAAATACTCTGGGACATTCTCTGTAACTGTCTCGAGTACAGAGAGTCCAGGCGGCTCTGAGGATGAACAATCACCTCACTCGCCCATTTAACCGACTCATTCAGGGAGTTCTTCTTTTTAGCAGAGACACTCCCAAACCACAAGACCCATGAAAACGTTAAAACTGATTCCATAAATGTTTTATAAAACAGTGTCATCATGGTTCTCTCTACACAGTAAAAGGGCAACTTTCTCAGACAATGAAGACGCTGGTGCCTCTTTTACACACAGCAGAACAATTATTGTCAAAACTCAACATTTTTTGTTTCTTATTTTAAATGCAAAAAGTTGTTTAGTTTTTATTATTTTAAGTGTGGCAAGATGTATTTTCATATTTTAAGTTAAAAAAAAATCTTGTTCCACTGGCAGATAATTTACTCAAAATCATGATAAAACTTTGTTATTTCAAGTCATCTTAACTTAACAAGATTTTAGTTTTTACAGTGAATATATGAAGCGAGATGAGTGGAATTATGTAGTAAAGGAAAAAATTAATAACTAAACTAAATTTGTCTCCACCCTTTGCTTTGTTAACAGCACTGCAAATGATTTTCTTGATGAAGCCTGTTGAGCATTCGTCATAAATGGCGCTCTTACTCATTTACATTACAGCATTTATTTTTATGAGGATGTGACACTTGTCTGGTCACTGTTGCAAAGGGCAGAAGTGTTCAGTGAATAAATAGGCTGAACTTAACAAGTTAAAGAGAAGAACTGGTCAAGCATGGACTATTTGCATGTGAAGAGTTACTTCTGCTGAAACATCTTCACAAAGTCTCCTGACATGGTGTTTTATCAGGAAATGCCAAAAGTTCAAATCAATGGACAAAGTAAAGAGACTAAACCAGTGGTGTAGTGGGGATTTCTTAAGTGGGGGTTTGTGACTGAACCAAGAGGACTTAAACCAGGTCTAAACCAGGTTTAAACCAGGTCTAAACCAGGACTAAACCAGGTCTAAACCAGGACTAAACCAGGTCTAAACCAGGACTAAACCAGGTCTAAACCAGGACTAAACCAGGTTTGAACCAGGACTGAACCAGAACTGAACCAGGACTGAACCAGGTCTAAACCAGGTCTAAACCAGGTCTAAACCAGGTCTAAACCAGGACTAAACCAGGTTTGAACCAGGTTTGAACCAGGACTAAACCAGGACTTAAACCAGGACTAAACCAGGACTAAACCAGGTCTAAACCATGTTTAAACCAAGACTGAACCAGGTCTAAACCAGGTTTAAACCAGGTCTAAACCAGGTTTGAACCAGGACTGAACAAGGACTAAACCAGGTCTAAATCAGGTTTAAACCAGGTCTAAACCAGATCTAAACCAGGTTTAAACCAAGACTGAACCAGGACTAAACCAGGTCTAAATCAGGTTTAAACCAAGTCTAAACCAGAACTGAACCAGGACTAAACCAGTACTAAACCAGATCTACACCAGGTCTAAATCATAACTAACCCAGGACTAATCTTGATTTTGAGAGAGAGAGAACCATGAGCCCGCGTATGACGGCTGCGTTTTTAGTCCTGTTGGGTACGAAGCTCTGCGCTGGTCCTTTCTCCCACGGTCACCCAACGGTCTACGCAGGCGCATCTCCGGACCCGTCCCGACACTCAGTCCTGCTTCAGTCCTGGCCACTAAAACAGTCTTACCCACTCCACAAAACACCCGAAACAAATCTATTATTACACCAGGCTGTCGATGTAAATGTTTGTGTGGATAGAATAATTTTAGAAGTAAAACCAACCTTGCATTTGAAGGATTTATGTCTGAGCAGCAGCAGCGAGTTGTACTTCTTGATATAAAGCTCGGCAGCGGTGGACTGATATATGAGAAAATAGTCTCTCAACATACGATGATTCATGTGATGCAAGGTTAGTTTTATTTCAAACATTATTCTATCCACACAAACATTTACATCGACAGCCTGGTGTAATAATAGATTTGTTTCGGGTGTTTTGTGGAGTGGGTAAGACTGTTTTTAGTGTCAGGATAACTATGACCATTGACGTAGAAACAGTGACCTCTGCAAACACAAGGACTGGATGGAATATTTTAAAAAGTGTCTCCACACATCTCCAACACTCTGACTCATTAGGAAATGAGACCCTATGTCCAAAATTCTGAAATGTCCCTTTAAGGTTAATGTGTATTTTGCACTGTCCATGTCTCATAAATAAATGTAGTTAATATGATTAACTGAGATTCAGGAGCAGGACCAGGCCTCAGCTGCCCTCTCCTCTCACCAGCGAACCACAACTCACCTCGACCACGCCTCTAATTTATTTATTTATTTATTTATTCATTTATTTGAGACAGGGACAGTGCACAATTTTCGCATTAACCTTGACAGGTTTTACAGGTTTGACAGGAATTTCCCAGAAGCCTATATGTAGCAGCCTTTCCCATCATCCCAGTTTGTCTCGGCTAACTCGACCCCACCCCCCCATCCCCTATTTTGTCATTCAGTCAGAAGACCCCTACAAGGGGGGTCCTGTTCCGGCTGGGCCAATTGCAGATTGAGACGGAGCCCCCACCCATAGTCTCAACCCAGCCATCTTTGCCTCACTTTGTACATTATCAATAAACTTCTTCTCACTATGTTGTTGTTGGCATGGTCCTAGCTACTGAAACTAAATAAATAAATCAATAAACATCAATTTCTTGATTTACAGACAAAATAGCTAAATAAAAATCTCTGGATCATGCAGAGCGGGTTAATACAGACATTTTAAGACCGAAAGCGAGAGCAGCATTTACAGAAAGAGGTGAGACGGTTTTTCAATAGAAAGTGAAACTGGAGCCGGAAGCACCCCCATGCTCACTTCCTATTTGGAACACAGTGGTCGGCGGTTTAGCTATGTGTATTTATTTACCAGTATATAAAGTCTGTGGTCTGTAAGTGTGCTCCTGGGCGGCTGAGTCAATCGTGAGCTGTACTTTTTTAATAGTGGCCCAATGATCTCTTTTTGTTTTGTCCTTTCAGTCGAAAAAGACTTACGAACAGCGCTGCAGAGACGCCGATGAAGCCGAACAAACTGCAGAGAAAATGAGCAACGCTCCCACATCGACTCCCAAGATGATCGAGAAGGTAACGTGCCCATTTTCATCAGAGAGGCTGAGGTCTGAGCTCTAACACAATAGCGACTAAAAACCTTCAGAAGAGCAAAAAATTTTGAAAACGCTGCCAATTATGGATTTTTTTTCTTACTTTTTAGATGAAAATAAAGTCAAAACTGTGCAGGGAAGAGGCCGAAAAAGCTGGTGAGTTAAATTGGTTCACTATAGAGAACACAATGGAAATTAGGGGTGTTATTATATTATCACGCGTATTCTTCTTTTATAAATTATGCCTTTAACCTGGTAATTCTGTGATGTTTTCAGAGAAGCAGTACATGGCAAATGTGGAACAACTTGACCAAACCCGTCAGGACTGGGAGTTGGCGTTTATAAGCACCTGCGAGGTAAATATGGGCATTTTTAATACACTGTGATGATGTTTCCTGGGGGGTAAAAGCCAGAGGTGGGACCAAGTCGTTGTTTTGCAAGTCTCAAGTCAAGTCCGAGTCAAGTCCCAAGTCAAATACAAACAAGTCCAAGCCTAGATTTGAGTCACTGGCTCATAAGTCCAACCCAAGTCCAAGTCGTCTTTAAACCAAAGCACTAAATATAGCTTTGATTTTTGCAATTTGTGTGACTTTTAAGCTAAATTGTTCCTAAAAAGTCATAGTATATTTATTAGGGGTGTAACAACACCCAAGTCTCACGATACGATATTGTCACGGTATGAACCTCACGGTACGATATTTATTGCGATATCGTGGGAAAGCTCACGATAGGGTGGGGAGGCTCACGATTAGGGATGTAACAATATCCAAATGTCTCTGTATGATATTTTCATGATATACATCTCACGATACGATATTTATTGTGGTATTTTGTGGAGGTTAACAGAACTGTTAATGTGCGACTTTTTCTGCTTAAAATGCCTTGACAAGACTTAATCCAAAGACTTAAAAGTGTTTAGAACTGTTATTTCTTCTTGTAATCTGCACTGAAACGGAGCAAAGGATCATGGTGTATGTAGTTCCCTCTGTCTTTTTTTTTTTAGCTATTGCTGCATCATAACTCATAATTTAAGCAAAGAGAGTTGTAATTTGATATATTGGGATGGTCCACGATATTAATGTGAGAACTTTGACAATACGATATCACGATATTTCGGTTATTGTTACATCCCTAATATTTATTTATGAGTATTGTCAGAGACTTTAAGTAATTTATTCTCCACGTATATCTCTCAGTTTAACATTGACTCACAGGGACTAGAGCAGACATGTCAATCTCAGGCCACGATATAATTACATTTGGCCCGCAAGATCAAATATGTATCAAAGAGCTGGTCCACCGGCTACAGATAGACTATAGAGACATTATTTATTTAAAATATTGTTGTTATTTCGTATTATGCTTGTTCTGGATTCAGTGTTTAGATAAGATAAGATAAGATAATCCTTTATTGTCTCCCATGGGAGAAATTTGTCTTGGGACAGGGGGTAACATGTTTTATCAAAAAACAGGACAACACAACACATAGCACCACATAAACAAACACCATAAAACAAAGTAAATATGAGGCCAAGTATGACCATGAGTGATGCACCAACAGGACCCTTAAATTATCCTTAACACGCAAGCCCTTGCATTCTTCTGTTCTATTAATTATTGCACATTCCCTAAGCCTATGTGCAGTTTTAGTTATAATTATTGCACATTCCCTAAGCCTATGTGCAGTTTTAATTGCACATTCCCTAAGCCTATGTGCAGTTTTAATTGCACATTCCCTAAGCCTATGTGCAGTTTTCATTGCACATTCCTTAAGCCTATGTGCAGTTTTAATTGCACATTCCCTACACCTATGTGCAGTTTTGATTGCACAATCCCTAAGCCTATCTGAGTTTAGCAGTTTAACAGCTAGTGGCACAAAAGAATGTTTGAATCTGTTCAGTTTACAGTTTGGGACCCTGTACCTTCTGCCTGATGGCATCAACTCAAACTGACTGTGAAGAACATGGGTTGGGTCATTGATCACCTTCCTGTCGAGCTTCCTAACAGTCTCCTCAAAAATTTGCTGAAGTGAGCTTGGGGCCACACCCATTATTTTACCTGCTCTTTTAGTCAAGGTAAAAATCTGTGCTTTAAGTTTGACTGAGAGGTTACCAAACCATGTTGACATGCCATAGCGTAAGATAGATTCTATGCATGCTTTGTAAAACAACAGCATTACATTGGTGTCAACTCCATGTAACCTAAGTCGTCTTAAAAAATAGAGACACTGGCTGATTCTTGAGCAGACAGACTGTACCTGCTGGCTCCATTGGAGCTGAGAATCAAATAACACAGTAAGCAAAACTATTATTAAACATTTATTTTAATAAGAAATGGTTTAACATTACATATCTGGAAAGAAGAGAAAACATGCAGGTGTTGTTGAAATTTGTCAATAAGTATTTAGTTTGTCCCACGACATAGTCCCAGTTTTTAATTTTGGCCTCTGTAAATTTGAGTTCAACACCGCTGAGTTAGAGTAATCTTCCCTTGGCGTACCTTTTCTTTTATCTAAATTGTGGCATATTGCTGTCTAAATATTGTCCTTCATAGTCTCACAACATTTGCTTTATAAACTTGCTCGTTTGGAAGCAATAAATAAAGGGGCTTGAACTCTCAAAGATCATACAATGTTCACTTTTGAAATCACACTATGTTGACTCTCCAGCCTTTCACTTCCACCCCAATGTATTGTTCTGTATATTACTTTAGTACATTTGAGAATACCACATCAAAGTATTTTAATTACATTAAAGTGACAAACAGAGAAGTGGAACGTACATGTTCCAGTTTGTTCCTGTAAAATTAATCACAACATGTATCAACAGTAAACAGAGAAGTATTTTCTAGAAACATATATATTTTTAGGAGAAGCGTGTCACAGAGCTCAAGTCACATGGCTCAGCTTCGAGTCCAAGTCGAGTCACAAGTCTTAGTCGATTTTATCAAGTCTCAAGTCCTGGAAATAGTGACCCAAAAGTTAACTAGAATCACTGCTCTGTCTGTCTGTCTCTAAATCTCAACTCAGACTTTAATCTGAGTTTTGCCATAACACAATCTGACCATAAAAATCTACAACAGGCTGATTTGTGCTGTTAAAGGGACAGTTCGGAATTTTGGGCATAGGACCCACTCCACAAAAAACCCGAAGCAAATCTATTATTACACCAGACTGTCGATGTAAATGTCTGTGCTGATAGAATAATGTTTGAAATAAAACTAACCTTGCATCGCATGAATCGTCGCATGTTGAGGGACTATTTTCTCATATATCAGTCCGCCACTGCTGCCAAGCTTTCTATCAGGAAGTACAACTCACTGCTAGGGGTGTAACGATATCCAAGTCTCACGATACTGTCACGGTTTGAACCTCACGGTATGATATTTATTGCAATATTGTGGGAAAGCTGACAATATGATGAGAAGGCTCACGATTAGGGATGTAACGACACAGTATCCAAATCTCTTTTATTTTTATGTTTACACAATATTTTCACTAAATACATCTCATGGTACGATATTTATTTTGATATTTTGTGGAGTCTAACAAAACTGTTAACATGCTACTATTTCTTTTTAAAATGCCTTAACAAGACTTGATCCAAAGAATTAAGACTTAAAGGGCCCATCTCATGCAAAATAACTCTTTTCACATTGTATCTTCTGTACATAAACAAGCACAATTTGGGTTTTGGAACATCCATTACACAATAGTTATGAAATCTTACTGATTTCTTGGAGGCAGTCACAGACCAGGAACTATGAAAGACCGACTATTGCTCATCCCCCTGCCCATCCTGAGAAAGTCCTCCGCCCATCTCAGGGAGGGAGGCGGAGACAGACGTGCACCCTGATAGTGGCAGGAATAAACTTTTACTCATCATGGCGATACAGCGCGTTCAGCCGCATGTGTTGGACCCGGAATCGGACGAGGACTTTGAGGAGCACGAAGCTCAAGCACCGCGTCCACATCAGCTGAACATTACTGATTGGTAAAGTATTAATAAACACTAGTAGATAAATTTATTATTGCTGGAGGCGGTGGAGCAGGTGTGAAGCACTTTCTGTTACGTCAGACGCGTCATCGTTGTAGCAGGTTTAGTTCGTTGTCATGTGGGAGGGTGGCAGAAATACACTGCAATTTCTTTTTAAAAAAAAGCCAAATCAGTCTAAAAACCACTTCAGCGACATATACAAGGCTCGCACATCACTCTTAGAAGGTACAAAGCTCTGAAAAGTTGATTTTGCATCAATTGGGACCTTTAAAAGTGCTCAGAACTGTTATTTCTTCTTGTAGTCTGCACTGAAATGGAGCAAAGAATCGTGGTCTATGTAGTTCCCTCTGTCTTTTTTTTAGCTACTGCTGCACCATAACTATTAATTTAAGCAAAGAGACTTGCAATTTGATATATTGTGATGGTCTACGATATTATTGTGAGAACGTTGATGATACAATATCACGATATTTACGTTATTGTTCCTCGCTGCTGCTGCTCAGACAGAAATCCTTCATATGCAAGGTTAGTTTTACATCAAACATTATTCTATCCACACAGACATTCACATGGACATGGTCTGGTGTAATAATAGATTTGCTTCGGGTGTTTTGTGGAGTGGCTAAGACTAAACCTAAGCCTAAACCAGACGAAGAACGAGTTTTCACTGTGGTAACTACAGAACATTCTTCCACAGACATATATGCAGTACTCCCCGGCGTAATGTCACTGCAAAGTCTCAGTTGTAGTATCACAAGGGAACTAACGAGCTTTGGTCTTCCGTCCGAAACCTGTGAAATGTTAATATGGAAGTTCTGAAAAACAAAAATATGAATCTGGCGATTTCTTTCATAAACACTGAACCCTACATCTGAAAAAATGGCATCAAATTCTAATTATGGTTTCAAAAAGTGAGTTAAATAATGACTGAATTCATAAAGTGAGTTTCAATAAATACATAAAAATAAACAATAAATTACTTCCATTTAAAAAGTCCAGGATTATCCAACCACAAATCTTAGAGCGTGAGGTTTTAATCGTCACAGATTAATGCCTGAGCTTTGTGTGTTTCAGATGTTTCAACAACAGGAAGAAGATCGCATCAACATTCTGAGAAACGCGATGTGGGTTCACTCAAACCATTTGTCCAGTCAGTGTGTGAGAGACGATGAGGTTAGTGAGATTTCCTGTTAAAACATGCATATTAAAAAGTACTTATGCAAAGCTGACTATAAAAATCATAATAATAACACATTTTATTTTTGTTACAATTACATAAGCAGAGAAAGGTCATAGAAAAGACAGACTTAAAATGGAAATAAAAAAGTATAAGTAGGCAGTGTTGGGGAGTAACAGATGACATGTAGCGGCGTTACGTAATGAGAATACAAATTATGAGTAATTATTTTCAGTTACAGTTACTGTTTCAGTGAGTGGGAATTGAATTACAGTTACTTTTTTTTTTTTTTTTTTTTTTTTTTTTTTTTAAATTTTGGAAATTCCACTCCTTGCCGGTGTGGTATAGGATTTTGACCCCGCGGTGAGGTGACCCCGGGGTCAACATACCATACAGTATTTTGAACCCGGGGTCAGAATCCTATTATGGTTTGAGGAAATGTTTGATATTTCATGCTAATGTTTGATAATCTTTCAATTGTGGATGTTTCATTGTGTTTTAATCCATGTTTGAATCAAAAGAATTTAATCCAGGGTGTTTAAATGTAATTTTTCTATATATATACATTTTTATGCACAATGATAAGGTAAAATTTTTAATGTTCTCATAAGGTGAAGGCTTTAATATTACGCTTGGGTTTTTTGCCTCTTCCGACACCTACTTTTTATTGTCATGTTATATGTGCAAAATAAATAAATTAATAAATAAATACATAAATAAATGGTATGTTGACCCCCCCATGAAAATCTATATTTTAGAAAAAACTTTGAATATTAATACTAGTACTATCTGCAAATTAAAACATATTGACATATTTAAAAGTGTTTTTTGAAGAACTCAGATGCATTTTTTATGTCGATTATAAGTTTTGAGTGTTAAAAATGACTTAGTTGTCTAAACACATATTTTACTGAAAATGAGATAAGTAGTTATTAATTAGTTTGGTAATCAAAGTGATGTATAATAATTTGGAATCTTGTTTAAATAGACAGGGCTGATCAATAGAGTAGTTAAATAGGGGAAACCTATGACTATAGTAATCAGACCCCCCAATATGTTTATTTTAGTTATGATGATGTAAAGTAAAAGTAATGTTAGTTGAATATTGACAATGATTGATTTTATATAAAGGAGGTCAAAATCCTATGACTATAGTAATCTGACCACCAAATATATTAATTATAACACAACATGACTAAATTCAAGGTCATTATCCTTACAAACCATTGCCTAAATTGACATAATAATTAAAGATTATCTGAACATAGCAAACTGTGCTATCCACTCCTGTGGATCAATACTGCCCAACGCCTTCGCCTTTCACTATTTTTCCATTCTGTTGGGAAGAGAAACAGTTTGAACGGAGGTTTCACATGGAATCAGATGTGTGTGAATCTCTTTTGCATTTATGAAGTTTACAAATTTCTGAAGCCCATTTCTTGAGCAGTTTTCTGGTGTTAGGATCCAACAACCACACAATTACAATGTCTGAATCCAATAACTAAAACATGACAATATCAGAACTAGAAACAAAAGTGATATGGTTCAAAAGACTTGAAAAGATCGGCTTTGTCAATAGTCCCACTGGGAAATCAAACATGGCGGTTTGATGCTCACTTTTTCGGAAAATCCTTCCCAGTATGCACTGCGCAATGACCGGAAGTCCGAAATTTGTGATGCATCTATTTGAAGAGAACAAACAAGAATTTTCAGGAGGTGGTTGCTACATTCATGTAGTTTTAAAAAGCATGACAATATCAAGTAATCCATAGTATTCAGATTTTGTTACTCACCTAAAGTAACTTAATGGATTCTGTTACAAAGTACATTTTGGGGTATGTAATCTGTAATCTGTAGGGGAATACATTTTAAAAGTAACCTTCCCAATACTTGTAGTAGGCCTGCTACTGCCTCAGTTTACGCTTGTATTTTCATTGATTCAAACATGTTTTAGTGCTCAGGATAGATAAATATTCACCTACACCGATCTCCACACACTTCTCTGTACTTCTCAGTTATCTGGGTCATGCATGTGGAACTGAAAAATGTCATGTATCCATGTTTTCATAATAAAAACATTGCTTCCTGTGGTGAAATGCGACAAAGAAATGTGGTTGAAATCAGTTTTTTGCAGTTTTGAACAGGAAGTCCATGGTCTCATTCTATTATTGAGCACTTAAAACGTAAAATAACACTTTAGTTTATTAAGAAAAAACAGTATATGTAGTTTGTCGTGTTTAAGTTGCTTTGTATTTTGCAGTGTTATGAGAATATACGGCTCGTTTTGGAAAAGTGTGACGCGACTGAGGACAACAACGCCTTTGTAGAGCTGAACACCACAGGCTCAACTCCCCCAGGTCAGACACAGTCCCTCCTGAGTTTTAAATTACTAGATTATAATGTTTCCTCATCAAAAACATTGTTGGAGTTGTGTTTTGTTTCATTCGCACATGTTTAAAGCACAAATCCTGCATATTTAGGCCGAGTTGTTCTCTCTCTTGTGATGTCATGTGGAGATACTGGAAGTGCTCCACTGTGTTTTTAAACTCCACACACTTTCACTAGAATTATTTGGATAATTTCAGACCTAGAATTGCCAATCTCTACTGAACAAAAAGGTAAAACCATAGCTTCATGACATCACAAGCTGGAACAGAGCATTTTGAGCTTTGGAAATGTAGACAGACTAATAATGAAGGATTAAAAATAAATAAATAAAAATTATATTACGGTAGGTATAGTGACTAAAAGTGTTTATTTTATTTTTTTAAAAGAGAGAGAAGGGAAATTTAATTATAAACTGTCCAAAATATAAATATAAGGGAGCCTAGCAGTGTGGTTATGAGTGTGTCCATATGAAATCAGACATTTTCAAGAAATCTCACCTATGAGCCATCTCAGATTTGGCTGAAAAAAAATAAAAAAAACTTCTAAAATTAAGGATTAATGACACTTTTCCAAGCAATGTAACCACAAATCATCTACAATTGTCTTCCCTTATAACAAGCAATTAGTGTGTAAGGCCATTAAAGGTAAATTAACTTTGCTATTAGGTGGAAAAGTACCTGAGCTCCACCAACAACGCTCATTTTCAAAAATTCCCTTTGAAATGAATAAAGTTAATAGTAGATGTTTTTATTACTTTAAACTAATCAGAATATGCCAAAGTTTCTATGGTAAAAAATTTATCAACATCTAACTGTGCCCACACAGGAAACCAAGGCAAATCTGATCTGTGACCATATTTGGGACTCTACACCGTCCACATGAAAGCTCAGAAAAGTGTGAGATTGTTGTCAGAAATGGTCATTCTGTCAAATATTCAGTTTCAACAGTTAGTTTGTAAATATCTTCTTGAATTAAATAGATCTTGGACCTCAAAAATTGAAAAGAAAATTGAGCAGCAACCAAATGTGAGATTTTGGGTGCCCACAGCGCCCCCCTTAATAAAGATACACAATATTTACAACAGATTTAGAATCTATGACCCAGAATCTACAATAATACACATTTTCATCTTCCTAGCTCTATTTTTTATGAAGTTATGGTCTCTCAAACATGTTTATAAATGCAGACTTCTGAAAAAAAGTGAGCATGGCCCCAAATTTCAGTGTGCCATAACTCAGGAATGACTCAAGGGATTGAGCTAAAATTTTAGATTCTCTCATTTGGTCATTTTTAGAATTCTTTTGGAATTTTTTTCAGCCAAATCTAAGATATGGCTCATGGGGGAGGGTGGCTGATTTCATGTGGACGGACCCTTATGCAGCACCACCACATTACTTTTGTTTTATTTCATTATACTGGTGTGTGGGTGGGTTAGGGGTGGGAAGTTTTGTTGTTTTATGTTTGTTGTAAGTATTGTTTTAAGTTTTTGTGTCTTGTTTTTGTGTTTATTATTGTATTTTTAAAAAATGCACAATTACTCAAACATGTGAATGAAATTAAACATAACACCAGGTCTGTTTTTGATCAAATATTATAAGCATTATAACATGGCTCAAGAGTCAATTTTGCGTAATTTAGGACCTTTAATAAAGATTCAAACAGTCACACAGATATTACATTGTGTGATTCTTGTTCTATTTCTACAACAGCTCCCGTTGTTTTCCAAAATTACTACGATCTCGACATTTCCACTGAAAAACACGGAGGCAGCCGATTTGTTGGTGTGATGAAAAGGTCAGAGGAGGTCAAAGTTTAATATACAGTACTATAGTTACTGCATTACTCTTATAAGTATTTGTGTTTTTTGTGCAGGTTTTCAGGTCTTCTTCAGAGCACAGGAACAGCCTTCAAAGCGAACACGACTGAACCCGGCTTGCAGACGATTGGTAAAGTATTCTCGTGTTCTGGTTTGAGGAAATACAGATACGTTTTTTTTTTTGTTTTGTTTTGTTTATTTTCTGAGCACAGGGCCCACTGTCGACTGTAACCAACGGCAACACAACGGCTATTTTGTTCATAAATTAAGATAAGAACATTAATTACAGACCAATCAGGTACCTTATTTCCACAAGGTCACTCCCACTACAGTTGACAACAGTGCCATGGATCTATAATAAAAACTGGATAAGTCATTCTCCCTCTGTCCCGACTAGTGGCCGCTCAAGGTACTGCAGCTCCCGGGGATCTTGGGCCCAGAAAGAATTCTCCCGTAGAGCACAGTGCATTTTGGGGGAATTCAAACTGTCCGTGTTCTGACAGGGCATCAGCAACTTTAACAAAAGTCGGATTTTGTAAGATTCTTCACAACATAAACCTTTTGAAATGTTTGAATCCTTAAAGCCTCGCCCTTCTCTGAGCCCACTCTAGCTGATTGGTCCAAACGCTCCACACCGTGCGCATTACAGACGTCAAATGACTGGGAGGAGCTTGCCCAGATTGAGGAAGTAATGAAGAAGAGAGAAAATTGAATGAAGAGAAAATAATTTTGGTCCCATGCGCCAATGAGCACAGGTCACTGAAAACAATACGACACCATCTTGGGCTACGTTTACACTGAAATGAATCACCGTATCACCGTATCAGAAATTATCTGTCCACAAGCCTTCCCTATCCACACAGCTTTGAGCATATTTATTAACGTTTTACAGAAACGAAACTTAAAACCACATAGCTAATTTGCATAAACTAAGAGCTCAAAAAAACAGCTCATTATTGTGTCGCTGATGCGGTTCAGCTTCTGTCGGACTAAATGACACGACTCAGTGGAATATGAGTGTTCTTTCTGTGACAGAGGGGTGTTTCTGCTGATGGTGAGTCTGTTCTGTGTTTCTGTCGTGTTGGAGATGGTTCATGTTAAACTTATCAGAGATTATACGTCTGCATCTCATACACACAGACACACGTTTACATGAATGGACAGATATTCTCGCCTCTTAGTGTTTTGGCGGTGAATTACTTTGCGGTAGAGAGACCTACATCAGCGTATCAGCGTTTTCAGGTGTCCACACAGTGCCGGATCAGATCTGTACTCAGATGAATTCGTGAGAGCTCAGATTAGTTTGGACGAACACTGCAGCCACAATGACTCCAATACGTACTAGTGTGGATGGGGCCTTGGGTTCACCTTCAGATTTTATTATAGCTCTAGGCCAAGCGTTCGCTCCCTGCAAAAAAAAAAAAAAAAAGCAGTGTGGTTGGAATGGGGCATTACCTTCAACAATCTTGCTCCTGATTGGCTCTTTTGGTTGCTATGATACTGAAACGTGGCTGCAAATTCACCCCTATAACTGCAAGCCTCGGTGAGCTTCGTTTGACTGGAGCCAAACACTATGGGTCACACTCACTTTATACAGTCTACGCCAACTCACCAACTCACAAATCAAACCATAAACTTGTTGTCGTTGTAACCAAGTGTCACATACAAAGGCAGTTTTACTTTCACAACAACACACGTAGTTAAAAACACAGCAGTTCTAGACGAGTGAATATGGCTAATTTGTCCCCATGTCAAAAGTGCATATGACTCTCAAATTTTAACTTAATTAGGTGAGAAAATACCTGTTGTAAAGATAAATTATTGTTTTTCATTGATCAAGAAACAATTTGTGAAGAAGCGTTGAAAAATGTGTTGAAAATTACAGGAAGTAGAGAGCTCTTTTTTTAGAGAGTTCACACTGGGAGAATTCTGTTTAAAAGATCAGCACAATTTACACAAAAGAAACACATTATTTCAAATTATTTCATGATTTAAACAAGATAAACGTGTTTTCTAGTTAATTAATTTGTTAATATTTAATTTAATTAGTTAATTAATATTTTTGACCAATTTGATTCTTGCCAACAGTAGACAGTGGCATAAATTGTCATTTGTTTAGGTAAAATACAGAAAAGCTGCTTAAAAATGATGAATACACAAAGAAAATGTGACTATACTGACTCACATTAGTTAGCCTGATTCATCAGCAAGTTTCACTTTGTGGAAACTGTCTGACCTTACATCATTAGGATTCGTTCGCTCAACGGTAGGCGGATATTTTTTTTATTTAACCAATCGCTGCTGTTTGGCCGTGACGTATGTAATGCCCCACTAACAGGGTCAATTAGTATATTAAGCTTTTCCCAAATCCCATAAGAAGAAGGACAATAACGTCTTTCCCCTTGATAAAATTCACCAAACATTCTCTTTGTTCCGGCTTTAGATCCTTGATCTCAGGAATCGTTGCCAACACAGAATGTCTGTCTTCGTCTACATCCATCTCGACGTTTTGTTTTACTGTTGTGCTGTACCACAAAAGGGACCCAGACAGGCATTTGAGTTTGACGTCATGGCTTCACAGCTCTTCGCTGATTGGGCGGTGCTCGATCTACAACTTCCAGGGTTCTTGCAAACTGTCTAGTGTATTCTGATTCCTGACCTATTTGCTGGAGAGAAATTAAATTGAGCAGAGGCACTAGGTGGCGCTTGCGTTAATATATATTTATTCATTTCATTAGCGATGTTCAATGTCCATTTAGTTATATATACACACAAGTACATACATACATACATACATACATACATGCACGCACATATATACACACACATCTAAGAACTATATTCCTTAATTATGCACTTGCTTCATTCATTAATTTTATTATTACCAACCACCACAAACGAGGGATGTCCCAGTTTTTATTTTGAAAATCTTGTCACCTTATTCACATGTCAGATTTTTCTAATTTCTGTAGAATAAGTTTTAAATATATTTTGATTTTTTGCTGTTGTTGTTTTTTCTTAGTTGAGTCTTCAGACGGAGTATATGCCTCTATCCCAGGAATTCAAGAAGAAAATGAAGAAGACTTTAGAGTCATGTACGACTACACGGCTCAGGTTAGTGTGTATTTTCTGTGGGTTTGTACTAAACTAAACTAAAAATGTAAAACACACTAACAACATGAAAACCTGCCTCTCATGGATATAACAATCAAACTTTATTACAGCCCTGGGTCTACTGGGTGAAAAAGATGGCATTGCAAAGTCATTTTAAAATGTTTGTGGCCTTATTTCAGACGCTTAAAATAATGCCACTGAAAGATGCACCGTGTAACTTTTCCTGTAAAGGGGCCATCAAATGCTTTTTTTCTATGCAGATGTTATTACTTTACTCTGAATGTTTCACAATTTGGCATTAAACCTTTGTATCTTCATGGAGACCAAACCAGACCAAGTTACAAGTCAAGTCTGTGGAGAGGCGACCCCGCTCAAAGTCAGAATGTCTGTTTTTCTAGGTATTTTTGAGCTCTAAAACTACCTGTAACTGAATAAATGTAAAGTAGAGCTGTTTAATGTCACACTGTGGAACGTTCTAAGCAGAGCAGTGACATATTCATAGAAACAAAAAGTTACACCGTCCATGTTTAATGGAAGCATATTATGTTTGAATCCAAGTATCGTTTGTTCATTTGTTTTTCAAAATAAAACCAAAAATAAGAAAATGAAAATATAACAATTTTCTTCATTATTTTTCTCTAAACCCAAAATAAAAAAAACAAACAAACAGATAATGATTTGTTTTTTCAGCTTCAGATTTTGTGTTTAAATGAATAATGGAAAAAAAATAGATAACGGCCGTTTCCCATTTCCGTGACTTAAACTACATAGGGACTGAATCAGGACTAAATCAGGTCTAAACCAGGTCTAAACCAGTTCTAAACCAGGACTGAATCAGGGCCCAACCAGGTCTAAACCAGGACTAAACCAGTCTCAGTCCTGGTCTGGTCCCAGTCTCAATCTTGGTCTCAGTCCTGGTCTCAGTCCTGGTCTCAGTCCTGGTCTCAGTCCCGGTCTGATCCCGGTCTGTCCTGGTCTGGTCCCGGTCTAGTCCCGGTCTTCAAACTGATCACCCGACAGTCTACGCAGGCTCACCTCCGGGCCCATCTTGACACTCAGTCCTGGTTCAGCCCTGGTTTAGACCTAATTCAGACCTGGTTTAGTTCTGGTTTAGTTCTGTTTTAGTCCTGGTTCATTTCATATGTTCCAACATTGCACTTTTAGTCACGTAAACTGGAAATGGCTGTTATCATTTTTTTCCATTTTTCATTTAAACACAAAATTGAAAACTGGAAAAAAAAGAATCATTATCTGTTTTTTCATTTTGGTTTTAGAGACAAATAATGAAACAAAAAAAAAAGAAAAAAAGTTTTCTTTTTTTTTTCCCCCCCGTTTTCTTATTTTTAGTTTTATTTTGAAAAACAAATAAACAAATGATACAAGGATTTGTTTGCACGTCTTCCTCCCTCAGTCAGTTTGGTTTGCGCATGGACTTTATTATTAGATCCACAATATAATTTGATGTTATGATAAAGATTAAAATAGGTTTTTGGTTTTAGTTTGAGTTTCTTGTGACTTCAGTTCAGTTTCCAGGAAATGAATGTTTGTTTCTGTTTTTCACACTTACATATGCAGATGTAAAGACAGCGCTCTCTGTCTTGATCTGCGTGGGTGCAGCAAACTGTCAGAATACTCACACGTCATATTACAATGCTCTTTAATTATTTATTTATTGTTTATATAATATTCACATGCTACAATAACGTGCTATTTTGTTAATTGCTGTTCAGTTTATGCAATTTAGAACTTTAATTATGATGTTATTGCTGTGTAATTATGGTTTAATTAAAGTGTAGTTAAATTATATTCATGATTTACTTAAAGGGTAGTTGCTGTTATTTTATTTTTATGTAGTAGTAGTAGTAGCAGTAGTAGTAGTAGTAGTAGTAGTATTAACAGTAGTAGTAGCAGTGGTAGTAGTACTAGTAGTAGTAGCAGTAGTGGCAGTAGTACTAGTAGTCATAGCAGTAGTGGTAGTAGTGGTAGTAGTAGTAGTAGTAGCAGCAGTAGTAGTAGTAGTAATAGTAGCAGTAGTAGCATTAGCAGCAGCAGTACAGTAGTAGTAGAAGTAGTAGAAGTAGTAGCAGTAGTAGTAGTAGTAGTAGTAGTAGTAGTAGTAGTAGTAGTAGCAGCAGCAGCAGTAGCAGTAGTAGCAATAGTACCAAAAGTAGTAGTAGCAGTAGCAGCAGTAGTAGTAATGCCTACTGGAGTTCTCATTTCATTAAAACACAGTTAAGATCATGATATTTATGATTTTGCTAAAAATGTAAAATTCTTTACAGTTGAACATTTTTAAGGTTTAATTTTTTTTTATTAAATCATTTTCAAAATGACAAAGTAAAAATTTGTACAGAGAATACAATAAATACACACAGAATACACAGTGAGTATTAGAACTTTCGAGTACATACAATGGATAAAATACACTTCACCCAGAACAAAGATTAGATACACTTAATATTTGTCAGAAATTTGTTTGTAGCAAGATTCTGTATTTTTCTTCTTGTTGGTGACACACTGTGAGCAGGAAATTCTTGATTTGAAGAAGTTCCCATTTTTACTTCCTGATTTGAAATCATAACATCACACAAGGGAATTCTTTAACTCTTAACCTAGCAACCATTTAGTACACAGGGCCAAAACTCTTCTAACATACACAAACAATATGATTTGACACATAAAAACAAAAGAAAACTCCATTTATTGAGCTGAAATAATGTTTAAAGTGTCAGAAAATGTGTTTGTGTAGATTATGCCAAACTTTGGAACAGAATTCTCCCAGTGTTACTTGATCAGTATTGAACTCTCTAAACAAACCTCTCTATGTCAGACATGTCAGACTCAGGCCTGGAGGACAAATTTAACATAATTATATTTGGCCCACGAAATCATCTCAGATATGTATTAGAGCTGCCCACCAGCTGCTGATAGGCTGTAGAGGCAATGTTTATTTAAAATGTTGTTCTTATTTTATATTTTGCTTGTTCTGGATTCAGTGTTTAAGCAAAACTCTTATTAAACATTGATTTTATTAAGAAAAGATTTAACATTACATATCTCGAAAGAAGAGAAAACATGCAGATGTTGTTAAATTTTTTTAATAAGTATTTAGTTTGGCCCACGACTTAGTTCCACTTTTTAATTTTGGTGAATATGAGTTTGACACCCCTGGGTTAGAGGAAGGAAACTCATTAATGCAACACAATTGACATATTCACTGTTTTGATGAGTAAAATGTTTGTGTTTCATATGAAATTTGCACAAGAAGTGATTTAACAATTTTTTAAATTTTGGTGAATTTGAGTTTGACACCCCTGCTCTATGTCTTGTAATTTTCAACATATTTTTCAACATTTCTTTGCAAATTGCTTCTTGATTTATGTAAAACTATATTTTATATTTAAAACAGGTTTTATCCCAAGTCAAAGTGAGTTATGATATTGTGTAAAACAGCTGACTCTTGTGACATTTAAATCAAGTTATAATGTTGTTATCACATTAAAAACAGACCTGGAGTTGTGTTTTGTTTCATTCACACATGTTTGAGAAACCCTTTATGTTTACATCTACAAAACTCAAAATGTTCTGTTCCACTTTGTGATGTCATGAAGCTGTAGTTTTCATTTTAACAACTCCTTTTACCTTTAATTCCATATAAATTGGCAATTCCTGGGCTGAAATAATCCAAATGATTCTAGTGAAGGTGTATGGAGTTTAAAAACACAGCGGAGCACTTCTTGTATCACTGCATGACATCACAAGGTGGAACAGAGAGAAGAGCTCAGCCTAAATGTGCAGGATTTGTGTGTTAAACGAAACAAAAAGCAACTCTGGGTCTGTTTGCGATGAGGAAACTGCATTATAACAAATCAGAAAATAGCGTCCTATGAGCTCTTTAAAGGTGCATTGTGTAACTTTTCTGATATTAAACCTTTCTATCTTCGTGGAGACCAAACCAGACCAAGTTACAGCTCAGATCTGTGGAGAGGCGACCCCGCTCACAGTCAGAATTAACGTTTTTCTAGGTATTTTTGAGCTTTTAAACCAGTTGTAATTGAATAAATGTAAATTAGAGCTGTTTAATGCCACACTGTGTAACTTTTCTGGTCACCTGCAACTTAGAATGTTCCTCAGTGTGACATTAAACAGCTCTACCTTACATTTATTCAATTACAAGTGGTTTAAAAGCTCAAAACTACCTAGAAAAACAGGCATTCTGACTGTGAGCGGGGTCGCCTCTCCAAAGATCTGAGCTGTAACTTTTCTGGTATTAAACCTTTCTATCTTCGTGGAGACCAAAGCCGACCAAGTTACAGCTCAGATCTGTGGAGAGGCGACCCTGCTCACAGTCAGAATGTCTGTTTTTCTAGGTATTTTTGTGCTTTTAAACCACTTGTAATTGAATAAATGTAAGTTAGAGCTGTTTAATGTCACACTGTGGAACATTCTAAGTCGCAGGTGACCAGAAAAGTTACAGAGCGCATTTTAACTTTTTTTTTTTTTTTTTACATTCAGTACCCTCACCGATATTGCAATACACTTGTGATCCAAAGAGTGTCAGTGTTGGTCTGTGATCCAAACTGGTCTTTCTTTTTTTTTTTTTTCAGGGAGACGGTGAGCTTTCGGTGTGTGCGGGCGAGACTGTTACCGTGACGATGCGCGGAGAGGACGGCTGGTGGACTGTCCAGTGCGGCGGACAATCAGGCTTGGTTCCCGGCTCTTACCTCACACAGGAGCTCAGCAGCTAACGAGTGGGACCATGAAACCCTGATGTAGTTTTCTAGCATGGACAGGCTGTGTGGACGTGCAGGGCCTCTCCAGACAACACGCCATTATTTATATATTTTTAGGCATATTTCGTGTATAGTTAGAGTAATATTTATGCTTATGTTAAGATTTTTTGTTACAGATTTGTTTAATTTTGTTGGCAAATACATAATAATTTAGTGTTGCATTAAAATTTCACTATTGCTAATCGGCTACAGTTTGTCCACATGTTGACTTAACAAATATTTTAAGTGTTTTATTATACTCGAATTTGAGACATTTAAAGACGCAATAAGTGTTTCAGAAAGGGAACCTGTTTGTCTCCATGGAGATGTAAATGCTTTGGTTGAAACTGTCCGCAGTATGGCATTAAACGAATCTGTGGTGTATTTATTTATTTAAAGTGTTATTTATTGGTCACAAATATTAATTCTAAGGCTGCGTTTATATGATGATGGTTTGAAAAGAAGACACAAAAGTGGCGTCGCTTCTTCGCTTTTTATTCCGAGTTTAGACAAACGTTTTTTTGGGGGAATTCTGCATGCATACGGTGACGCAAAAGTGTGTGGAAGTCAGGAATTTGGGTATGCACGCCAGGTTTCTGTGTACTGTATGTATCTGACGTAAATGCGTACGCGATGTGAGCAGATCTGACCAGAGTTTTGCGTCTTGGGCAGTGTAGACGGAAACGCAACGGCGAAGCGCGTTCAACTTTTCCACTCTGGAGGCTGGTTTCAGATTTTTGCATTTTTAAGCTCCAAAAACGCCGTCACCGTCTCAACAAAAGTCACTTCCTTCCGATAAAATATTTTGTCGTTTTTACCCGCAAGCGTTCTCGCGTAAACAAGTACGTAAAGTTGGGTTGCCTCTCCGTAAACCTAACCTGTAAATTGGCTTGCAAGTCTCCGGGGAGATTCTGTGGAACATTCTCAGTCTCCAAGCTTTTTCTCTGATGAGCGACTTTCACAAAACGAAAACATCTATTCATAATAACAGTTGTAAGAAACTGGGCAAATATAGAAGCCAAAACAAGCCTTAGATGGGGAACAGTTAGATTTATAAAACATAAACCTTTATTTATTTATTAGTGCACAAAGTTAGACATCAGAATAATACATTTACAATGGTAATGTTACGATATCCAAATCTCTCAGTACGATATTATCACGATATGCATCTCACGGTACGATATTTATTGCGATATTTTGAAGAGACAGATAGAATTGTAAATAAAATACTTTTTTTGCTTTTAAAACACCTTGACAAGATTTTGGTGTGAATTATTTCTGTCATAATCACAAGAATTCAAGTAAAAAACATATTTCTTCATGTTGTCTGCGCTGAAATGAATCATGGGATATGTAGTTCTCGATCTTTATTTGCTATCGGTACTATAAAACAATACATTTAAGCAAAGGATTTTCTTATTCGATATATTGCGACAGCCCATGGTGTTATTGTGAGACTTTTGACGATACGATATCATGATACTTCGATTATTGTTATCGTTGTTGTTAGGTTACAGCGACTTTGAAGGGGTTTGGAGATACTGATAAGTCTCGAGCTACAGGTTGGAGACACACAACTCCACGGAGACAAGCAGGACACAGACCCTAAACCAAATAGTGCAACTTTAAACCTTTCAATCAGAAATTCCTCCAATTTATCAAACTGTGGATTCTCAGAAAAAAAGCTACTCTGCATGTGACCCTCACAGAGTAAGCTTTGAAACTGCCCTGTCATAATTATTGAATATTAGGCCAATTCTTACACAGTTTTAAAGAGGAATTGAGTTATTTAGTTTTTATTTGCATAAGTTTTGAATAAATTATCGTAACATACTGTGGCAAAAATGGTAGAGCTATGGCCCCAACGGAAGACTTTTTACATTAAAGAGTTCAATTGCAAAAACAGATATGTCCTTTTATTTACCTTCTTCTACGTGTATTATCAATAAATATAATAATATAATTAATAAAGGAGAGATGGAATAATATTTTTAAAGCCGTAAATGACATCTGGATTTTGAAATTATTCCTGTACAAAGCCAAAACTCAAATGCTTTTTAAGTGGTACTTATCTTATTTTTGCCATAAACTATATATATCAATGGACACAAATAGGAAATGTTCATGGGCACTCTTCTGGCTCCATTGATTTTGGCTCCTCTTGCTGTAACTGCAGCTGTGAGCCTTGTCATTTGGGTCTTAAAATGTTGGGATTAACCCACTTTACATGATCCTGGTGTTTTTATTTCATCATTTTGTCCGTAAATACATTTCTATTCCTGTTATAATCTGAAACTGGCTCCAAATTTGCCTGGACCGGAGCTGAACACCACTTTTTTTATACAGTCTGTTTTTTTTTTTTGCAAATGAACTCTTATTATTTAATTGAAAAACTGAAATAAAAGTTAAAATAGTTCTTTAAAGGGCCTCAAATGCAGTTCTGAAGTCTGAAGTCAGCATAATGTGGACAACTGTACGACGCTTCACCTGCTTGTGCTGAAATCTGTTACCTGCACAGGCAAAGGCATAAATAATTAGTCTGTGTGAACCGTCACTCGATCTCAGCCTGCACCACCGGACACACTCCAGGACCGGCAGCCTTTTTCCACCATGGACGTTCCGACTCCTCGTCATATTTGGGTCAACTATTTTCACAATGAATCCTTACTACAGCCTCTCTGGGACTCCCTCCGGGTCCACTACGCGGACTATTTACGTTCTCCGCTTTTTCCTGTCATCCTCACCGTGTCTTCGTATTTTATTTTTTGCGCGCCGTATGTCGTCTGTGATCTCATGGGCGATAGATGGCCGTGGGTGCAGAAATATAAACTCCAGCCTAATGTTCGACCAACTTACGCCACTATGCTGCACTGCGCCGGGGTCACACTTTGGAACCACTTGTTTTTGGTTTTTCCAGCTTCTGTGGCGCAATGGGCATGGAGACCGCCTGTAGATCTCCCCGAAAACGCCCCAACTTTACCCGAGTTCGTCACCGGCGTCATCGGGAACCTGCTCCTCTTTGACTTCCAGTACTACATCTGGCATCTCCTGCACCACCGCATCCGCTGGTTGTACGTAACTTTCCACGCCATTCACCACAAATACTCGTCACCCTTCGCCCTCGCCACCCAGTGTCTCGGCGGGTGGGAGCTGCTCACTGTCGGCTTCTGGACCACTCTGAACCCGATCTTGCTAAAATGCCATCTCCTCACGACCTGGGCTTTCATGGTGGTGCACGTGTACGTTTCGGTCGAAGATCACTGCGGGTACGACTTCCCCTGGTCCATTTCGCGGCTCGTTCCCTTCGGCGTGTACGGAGGTCCCAACATGCACGATGTCCACCACCAGAAACCGACGCGCAATTTCGCTCCTCACTTCGGACACTTGGACAGACTGTTCGGGACACATGCTGAGTACTGCTACGCGAATCCTAAGAAAAATACACAATAGACTTGGACTTGGAATTGACAAACTTTACTGATCCACAAAAGAAATTACTTGGACACAGCAGCTCACACATCACAAAGAGCTACAATATAAACGGCAAAAACAGCAAGAGACTGGTGTCAAATAAGGCATAGCTTTTAGAAGTTTATGTAGAACCAGTCCCATCGACAGAAATTTCAGGGCGTCTGGCAAGAAGATTCACTTAGCCCCCTTCTAACAAAAATTACTGTATTTTTTGAACTGTAAGTCACACTTTTTTTCATGGTTTGGGTGTTTCCTGCAACTTATACTCTGGTGTGACTTATATATTAAAATTTTCACACTGAAGCAGTGAGAGGCTCTAGTCTTGTGTGTGAGTATCTGCTGCTTCTGTTCCTCCTGTACCACTGTCACTTCACTCTACTGCACATGTCTCCTGCAGAAAGAGCCTCTGTCCTGTCTGTATCATGTCAGTCGATCGCACCATTACTTCTGCACCACTGAACAATTTAACATTTAAACAAAACAACTTAGAGAGAGGACTGAACACAAATGCCCCCAAAAAGAAAATCCTATTTTGCAGATTACAAGCTGCAAGTAGTGAAATCTGCAGCCACAAACAGTAATCGAGCAGCAAAAAGAAAGATTAGAGTGATCGAGAAACCGGGAGGGTGCGCCATGCAACTTTCCTGAAGTCACTGGATGGATGGACAAAGCCTGGACTTCAGTGACACCGAAACCATCCTGTCGGGATTCAGAAAGGCCCGAATAATTCTAACTGGAACTGATGCTGAATCTGACTATAGCTACACAGAAGAGTTTACCTTCAGACGTTGCCGAGTTGTTCAGAAGTGACACCGAGGATGAAGAATTGAATGGATTTAGTGATTTGGAGTGAGATGGAGAGTTTGGTAAACTTGTTCTGTTCTGTTGTTTATGCTATAGTTATGTGAAGAACTGTTCATATGTGACGTTAACATCCTGATGTTCTCTCTTCTATTGTTATTACTAGAACTCTGAAAAAAGTGTGACTTGTATGTGGTTTTTTCCTCTTCATTGCACATTTTTTGGCTGGGGCGACTTATACTCTGGAGCGACTTATAGTCCAAAAAATACGGTCACATTCTGAGTCCCTAAAATCGTGGGACCCAGAACAACAGACCCCTTTGTCCCCCCCGTGTCTACTGCCCTGTGAAGAAGACAAAATAAAAGTTTAGAATTATACAAGAAGCTTTATACAAGAGATCAAAAGGAGAAAAAGTGCAAAGATGAAATCGTGATTGACATGATGTAGGGTTATCTTTTACATCAGAGTGAGTTTGAGTTGTTGTACAGTTGTAGGGAGCATTATCTTTTACATAAGGGCGAGTTGTACAGTTGTATGGCATATGGAATGAATGTAATCATGTATTGAAACACCTTTATAGCATTGTGTTTGCTCTGTTAAAACATATTTATTTGACATTAAGAATTACTGTAATATGTTGATGTGAGAAAATGTGTAACCAAATAGTTTATTTATTTTCTAATGTGGACAGAAAAGGTCAAACTGATCAGTGAATGATGTCTCTGCCTCATAAACTGGGCATCACTGACTTTTATGAACTGCTCATTCTCAATACAATCAAACTCTGTACAAAGGAACTCAGTGGTGGATGAAGTACTCAATTTTGTTTCCTAAAGCTGCACTGTGTAACTTTACAGGTTTGGTGTTACCATGGAAATGCTATTGCTTTGCCGGCAACGTTCCACAATATGATATTAAACTTATATAAGATGCATTTATTCAGTTATTATCAGTTTTTATTGGTCAAAAATACCTTTAAAAACATGGAGTCTGGTGGTGTCTCCTGCTTGTCTCTATGGAGATTGATTAGTTTAATGCCATACTTTGGAACATTTCACGAAAAGCAATAACAGCTCTATGGAGACAAGGAACTGGCAGGTCTTATACCGGAAAGATTTCACAGTCAAAGCATCATTAATTCAAAGTACAGATACAGGGGCAAAAAGTTACACAAGTAAAAGTAAAAGTATCACATGAGAAAATCTAGTTAAGTTTGCAGCGTTTTTTAGAACAATTTAAAGACGAAATGTAGTGATTTTGATCAAGAATTTGGCTGATTTTAAGTGATTCAGTTGATTTCTTGATTTTTTTTTAGCTGTTTTTGTGTGTTTGGTTTGCTCAAAGCTTGGACAGAAACTCAAATTAAATATGCTAAAAAGCATGTCTAAAATCATGAAGAAAAGTACTTTTTACATTTCAGTCCAGATTTAAAATGTAGTGGAGTAGAAAGTACAGATACCTGCTCTCAAATTAGTGAAGTAAAAGTAAAAAGTATCCACTGTAGAATGTAAAAGTAGTAGAAAGTAAAGTACAGATGCCTTAAAATTGTACTTAAGTATTGCAGTTTTACTTTTACTTTTGGACTTTAGTACCTTCCAGCACTGAGTCAGTTTGTGATTGACACTGATTTGTCTTTCTCATTTTGTTATTACATCACAGTGGGCCTTTCACGATAATTATTATTATTAGGGATGGGACAAGATCTCGTGAGACAAAACTGCCACAGAATCGTGCACACAAGAGAGAAATGATCTCGTAGGATTTTTTTCCCAAGTGTTCACATTTGGATTGGTTGAAAAAGAGTCACGTGTTGGAGAGTCAGTTCCAAAAAACAGAACTAGAATCGAAACAAAAATATGAAATCAAATAAATACAAAATTATGAGGCCAAACTTGAAAACTTCATCATGAAATGTATATATTTGGAATTATGTGAAATCTCGTCTCGTTTTGTGGAAATTGTGTCTCGTCGCATCCCTAATAATTTAATATATCAAGTTATCGACTATATATGATGGATTGAACAATATTTTTTAGGTAAATATACAAATTTTAATTGCACTACTGTAAATGTTGAGTTATTTTTTTGTCTTTACGAAAAGATTTGAGCTGTAAAAGTTTGAATTAATCACTTCACGGACTCATTACAGATGCAAACTGTGCTATGACTAAACTGTTTCATTCTGCTGTTTATTTATTACTGCTTTTATATAATAGTTTTGTGGTTTAAATTGTGATTATTGTGCTAGTGGCATAAAATAATATTTTTGTTAATTGTCTATATTTACTTCAGCAATTTATCGCATTTCAAAATTTGTTATCATGACAGGCCGTGATCGTCGACTCTTCAGGTTTTACAGAGGGGAACGCTGTTGTAACTTTTCAGTCTAAAAAAATAAATAGATGATTGACACCACAGATTTAAGTTTACAGATTTTCTGGAGTAGGCTGATCAGGGTATCGTTCGTTCATTTGTTTTTCACAATAAAACCAAAAAAATGAAAAAAAAAACAAAACAAACTATTTTCTTCATTAGTTGTCTTCAAAACTAAAATGAAAAAACAGATAATGTTTTTTTTTTTCTTTTTTTCAGTTTTCGATTTTGTGTTTAAATGAAGAATGCCGGACTAAACTGATCTCAGTCCCGGTCTCAGTCCCGGTCTAGTCCCGGTCTCAGTCCTGATCCTGTTCGAGGTCCCAGTCTCTGTCTCAGTCCCGGCCTGGTCCCAGTCTCAGTCCTGATCCTGTTTCCATTCTCAGTCCTGGTCTCAGTCCTGGTCTCAATTCTGGTCTCAGTTCTGGTCTGGTCCTGGTCTGGTCCCAGTCTCAGTCCCACTCTCCTGGTCTTAGTCCTGGTCTCAGTCCTGGTTCAGTCCTGGTTCAGTCCTGGTTCAGTCCTGGTTCAGTCCTGGTTCAGTCCTGGTTCAGTCCGTCATCTTAGTTTAAGTCATGTAAATGGGAAATGGCCGTTATCTGTTTTTTCCATTATTGATTTAAAACACAAAATCGAAAACTGAAAAAACTAATTTTGGTTTTGGAGACAAATAATAAAGAAAATAGTTGTTTTTCATTTTCTTATTTTTGGTTTTATTTTGAAAAACAAATGAACAAATGACATACGGATGGCTGTTGATACTTTGCAGCGTCATCAAGCTGGGGGTGACGCAAAAATACAAAATACAAAATGGATTTAAATAATTTATTTTCAGGAGACTGTGATCAATACAGGTGGGAAAGTTACTACATGAAAAACTGTTGGCTAATGCTTTTCAAAATCAAAAACTGGGATAATTGGTAATAATAAAATTGTGAAAGAAAATTGTTGCACTCGACTCTTTCACGACTAACATGTGAGTCTGTATTGTCACTTTTTCTTTATGTTTTGGTCATTTTGGTCATTTTGAGCAGCTTTTCTGTATTTTACTTAAACAAAATACAATTTATGCATCTCTTTTATGTTGCCAGGGATCAAATTGTTCAAAAATAGGAACACCAGGGACATTTCTTGTATAAAACTGGGATAAATATAATGGTTTTGGATAAATTTGCTGGGACAAGGGGACACAGAGAGAGACACTAGACTTGTTTAACAGCACATCTGGTCAGATTAAAGTCTAATTTGTGTAACAGATCTTCAGACAGAGCACTGCCTACAGTTCACACCCCCAGGTAATACTGATGACCTCCACTGTAAAGTATCAGTCACATCTCACATCGAGTATCACATCTCACTGTATGACGTAAACACTTCAATTAACTGTAAATTGTGTGTAAGTCTCTGTGAGTGTGTGTTTGTGTCTGTGTGAGGAGGGGAGGGTGGATTCTTAATTTCCCTGATGGCCTGTGTTTTTCCAGTCATAAATTATACACTGAGTTTCGTGTGGCTCGGAGCTGAATCCACAGAGTCTGTTTCAAAACTGCAGACAAAACGAAACGGCTTTAATTAAAGGAATTAACTGTAACATGCTCTGTGTAAAAGTCCAGCGTCACCATGGAGACAGTATTGAATTATCTATACCGTATCTGTCTTATAATTATTCTAACTGAGCTTGAGGTCACGTCCCCACACAGATCTGACCTGTAACTTGCCCTGGTGGCTTCACTTCTTCAGCCCATGAAGATCTGGAGCACAGGTGTCAAACATAAGCCCTCCAAAACCTTTAATCTGGCCCTCAGCTGATTTTTTATTCAAATATTTTAATTATATTTTCTATTAAAATATTAGTAATTTTCTGCGGTGCTGAGCATATCAGCGTCTCCAGTGTCTCTGTACGTGGCCCCTCCCACCAGAGCAGCACAAATGAAGACTTGTCTCTTTCCAAACGCTCTTAAAGGACGATCGTTTTGACGGTTGACCGTGACACCCTCATCAGAAAAATATTAAAAATGAGAAAAGTGGAGCCGAGTGCAGGATTTTCCAAGAAAAACTGACTTATTCCTATTTATATACAAGTTAATGTTAAAACTTTGTGTTGAAATTGCATTTTTCTTAAAGTTTCAGGTTGTTCATAATATTATAATTATTTTGTAAATGAAAGAGTTCATCAATTAAAAAAGATTTCTATAATAAATTTGCGTTTCTCTGCACAAATATTTGAACTTATTGTTATTTTTGGGGTTTATATGCCATGAGTTTTGTGATCCAGCCCCTTTGAGATCAAAGTAGGTTGGCTACGGCTCCCGGACCAAAATGAGTTTAACACCCCTGGTCTATAGAGTCTAAATCTAATGCCAAGAGTCAATATCTAATACAATAACAATAACGTCTCCATGGAGAACAGCTGAACCTGGGTTGAGATTTCATATACTGAGGAATATGGGAAGTCAAAAGTGATGGTCTCATTCTTCTGAGTGGATAATTATTTAAAGTATTATTACCAAACATAATTACTGTATATAAATAGACATTACACATGTACTGAGTTAGTATAGTAGTATACCTTTAGGTCACAATATTCTAAAATCAGGTTAATTCTAATTTCCAAACTTGAATTATAGTTGTTATGTGTAATATTATCTAAACCAGGGGTGTCAAACTCATTTTGGTTCGAGGGCCGTATCCAACCTATTTTGATCCCAAAGGGGCCGGATCAGAAAACTCATGTCATATAAACCCCAAAAATAAAAATAACTTCAAATATTTGTGCAGAGAAACACAAATCTATTACAGAAATCTTTATTAATTGATGAACTTTTAAAAAATATTATAATATTATGAACAGCCTGAAACTTAAGAAAAATGCAATTTCAACACAATGTTTTAACATTAACGTTTGCATTTCATAGAATTTAGTCATGTTTTCTTTTTGCTCCTGAAACTTGGCATCTTTTAGCCTGTACAAGGGCATCAATATCAGGCACCGTGTCCTGAGTAGCTGCTATATTCAGAATGTCATTCAAGTGCTTGTGTGTTGTGTTTTAGCTTTGAGTGCAGCTTTGTTTTATTAATGTTCATTACTGAGAAAACCTGCTCACAAAGGTAGTAACTGCAAATCTATTATTTTTAGGCACATCCGAGGTTTTGACTGTGAATGGTGTGTGAAAAATGGCAAATTCTGTCAGGTTTTAAAATATAATTAAAATATTTTAGTAGAAAATCAGCCGAGGGCCAGATTAAAGGTCTTGGAGGGCCAGATCCGGCCTCGGGGCCGTATGTTTGACACCCCCTCATCTAAGCCCACACACGCCCTGAGCACTAGATGGCGCTGTAGTCTCACTGTGCACTGTTTACTAAATAAACACTGCTTTTTATTGGCATACTAGTTTTGTGTGTTTTTGTTTGTTTGTTTGTTTGTTTGTTTGTTTCACATTCCATGCAAAGTTAGGGTGACCAGATTTTCAATTTTATGAAAATTCAAAATTCATTTTTGAAAATTCAAAATTTCAAAATTGTGAAACGAGACATAACATTGTCCATTCTCGTCTCACTTGTGTGGCAGTATAGACTTGCATTTTGCATTTTTCGCCTTATAGTCTTTTCCAAGCACAGTTTTCTGTATTTTAGTTTAACAAATGACAATATATTCCCCTCGTTACTGTTGGCACGTGTGAAACTGGTCAAAAACAAAGACAATTGGGACATTTCTTGGTTTTGTGTAAATCTCAAAACTGGCATTGTCCCGAGTAAATAGAAACGCCTGGTCACCCAATTTATAACTTTTTTGCTGAGAAAATAAGGAGGACACTAAATGGTTTTACTTCAAACTTATCACTGTGAATCCAACCGGTGAATTCCTAAAACAAAAATTAAAATTTGAGACAGGTAAATTTGTGTTCTGTGACACGTTGAACATCTTTTCTTTTCATGTAGTTTGGTACAACAATTTTGTTCTGATTTTGGGTCATTGTTTCAGTCCAGGGGAATTCAATTTGCCCCTCTAACCACAAAATAAATAAATTTGGAAGTTGGAATTAATAATTCATTGATTTTTACGTAATTTTTTTGTTCACAAATGTCAATTTTTTAAGATAAAACCAAATATGACGCACTTCAGAAATGACCTGATATTTTTTGTTGACTCATTGATTGAACCTGATTGAAAAAAGGGAAGCCGGGTTTCTTGTAGCCTTTTTGAACGATGTTGATTTGTTCCATTGATTAGAAGCTTTAGAATTGCCCCCTTAATTTGTTCATGAATGTGTTTTTGTTTTTTGTTTATTTTTTTGTTTTGTTTTTTCTTCACAATTGTGGTCTTTGTGTGGTGCCTTTTTGTTTGTATCTGGGATTTGAAGTACTAATAAATTTAAATAAATAAATGAATAAATAAATAAATAAACCTCTACGTATAATGCTGTTTATTTATTTATTTATTTTAATTACACAAAACTGGGTGCATAAACTCGATACAACAAATATGGCTGTGTGTCGTCAGCAGTTACGTGTCGGGATAAGGGAACATAAACACAACATATTATACAGTAACAATACAATACAACAATAATAAAAAAAAAAAAAAACATAAAAAAAAAAAAAAAAAAGTGCATTTAGGAAGAGAAAAGGATAACAGCAGGGGGAGTAGAGTTCATTCATCCTGAGTTCATAAAGTCCAGGGGAATTTTACACATGTAGGAATACACTTTTTGAGCTTTAGGTCCATTCATATATTTCAAAGCTTTTATATATAATTTGAGTTCTTTTTTTTTTTTTTTTTTAAACAAGCAAAGTTAGGAGGATCTCTGTGTATAATGCGCACTGAGAACTATCAACCAGTAGGTGGCGATAGATGCACGAGGTAGAATGCCAGCTGCCATAAAACCACTAGAAGAAGAAGAAGAGCGTAGACTTCCTTTTGGTATCAGGATATAAAACACCATCTGACTTATTCTTTTTTTTAACTTTTTTTTTTTTTTTTTTTTTTTGTAAATTGAAGTCCATCGACAAAAGCTTAAACTCTGGGGACGAGCTCTGACGCGAAACTACTGTAAGTAAATCCTCCTCCGTGTCTAAAGTGTCTCTAAATATAGTAAATATTTATAAACTGTGTCTCTCTGTGGGTCAGTTTTACTCAGAACAACACAAACTTTATTTAGGTTGTAATAAATCGCCATGTTGGGGAACCTGTAAAACGCGTACGTGAAGGTTTCAGTAGATTTAATGACTCATGACGCAGAAAGGTGGATCTGGGTGAAGTGTCTTGCACGAGGACACAACATTAATACCAATCTGAATGAACCGCTACTTTCATCTTTCTTTATTCTAATATAAGGTGACCAGATGTGCCTATTTACTCTGGACAGTCCCAATTTTGAGCCCTGTGTCCCCTGCCCCAGCAGATTTATACAAAACCTCTGATTTGTCCCAGTTTTATACAAAAAATGTCCCAGGATTCTCTATTTTTGACCAATCTGATTCATGCCAATTGTAAACAGAGGCATACGTTGTGATTTGTTTAGGTAAAATACAGAAAATCTGCTTAAAAATGACCAAAACACAAAGAAAACGTGACTATACTGACTCACATTAGTGCCAAGTGTGTAATAATTCTCCCTAATTTCGCACCAGTTTCACAATTTTATTATTCTCAACCCAAACCAGAGATGTCCCAGTTTTTTATTTTGAAAATCTGGACACCCTATAATAATGTTCTGTTCTTGTTTGTATTAAAACACTTGGGATTTTTTGGTGGTTTTCAGATTCTAAAATGTGCTGATGTCATGCTCCCATGTGAGGAAAGATCACAAACAGACTGTATTGTAATTTATTAACTAGACCCAAGAACAATGTTCATTTAATTCAATAGTAAAAGTTATTGGCTTATTAATATTGTGATGTCATCTAAAATGCAGCAGTTCATTATTTTATTGTTTAAATCATGAACTTCTGAGCAAAATGTTGTTCATGTTATTCACTTGTTCATGTCTGCAGTGTTTCAGGTGTTCATCATGATTGACGTAGAGCGACCTGGACCAGTTGAGCCTGACGGAGCAGAACAGCAGAGAGCTGTGGAGAGGAGTGGAGCCCCAGAGTCAGCAATACAGCCCCCAGTGTGCCGCTTCTACTCACAGGGACAACACTGCCGCTTTGGGAAGAAATGCAGGTTTTTGCATGTAGGGAACCAGGGCCCGTCCTCTGGTCCCATCAGCTCCTCCCAACCAGGACACCAAGAGCAGACCTCCTCCAGGACTTTCAGCTCCCCCAGGGCCCAAGCAGCGCCCACGCCAAGACCATGTCGCTACTTCATGTCCGGCTTCTGCAGCATGGAGGAACGCTGTCGATTCTTACATCCTGCTTACATGCCGCCACTGGCAGATCCTCCTTCTCATAACCCCCAACATCGTGAAGCTCAACATCGTGAAGCCCAGCCTCGAGGTCCTCAGCCTCGTGAAGCCCAGCCTCGAGGTCCTCAGCCTCGTGAAGTCCAGCCTCGAGGTCCAGCAGTGAGCAGAGAGCTGAAGCTGAGCGATTTAACAGAGGACATGGTCCAAAAGCTTCGTCTTACAGAGATCCAGCAGCTGAAGAAACGTTTCCCCAAAGATCTGATTGTTCAGGAGCAAGAGGACATGGCGTATTACAGAGCCACAGTGGAGGCCACTGATCCTGACTGGGTAATGTACATATACTTTTGTGTCAGGGTTTCAAATGATTAAAAATCCACTTTAGGAATTAAAGCAGAGTACTTTTTGCAGCCGTTTGATCTGAAGGAGATTGACATCATGGTGAGCTTTCCACCCAACTACCCTGAGGAGGTAAACCCTATAGGTTATTATATACATGTTTTATGAAATATTGTATTATAAAATATTCATTAAATCCTACTTTCATAGATTTTTACTTTAGAAATTCCTCTGGATCAGCAGCTGCCAGCAGTTATGGCCAGGTGTGACTCTATCACATTGAACTGGTTCAGAGAATGTTTATTTCCAGTCCTATTGTATTTTTGTCCTGCTTTGTCATTTAGACACGTTCAAGAAGCTTCAATTCAGTGGCTCCAGGCCAAACATGCCACAAACCAACTGCTGGGGAAAGTGGAGCTCCTGTTTCGTCCTTTTCTGCGATGGCTGGACCGCAGTCTGGAGCGGCTCTTCATAGAGGGAGCGAAACAGGTTTGTGTGAACCTTAACGTCCTACACAGGGCTGCGTACTAAAGACTAAATACTCTGTTGGACAACTGTAACATCAATCTGAACATTCACTTTGAAATTTTTTCTCCTGTAGCTGAAAAAGGACATAGATTTGGAAAAAGCTGGACTTCAGTTTATATCATATCAGGAACTTCAAGCAGCAGTCAGTGAGAAGCAGACGGAGACGGAACAGATGGAAGAGGACAAGTCTGAGCGAACTGAGGGGGCAGAAGAGGAGGGTTCAGAGAGGACTGAGGGGGCAGAGCCTGAGAAGACTGAAGAAGCAGGATCTGGGCAAACTGAGGAGGATGGAGTCCATTTGGTGGAGAACATCCGGATCCAAGACCGTCCAAAAGGGACAGAGATCCAGCTGCTGGGGCTGAAGCTCGGACAGAACACCGTCACGGTCATGACCCAAAAGATCACGGTCTGCCTTCGCTGTAACAGGTACCAGCTGCTGTCCCCACATCAAAACTTATTTATTGCTTCATTGCACATTTTAGTTATTCTGCATTCTAAAGTTAATATCCATTTCCAGAGTTAAAATAAGCTTTACCATTACACTAACACATGACATCTTAAATTCTATAGGATCCAATATTAATACAAATAGGAGCAGGTAAAATTAATATTGTTCAGCTGCAGATTTTTGTTGTTATATAATGTGGTCTTGGGTCTAGTCAGTAATCGAAATGATCAGATTCCATATTTGGAAATTTACCTTTCTAACTCAGGTATAACCCAGAACGAAACCAAATCCAAAGCAGATCTAAACTAGTTATTAAGCAGGACTAAACCAGAACTAAACCATTTCTATCCATCCCATCCATTTTCTTCCGCTTAAAGAAGAACTAAACTTAAATCAGGAGTAAAGAGGATTAATTTGACTCAAACCAAAGTAGATTTTGTTTTATTTGACCTTTTTGCCTCGTTTGGGAGTATGACATCACATTTTAAAACCTGAAAACCACCAATAAGCCAATCTCTCTCCTGTCCAGGTATGATCAAGCCTGTTTCCATACAAGTCCATACATGTATTTCTAAAAGACTCCAACAATTTCAGCTGTACCATTGCCTTCACTACACCAGCAGAGGGCAGTAGAAGCTGTAAAAGTGCAGACTCAAAGAGAAGACAAGTTTATTTTAAGTCACAAAAGATGAACATTGAAACATTTATTAGTAAAGGGCTTATGTAACATTAGTTGCATACATTATTAATTCTTTAAATAATAATTAGAGAGGTTGCTGCATCTGAGATTTAAATTTGGATTCGTAGTTTTGTATTGCACAGTGCATTTTCAGGAGCCTGTGATTTAATACAAGCGTTCATGGTCCTGTTTAGGAGTTTGATTTTCAACAAAAAAGATGAGTGTGATGAACTAAAAAACTGTTGACTAATCTATCTATCTATATATCTTGTGACTGTAATTTTATTTGTGAGTAGTGTGACCAGATGCTCCTAACTGATTTAATGACAACAGTAGGGTTTCCAACTGTCTCTATTTACCCGGGACAGTCCCAGTTTTGAGCCCTGTGTCCTCTGTCCCAGTGGATTTATCCAAAACCACTGATTTGTCCCAATTTTATACAAGAAATGTCCCTGGTGTCTCTATTTTTGACCAATCTGATTCCTGCCAAGAGTAAAGAGAGACATACATTGTCATTTATTTTGGTAAAATACAGACAAGCTACTTAAAAATGACCAAAACACAAAGAAAATGTGACTATACTGACTCACATTAGTGCAGCGTGCATAAAAATTTTCCTTAATTACGTACTCTTTCACAATTTTATTCTTATCAATCACCCCAAACTGGTGATGTCTCAGTTTTTTATTTTGATTTATATTATGTGTGAGAGACTTGTTTAACAGCACAAACCCTCTCACCTATGGTCTAAACTAACTCTTTCTGGTCAAATTGTGTTCAAATAAAACTCAAATTAAAGTCTAACAGAGCTTCTGAGAGTAGCTGTAAATGTTGAGTTTTTTTTTTTTTTTTTTACTTTCACAAGAAGAAAAACAGCTTTACAAATGTGAATAAAATCTTTGTGTTTGTGTTTAGGTGTAAGGTGAGTGCGGAGCTGAGCCTGTCCGCGGGGGCCCTCTGCGTCGCTCAGTGTGAGAAGTGCAGCACAGACATCAGAGCGTCCTTCACCCCGTCCATCCTCCACCCGTACAGCACCGTCCTGGGTCACCTCCAGCTCCACAACACTGCCGCCCTCGACCTCCTGCTCCAGCGGTGCCTTTTCACGCTGGGCTGCCTGAACTGCTCCCAGGAGACTCCCGTGGAGGTCAGAACTCACATTTAAACTGGAGAAATTACACTGACTTGTATTCATTTCTTAGAGAATGATCCAGAAACGGTCCATATTACACAAAATGGATTCTCTTGAGCATTCAGTCATGTTATAATGTTGATACTTCATAAAAACAACCCTTAAGTTCTGTTTTGTTTTATTCACATGTTTTTCTAGGTATTTTTGAGCTATAAAACCATCTGTAATTGAATAAATGTAAAGTAGAGCTGTTTGTCACTCTGTGGAACATTCCAGGCAGAGCAGTGACATATGCATAGAAAAAAAGCAGGTAATGGTCCTATATTAAGCAAAATTGACTCCTGTGAGCTTTAAGCCATGATAGAATGCTGTTACCCCCCTCAAAAAACAGACCAGATCAGTTTGTTTGAGTAATTTTTTTTTTTTAAATTATTGGTCTGTTTACATCTCCAAAGCTCAAAATCTTCTGTTCCACCTTGTGATGTCATGTGGTAAGAGTTTGCAGCGATCTTTTACTTTAAGTCCAATAGAGATTGGCAACTCCAGGGCTGAAATTATCCAAATGATTCAAGTGAAGGTGTATGGAGTGTAAAAGCACAGAGGAGCACGTCCTGTATCACCACATGACATCACAAGTTGGAACAGAGTGTTTTCCGTTTGACAGAAGAGCTCAAACAAAACACAACTCTAGGGGGGTGTTCTGTTAAAGTGGCTCAGTAAGTCGAGGCTTATCTTGAAATCCTGAGCTCCATCTCTCAACTCGTTCCATGACAGAAATCACAATAAAAACAAATCAAAACATAAATAATCATCATAAAATTAAAATTAAAAAGAGCGAGACATTAATTACATAAATTAGAGAGAAGAGTGTGGAATGAAAACCTTTCAGTCATATGCACAGTCAATCAGAACCGTTTTGAGCCTGGATTTAAACAGCGTCAAAGTAGATAAATAAGTAGTAAATAAGCCTGAGTCTAACCAAAGCTAATTTAGGCCTGAACTTTAAGCTGTTATTTTTGCTTGCGGTGACTCTGAGAAGGCCAGAGCAATGGAGCAACGACATCACACAAAATGGGCTCAAAGTGTGACTTTTTTTATATAATCTGACTAAACAAGACAGGAGCAACAGCGCGCATGGACAAGAGTTTGATACGGGACATAGAACTTTTCCACTCATTCTGATCTGAGGAGTGAGAGGAAAGACACTCTGCCTCCTTTTGCTTTTGACTAAATTGTTTCTTTAGATCAGACATGTCAGACTCTGACCCGGGAGCCAAATTTGTCCCGCAATATTATTATATTTGGCCTGCAAGATCAAATCAAATATGTATTAGAGCTGCCCGCCAACTACAGATAGACTATAGAGACATTATTTGCTTTAAATTGTTTTATTATTTTATATTTTGCTTGTTCTGGATTCAATGTTTAAGCAAAACTTTTATTAAACATTTATTTTAATAAGAAAAGATTTAACATTACATATCTCGAAAGAAGAGAAAACATGCAGATGTTATTGAAAATTTTCAATAAATATTTAGTTTGGCCCACAACTTGGTCCCAGTTTTTAAATTTGGCTTCTGTGAATTTGAGTTTGACACATTCTTTGGTGGAACTGAGGATTTGACAAGCCTGGATTAGCCAGATAAGTCAGACTTTCACTTAAACTTGCTTCAAGGTCTGTTTGTGATGAGGAAACTAAATTATAACATAGATAAGAAAACAGTGTAATATGGGCCCTTTAATCATACTTACTGTTGGCCAAACCTAAACCTATTTTAACCCACGCTGTAGAGTTTGTCACTGGGACCTTATTTTGCTCACCATGATGTCAGTGTGTGTGTATCTATATTTACAGATTTTTTTCCCCACAATGTAAATACTAAATGCCCACCCATGTTCCCTAATAATACAGATTAAACTAACATTCATATACCAGTGTAAATATGTTGTTGTTTTCCTCAGAGTCTCTCTTATGGCCAAACGAAGGAGTTAAACTGTGAGCACTGCCACGAGAAACACAGCGTCGAGGTCGAAAGTGCAAGATTTGTGCTGATTCAACCTCGCAGCAGCAAAACAGGTGAGAGCCCCTCTCCATCTTCAGTGATACTTTATTCTGACATCGCACTGGAAGGACCTACATGTTTGCCTATGGTGGTATGTTCAGCACTTACCATGGTGACACAATACACAGATTAGCAAACAAAAAGTATAGTATGAAAACCCAAGAAGAAATGCAAAATGGGTTTAAACAGCGCATTTTCAGGAGTCTGTGATCGATACGAGCATTTAGGTGTTTGATTTTTAACAAAAAGATGAGAGTGACTAGCTTAAAAAAACTGATTGTGATGTTATGTGAGAAAGAGTTGTTTATAATGACACAAATCTGCACGTCTGTTGTAGTTCCAGCTAAATCAGTTCTAGTCTTAATACAAAGCTCAGATTAAAGTCTAACTTGAGTGACAGACTTTCAGACAGAGCGGAGCTTACAGTTCAGCCTCTTTCTGTTCCTCTGCAGGTCCGAGCTCCGACACTGTTTATTTGAAAACCATAAGGGACCCTGCAGTGCAAAAAGGGAAACCATTGCCAGACAAAGGAGCCTGTAAACACTACAGACAGAGTCACCGCTGGCTCAGGTACAAACACAGGGCTGTTGGGGTACTCTCCATGTGACCTCTGCAGTGTAATAAACTGTGTATTGTGTATCAGACTGTTTATGTGTTGACCGATGTGTGGTTGTGCCCAGGTTCCCGTGCTGTGGCAGAGCGTACCCCTGTGACGTGTGCCATGATGAGGACCAGGACCATCCAATGGAGCTGGCCTCTAGAATGATCTGTGGATACTGCGCCAAGGAGCAGGTCAGATCAGAGTAAAACGCGCTACACATTTCACTGTTCAACTTTAAGTGCATTCGACAGGTCATTTTGTGTTTGGGTTTTTATAATTTTTACTTAATTTGGTGGGATTGGAGGATCTGGGATATGAGGTACATATTTATCTCAGTTTTACTCAAGTCAAGGTTTGTGAAGAAAATTGGAAAATACAGGAAGACGCCGAATTCAACCATTGTATCCCTCTAAATAACTCAGACACAGTTCACATTTAGTGGACTATAAGTTGCTCTGGAGTATAAGTCGCACCAGCCGAAAAATGTGTAATGAATAAGAAAAAAACATATATAATTTGCACTTTTGGGGGGAAAATTATTTTAAGTTTTAAAATAAGTCAAGTTTTAGTAATAACAATAGAAAAGAGAACAATAGGCTGTTAACGTCACATATGAACAGTTCTTCAGATAAACTATAGCATAAACAACAGAACAAGTTTACCAAACTCTCCATCTCACTCCAAATCACAAAACCCATTTCCCACCACCACTGTCACATACTGTAAAAGCACAGGCTTCTGGATTTTAGCAGTATGGTCAAACTCAAAAGGACTTGTCTAATTTATAAGGTCCTACACTCCCTGGCACCACCACCATTAAATAATTACATTAAACGTAAAGACATCTCAGTAAGAATCACACGAGCCACCACCAGGAGTGACTCCATACTCCAGAGACGGACCACCTTTGGTCAGAATGTGTTATCTGTACAAGGTGGAAATCTGTGGAACAGTCTTCCACTGACCCTGAAAGAATGGCCTACATACACCTCTTTTAAAGCTCAAACAAAAACTTGGTTATGGTCAAACCAAACATGTACACATGTATAACTGCACTGTGATTTTAATTAGTTTTTCTATGGACTGGAATGGACTATGCAACTATGGGGACTGTGCAATGAAGGGACTGTGCAATGAAGGGACTGTGCAATGAAGGGACTGTGCAATGAAGGGACTGTGCAATGAAGGGACTGTGCAATGAAGGGACTGTGCAATGAATGGGAACTGTGCAATGATGGAACTGTATGAGTGGAGTGTGCAATATTTTAGTGTCTGGCCCCCTGTGACCCTAGCCCTTGGGACAACGGATGGAAATTAGCCTTAGGCTACAATCCGGTGTGTTTACATTCATGTTGTCATGTTTGTTCATTAACATGCTCTGTCCCAATAAAATAAATAAATAAATAAAATTCAGTTCTTCATCCTCTGTGTCACTTCTGAACAACTTCGCGACCTCTTCAGGCTCTTCATTTTGGTCTTTAAAACATTCGTATTAACCCGCTCTACATGATTCATGCTGTTTTTATCTGACTCTGTTGTCCGCTTCATAACTGCAAGCCTCAATGAGCTTCATTTGACTGGAGCAAATGCTATGGGTGACGTCACACTCGTTTAGTCCACTTCTTTATACAGTCTGTGTGAAAACTGGGCAAGATTTTAATATGGTATGGTACTACATTTTAGTGAAATAGTACAGCCTGTGATATGAATTGTATGAACTTTTCTAAACGTTTGCATATGTATTGTAAAATAAATAAATACATAAAAATGGTTTGTTTTGTTTTGCAGAGTTATGGAAAGGCTTGTGTGAGCTGTGGGAGTATGATGACCAGAGGATCTCACAGCAGCCACTGGGAGGGAGGCCAAGGGCTGCCGCAACAAAGTCAAAATGAACAAGTAAAGACAAATACTGTTTCCTTTGAGTCAAATGCTTTTGTTTAAACATAAAACATAAATGTCCTGATGAGAATTATTTCTGTTTTTAGAAATGATCGTCAAAAATACAGCAACACCAACAAGACGATATCACGGAAAGCAGCAAGTGACAAGAACTAGAAGTAGTTTGATTAAAAATTAAAGTGTGATGTGGAAGGTGACAAAGAAACAACTAAGGAATCACTGTTTACATGATTATTTTAAAATACTTAAATCAAACCAAATTTATCATGCCTTTTTAAAATGTATTTAATTCGTGAAATATAAAAAGGCATCAACAGTGTCATAAAGTTAAACATGAAAGAATGAATGAAAAGGAGCAGAAAGAAGAGTAATCTAATATTATCTGCTCTTTTTTCCAGACCATACATAAACACTGATCGTTACTTTAAAACATTTCTATACCTGTATCATCAGAGGCACTTTATAAATTTAAAATTCACATTTCTCTACCTGGCATTAACATAATTTGGATGCTGGAATATTATTTGTAATACAGATTATATTCAAATCTGATAAGAGTGCTTCTAAAAATCTCATATTTTATCACAATTTATCTGAAAAATAATGAATCCAGACATCCAACAAAAGTAAATGGTCACATTTTTCTATAGCGCTTTTCCACCTTCAAGGCACTCAAAGCGCTTTATAACAAGGAACCACTCACCCATTCACACACCAGTGTACGCAGACACTGTGGGGGTGGGTTAAGTGTCTTGCCCAAGGACACAACGACAGCATTCATCTGTGGGAGCTGGAATCACACCAGCCAACCTGTGGGTTAGTGGATCTGACCGCTCAACCTGTGATGTTTATGTTGAGAGCTGGAATCGAACCACCAACCTTTAAGTTCAGTGGGCGAATGCTCTATCAACTGAGCTACTGCCGAAATGTAAAATACATTTCAATGAAATGAGCCTTGAACATGGTCCATGTTCTGATCATTTATGAACAATAAATCTTAAATTTTTTATGCTGGGGCTTTTGTTGTTTTTAAATTCTTGGTGATGTGTTAATTCTACACTGAACCATCCAGAGAGGTGTCTTGTTTCAGTTAAAGGTCTCATTTTACGCTATTTTCTGATCGATGTTAAAATGTTTCCTCATCACAAACAGACCTGGAGTTATTTTGTTTCATTCACATATTTTTAACACAGAAATCCTGCAGATTTAGGCTAAGTTCTTCTCTCAGACAGAAAACACTCCACTCTACCTTGTGATGTTTTATGGTAATATAGGACGTTCTGCACTGTGTTTTAAAACTCCATGCACTTTCCATACACCTTCACTAGAATCGTGTGGATCATTTTGGCCTTGGAATTGTCAGTCTCTACTAAAATAAAGGTAAAGTTTTACTCAAACATGTGTGAATGAAACCTAACACCAAAAACTCTAGGTACAGTCTGTTTCTGATGAGGAAACAACATTCATGGTTAAAAGCTCACCAACAGAATCAATTTCACGTAACATAGGACCATTTAATCTTCTTTCTTAGCTGCTAATGCTCGGACTCACATACTGTACATGTGCACATATATATGACCAGTGTTTCTGTGGAGGCTGCAGTGAGCCTGAGTCCAGTCTGTATGTGAGTGTAACAGTATATTTAAGAGTATGTCTAACAGCAGCAGCCTGTGGCCCGTGCGTCCCTCTCAGAGCTCGCTCCAGCAGCTCTGGGATCATCTCCTGCTCCACCACCGGCCGCTCATCTCGTCTCCGTTCTTCCCTGTCCTTTTGGCCTTCTCCAGCTACGTCTGCTTCAGTCTTCCTTTTGCAGTTATGGACCTGATGGGGGAGCGTCTGCCTTATTTCTACCAGTACAAGATCCAGCAGGACAGGAAGCCGACTGTAAAAATGATGATGAAGAGCTTCATGATGGCGCTGTATAATCATGTCTTTTTTGTTTTGCCATCTGTGATCATTGGGACTTTTATTCTACCCTCACCCACTCTGCCTCAGGACGCCCCCACACTCTATGAAGTCTGTGTGGATGGACTGGCCGCACTTCTTCTTTTTGACACTCAGTATTATCTCTGGCACTTTATGCACCACAAAAACCCACACCTGTACAAGTGGATCCACGCTGTTCACCATGAGTACATATCTCCGTTCTCTTGGTCGACTGAGCAGCTCAGTATCCCCGAGCTCCTGACCGTAGGATTCTGGAGTAACCTGGACCCAATCCTCCTGCGCTGCCACCCTCTGACCACATGGTGCGTGACAGTGTTCAGTGTCTGGATGTCTGTGGAGGATCACATCGGGTATGACCTGCCCTGGACGCTCAATCGTCTGGTGCCCTGTGGTCTCCTCGGAGGAGCACCGGCTCACGACATGCACCACCAAAAACCAAACAGCAACTACGCGCCTTTCTTCAGCCACTGGGACCGAGTGTTTGGCACAGCTGTCCCGCTGAAGAGGAAGTTTAAATGACACTGATTTAGATACTTGAATACTTTTCTGGGGTACATTCACTTAATACTTCCTTTGCAATCGTTCCTTTTTAAAAAAAATATATAGACTGTGGGGGAAAAAAGAAAACTCAAAAAGCTCAGTTGTCTCTTATGAATCAAAGCAAAATGGACAATTACTTGAACATTGTGTATTTTGGTAATTTAATTTCTAGGGAGCCACTTTCATTGTTAATAACATTATCATTAGCATCATTATCATATTAGGCTTTATTATTTAAAGCTTTTTTTTTCTAAATAATGCCTTAATACACACAATAATGCCTTTTTACACACATTAAAATGATGTGTATTATTTAAATATTAAAGCAATTCATAATTTGTCATAATTTGTACATTCTGTATTTATCTCTTATTTATTTTTCAAATCTACGAGCTACACAAATGCTCTTAAACTCCTCGGTTAGACCAGTGTTTCGAGGCCTGTCCAGGTGTGTTCTTGCTCACGGATGTGATGCTGGAGTCTCTAGACCAAATGAAATCCACTTACGTAACCGTGCATTACTCAGCAGGTTTTTTTACTGTTCAAATTCCACATAAGAATAATCAGCTTGAAAGAGAAAAGCTGTGGTGTTGTGTGACACTCCGGTCAAAAGGGGGTCACAGGGAAATGCCTCTGCACAGTCCAACACTATAATCTAAATAAAACAGACTGCACACTGTTATATAAAATACATTTATTATTTAGACAAAACAAAAATAAAAACGGACAGCTCAGTGCAGGCTTTTATTTAAATACTGCACAAACATGTTGGTGATCTGGGCGCTGTCCTCTGTCGGGTGACTCTTGGTGTAACTGATAAACTGGCGTCGTAACTTTCGCAGCTCTGCCATGTTGATGTTTCTGGAAAGTTCTATGTTTGAATGTTAAGGGACATAAGAACATAAGGAGAAATGAACCACACACTGAAGATAAGCTGCAGTTAAAGAAGCACTACGTAATTTTTTCAGAGCATGGGTTAAAATAGGTTTAGGTTTTTTGGTCATGCCTTGAATAACTCCGCAGCATATCAGTAAACTTAATATTACATGCATTTATAGGTCCTTTAAAACAAGCAATCCTTCTAAAGATCGCACTTCTCCAAAGATCTGACTTGTAACTGTATAAAAAAAGTAGACTAAGTGAGTGTGACAGCCAAATGAAGCTCATCGAGGCCGCAAGTTATGGGGCGAATTTGGAGCCGAGTTTCATATTTGGAATTTCGTCTGTGAGTGTCATAGCGACCAAAGAGCCAATCAGGAGCGAGGCTGTTGGAGGTAACACCCCTTCCCTAGCAACGCTGTCAGTCAAACCTGTTGCTGACACCACGATCATGTAGAGCGGGTTAAAACGAACATTTTAAGACCAAAATGAGGAGTCTGACAGCAGTAGTTGCAGAGAGAGGTGACATTTTTTTCAATACAAAGTGAATTGGACAATGATTTATGGGCATCTAACTTTTTAACTTTTTTTATGCTGCTATTTGGTCGTGACGTGACGTGTGTAACGCGCCGCTAACGGGGCTAATTGGTATATGAAGTCTTTCCCCTTGATGAAATTCACCAAACATTCTCTTTGTTTCGGCTTTAAATCCTTGATCTCAGGAATCGTTGACAACACAGAATGTATGTCTCTTCGCTGATTGGCTGGTGCCCAAACTCGCACTTCCAGGGTTCTTGTAAACCGTCTAGTGTGACCTCGTCGCTGGAGAGAAATGAAATTGAGAGGAGGCACTAGGTGGCGTCAACCGGGCTAATCTAACTGTACCCAAATACTCGCCCTCTTTTTTGTAATCATCTCAATTTCTTGCGGCCGTTAAAATGAGTAGCTCTCTGGCATTTTTGTTTCGTCAGGGTAGCTCACCAGAGGAAAAAGGTTGGAGACCCCTGATCTCTGCTGATAAACATCATGAAATTGATTTAAAATTTAATTGTAGAATCAGTCTGAGTGAACAAGTGACTTATGTTATTCATGACCATAATAATAATAATAAAGTTTTGCTCAGTAGTTCACTAATGCATCGTCATTGTTCTCCTTTAAGCATTCGTCTTTCTTATCTTGATAGTGATTTAACCTTTGTGGACCTTGTTGGTTGAAGATTTGGTGAAGGGGCAGATTTACGAAGCTGCTGGACAATGCAACACACATTTACACTGATATTTTGCCACAGAAAACCATTAACCGGAAGTTCAAAAAACCTACAGCGAGACACTTCTGGCCGCTGTAGAAAAAGGTCTGTTACCACATGAGAGAGGATCTAAACTCCTCACTGAAACCAATAAAGTTTGATTCTTTTCTCTGACGTCTGCTCCTGAATCTTCCCTCAGGTTTACTCCTTCATTCTGTGGTTTTCTTTGGTACGACTCTTAATATGACGCATTTGATTGACAGCTGAAAAATGGAGAACTGAAGCGAGGAAAGCGTCTCTGCCTTTAACGTGGCCTGGTGGCGTCATCTGCTCGTCTCCATTGTGATAAGTTTAATGCCACACTGTGAAACATTCCAGGCAAAGGAAAGTAATAAGCTTGACTGTGCCGGTTGGATTGTGCCGTATCTGTAAAGCTCATTGATGTTCTATTGGAAGTGTGAGTAAACTATCCGACGGTGGTTGAAGCTGCACTGTCAGGACGGAAACTTCAACCAACACAAGTTCAAAAAACCAATTAGCATTTGCTTTAAAATGGCTCAGGACGTCTCCTTTCATTTATATTCTTTGATGGGACGTCTTCTGTGACCTCCCTCGTTCCCTTAAATTGGATTTGAGTTTCCCACTGCTTGGAAAAATGTGTTCCGGGGGGCAGACCAAATTAAAGGGCCCATGTTGCGCTATTTTCTGATCTGATGTTTTAATGTCAAAAACAGACCTGGAGTTGTGTTTGTTTGTTTTTTTTAATTCACACATTTAACACAAAACCCCGGCATATTTAGGCTGAGTTCTTCTGTTCCACCTTGTGATGTCATGTGGTGATACAGGAAACGCTCCACTGTGTTTTTAAACTCCACACACCTTCACTAGAATCATTTGGATGATTTCAGCCGTGAAATTTCCAATCTCCACTAAACAAAAGGTAAAAGGAGCTGTTAATTAGTAAGAAATCTAACGCTTCATGACATCACAAGGTGGAACAGAGCATTTTGAGCTTTAAAGATGTACATAGACTAATAATAAACGGTTACTCAAACATGTGTGAGTTGCCACGTTTACATGAGAGCTTTAATTCAGAATAAAAATAACTTAGTTCTGAATAAAAATGAATTCTGCTTTAAAAAGACGATGTAGACACTTACCGTATTTTCCGGGCTATTAGGTGCTCTGGATTATAAGGCGCACTGTCATTAAATGGTCTATTTTCAAACTTTCTTCACAAATGAACCGCACCGGACTTTAAAATGAAACACAACAGTTGGATGGGTCAGTGGTTTTGTTTGTTTGGTGCGTTCACGGTGACTCTGGGCTTTGTTCAGTTGTGGCGTGTAGGGAGGGTGCTGTCTGGGACCAACGGATTGTCGGCGTGTTCGCAGTGACTCAGTTGTTCAGTTGTGTCTAGAAGTGGCACATTGCGCTCGCTTTTTCGGTTTGTTAAACCGTTCCGTTCCTCGTCGGCGTGGAGTGATGAGTGTGGCTGTGGGTGTTTTTCGCTGTGCGGTCGCTGTCTGCTCCGTGTGTGTTTGTGTGTTCTGTGGGTGGTGTGTTTGTAGTTTACTGAAGTCGTGCTGGGACACCTGAGTGGATTCGTGCATAGGGCGCTCTGGATTGCGGGGCGCGGTTGTTTTTTGATGGGGTTGGAGGCTTAAGAGCGCGTCTAATAGCCCGGAAAATACAGTAATTCCTGATGAAAATGATTATTCAGAATTAAACTTGATTCTAAAGTAAGTGGGTGGTTTATTCTGATTTTAAAGCCAAATTAATTTATTCCTCGATCATGTAAACGTTTATTCTTCTTAACAATAACTCCAGTCGTTCAGCGCATGCTCGTTGTGTTGCCCTTTGATCCGGCTGGACCAATCCTGTCTTCGGACTTTCCTCCACGTCTCTTTGGATTTGTGAGCGGGATGCGGGAGTGGGCTGAGGTAGAGCAGCCGTTGACTCAGTTTGTCTTCTTCCTCCCTTCTCCGACACTCTTCCCTTCTCCTCCTCAGCTGACAGACGTAATGCGTGATGAGAGAATTCTTCACCTGCTGCGCAATTATCATCGGAACGACTGCGACAAAAGTTTGGATCATGTTTGTGTCCGTGGCGTTACGACAAACCGAGATGACAGAAAAGCTGGTAGCAGCTGAAGTGTGTGTTTTCTTCCAGTCGACGTAAATTTCTATCCAATCAGAACCCTTCCTCTCCCCCGGACATTGAGCGGAATTAAATAATAAAGACAATTTAACGTGTTTTCCATGTAAACCTCAATTCAGAATTATTATTCCCCTGTAAACTCAAAGGAGAATATTTTAATTCCGAACTATTTAATTCAGAACAATTGATTACGAATTTAAAAACATCATGTAAACATGGTCAATGAAACAAAACTCAGCTCCAGGTCTGTTTCTGATGAAGTCACAACATTATAACACGTCTTAAAGCTCACAATTTGCGCAATATAAAACATTTTAAAAAGTTCTGCAGTGCATCTTTACTTTACAAACATTCAAAACCATCAGAGGTCAAAGGATATTTTTTCTGTTGCTCCCGGGACGGTTATGTAATCACCAGAAACGCTTGTCTTTTGTGCGTTGAAAATTACCTGAAAATACAGAGAAAGAACAATCAATCAGACAAACAAGCCTCTGCTGAATGGCCAATCAGGAGAGAGATAAACGCTAAATAAATCTATAATGAAAACAGCAATTAAACTTTGAATAATTATAGAGGTCTGAGCTTTAGAAGAACAGGGGAGAGTCGATAATGCAGTTTTAGCCTGACGTCAGATGTGGGCAAAGGAACGAGATGTGAAAAGAAAAGTGCAGAGGAGAAGAAAGCATTCTCAGAAACAGGTGGGAGTTTAATTACAAATATCTGACTGAGGGTTTGAAAAGGCCTGTGTGTGTGTAATAAAAGCATTTTAACTCCGTCAGTGTACGTGTAAACAACTGATACTTTGCTGTGACATCGCTCTGGGGGTGTTCTATGTGTATCTCTGTGGTGGAACACAGAGACACATTGGTAAACACTGTCAAAAAAGTCTTGCAATCATCTAAAATAAAGCACAGCACATTTTCAGGAGCCAGTGATTTGAAGTTATTAAAAACATTTTGACAAATCTTGAGTTTTCAATGTGCTTTTTGGACTTAAAAATGGACATTAGTTAATTAATAAATAATAATAATAATTAATAATAGAATTTTTTGAAAAATCCATACACTATGATCTGTGCGTGTCAAATTTAAAAAAGCATATACCCATTCATATACCAGTTCTAATGTTCAGAAACACAGTCTAAGCATTTGTTCAATTTGTTGGCATTTGGGGAGAGTTTCAGCTTTACTACAAGAAGATCACTTTTTTCTACTGATTATCTGTGTAAATGTGTCCAAAATAGAAATGTATACCTATCCCTGGCTTTATTTTGGCATTTTAGTGGATATTTGTTAAAAATCTGACTTTTGGGTCTAAGTTGTGTCTGTAATGGCCTCTTTCGGATCAACTACGGCCAGAACATTTGAATTTTCAAGTTGGACTAACAACCGCCAGTGAGTTAGATGCAGGTTATTACGTGACGAGCGCAGACACTGGCATCTACAGGCGAGACATGAGAAGCCCCTCTCAGCCCCGCCCCGACCTGGCACCGTTTGGCACCCCGCCGTGTCTGGAGAAAAAGGAAACTGCGTGATCCGAGCACAAATCCTCCGCTGTGTTTCAAAGTTCAGAACGCGCTGGTCCGTGCCGTGTTGGATTGTTGTGGCTGTCAGTCAGCTGTCAATCATCGCTTCAGAGCCCACCCCGTTAGTCTGATTCATCAGCTGGTTTCACTTCTTAGAAACCATCTGACTGTCTGCATTAGGATTTGTTCGTTCGACAGTAGGCAGGTACTTTTTTTATTTAACCAATCACTGCTATTTGGTCGTGACGTATGTAATGCACCAAATCCTGTAGGAAGAAGGGCAGTAACGTCTAAACGTCTTGATAAAATTCAACAAACATTCTCTCTGTTCCGGCTTTAAATCCTCGATCTCAGGAATCGTTGCCAACACAGAATATATGTCTCTTCGCTGATTGGCTGGTGCCCGAATTTGCACTTCTGGGGTTTTTGCGAACTGTCATAGTGTATTTTGATTCCTGATCTAGTCGCTGGAGAAAATTTAAATTGAGTGGAGGCACTAGGTGGCGCCAGCCTGGTTACCGCCCCATACCCACTCCCCGCAACCCGCCCACTCTGGAGGATTTTTCAGATTTTGCTTAGGGGTGGAGTAAAGCTTCCAGGAGGGTGTTTAAAAGCTCTTTAAACAGCACTGCATCTACACTAAAGACTGTATAAAGCAGATTAAGTGAATGTGATGTCACCTCCAGTCAAATTAACCTTGTCACGGCAGTTATGGGGCAAATTTGGAGCATAGTTCTATATTAGGACAAAACAGTGAAATAAAAACACCAGGATCATTTAAAGCAGGTTAATACGAACATTTTAAGACCAAAAAAATGAGGAGTCTGACAGCAGCAGTTATGGAGAGATGGAAAAGTTTTTTCAGTACAAAGTGAATTGGAGCCAAGTCGATGGAGCCAGAAGTGCCCCCATGCTCACTTCCTGTTTGTTTACGCACTAATTGACTTTTCCACTGCAGCTGTAAATGAATGAAAACTCACCATCAGCACGTCCTGAGTGACTCTGTCCAGCTCGTAGAGGAAGTTCGCGGACGACAGAGGTTGCTGCAAATTAAAAAATAAATGTCAGTTTGCGTCAGATGGGGGCGGTAGAGAGCAGTTGTGTGTTAGTGTTACGTACATTTTGGGTCGACTGGTTTGGAGGCGGAGCTTTTCGTTTCAGAAGCGCGTCGGAAATGGCCTCGAAGGGAAGCTGGTCGTCCTGGTGCACGGTAAAAAGAGGACTGTCCCAGCGGTTTCTGGAGTCTGGGTCTTCGAATCTCAGGATCAACGCGTCAAATCTACAAATGAAACAAAAATGAACAATTTTATGGACGGTCAGCCTGATTTTTTCACGATTCTAGAAGTTTCTCCTTACATTTCTTGGCTGTACCGCTCAGAAACGTCTCTTTCGGAGTTCCATTTGGAGCTGGTTTCAGGTGACGTCAAACAGTAAACCTAAAAGAAGAGAATAAACATCTGTCACGATAATTACTATAACGAATTAATGTTTAAAATATGAAAGATAGAACAGTATTTTTTGGGGTCAGTATTTATCGTGTGTATAATTTCTTTGCACTTCTTGGAATTTTTTACTTATTTTTTAGCGAAATAAGATTTAAGCCATCAAAGATTGAACTTCAGTGACCCATTACAGATGCAAATTAAGTACTAATCACAATCACAATCACAATAAATACTATATCGACTTGATGGAAAAGTAATTTTTGGGGGTCAAGACTGCAAAAAACTAAATCTAGTCAAGTTAAGATGACTTGAATTAAGAAAGTTTTATCATGATTTGAGTAAATTTTACTTGACAAATAAAATTCTCTGCCAATGGAAAAAGACTTTTTGTATTTAAAATATGAAAATACATCTTGCTACACATAAAATAGGAAAAACAACAACTTTTTGCACTTAAAATAATAAACAAAATCTAATGTTGCTTGAATTAAAAAAACAAACTTATTCCATTGGTAGGTAATTTTACTTGTCAAGTTGAATCGACTCAAATAAAGTCAAATCTTATTACTTTAAGTCATTTTAACTCACCTAGATATAGTTTTTTTCCAGTGAACATTTATCGTGGGGACTTGTTATTTTTCCTTCTCTACGATTAATTAACCCTCTACAGCTCAAATCTAATCATTCATTAATTAATAATTGCATTTATATAGCACCGTTCAAGATACCCAAAGCACTTTACAGTTCATTATTCATTCACTCAACACTTAGTGGTGGTAAACTTCTACTGTAGCCACAGCTGCCGTGGGACAGACTGACGGAAGCGAGGCTGCCAATCTGTGCCATCGGCCCCTCTGACCACCACTAACACTCACACACACACCACTTTTATACTAGGGTAATGTGGTGAAGTGTATTGCCTAAGGACACAACAACAGTTTTTGCCTCTGGCGCCCCCTGTGGCACCTGATTTTTCCAGTGTTCTCCCATCCAAACACTAACCAGACCCGGCCCTGCTGAACTTCTGACAGGATCAGACTTTGACAAGCAGGTATGGTTGAAAAAATAACTTCTTTGACTCATTGTAAATACAAACAAACTACTAGCTATTAATGTTTTATTCAGTTATTTTGTCTGTTATTCTGCTCTGTTGTGGCTAACTGGCTCACAAACGGAGCTCAAAAAGCAAAATGTTTCAAAATCTGCTCAGTTTTTAACATCCTGTCATAGGATTTTAACCAACAAAGAGGTGCAGCATGTACAGTTCAAAGGACACAAGTGAGGGACTTCAGATGAAGAACAGAGGTACAGTAGAGCTCTTCACTGGGTCATACAGAGTTAATCATAACAGAATGTTGCCCTTAGTGAAAAATGTAAAAGTGGACAAGGTATAAACCCGAGGCACTCTGACTCAATAAATTTTAAATCTTTTATTACATGAAGGGACGTCATGTTATAAAGGACTCGTTTTATAGATCCAACTATATTATACATTTAACATAAGAATAGATTTCAGAGATAATTCTACTTTAGGATAAACTGTTAGTGGCATAAATTTAGTAGTAGTAGTAGTTTCTTTGGTCATTTTGCAGCACTACAAAACAAAACTAAAAAAAACATAGACTACAACAGATCATGATCGAAAGAGTTTAGGCTGAATCAGTTTCAATATTGTCATTTATCGTCTGTATTTACTTCACCAATACATCACACTTCAAAATGTTTTCTCGTGACAGATCTACAGTCAGCAGAAAAGACACAAATCTCTGTAGTAGTAGTTTTATGTTGTCAGTTTGTACTCACCAAACAGTGTGGAGTCTGTGCGTGTTTAATGAGACAGAACAGCTCGTATCGATAACCTGCAAAAACATCGCATTCATGTTAAAACTCCAGACCAAAAAATTTTTATAATTCATTTAAGATTAATGTCACCTTTAATATAATTGAGTGAATCCAAAATTACAATGTCCTCCTTGTTGACTTTTCTGTAATAAAAGTACAAATGCATTGAGACAAACTGTGAAATTAAGATAAGTGTTGTAGTTTAACATGTAGTTACACAAACCTTTCTACTTCAGCTTTAAGTGCTCCTCTGGCGTCCTTCTCCTTTTGGGAATCTGCAAAAGAAAAAACATGTTTACAGATTATACTATGCAAGTTTAGTCATGTAATTTAGATCCACAAGGGAAATTACCTGGACAAAGTAGCTCACAAATCCCATTATATTACAATAAAAAAAGAGTAAAAAATATATGAAAATTGTAATAAACGTATAAATAAGTAGCAATAAAAATATATATTATTCATTTAATTCTGACTGTCATTTTTAACACCCTGTTTATGCTTAAAAATGCATGTAAACCAATGAAGGCAACAATATTACGACCATTTTATGATTGAATTTGTTCACAGGAGTTTTAAAACAGGAGTGTTTTTACTGAGCGACAATCAGTTCCTTATAGATCTATGCTCTTTCTGTCTATTAAAAAGGGTCAAATGAAATCCAAGTAGTACTTAGAGTGGACAGACGTCTTTATTTACTCGGGACAGTCCCAGTTTTGAGCCCTATGTCCCCTGTCCCAGCGGATTTATCCAAAACCACTGATTTGTCCCAGTTTTATACAAGAAATGTCCCAGGTGTCCCTATTTTTGGCCAATTTGATCTAAACCAGGACTAAAACAGGACAATTTTTGACTAATCTGATCCCCGCCAGCAGTAGAGGAGCATAAATTGTCATTTGTTTAGGTAAAATACAGAAAACCGTGTTTGCAAATGACGATAAAGCAAAATAAAAGCAGCGTCAGAAGTCCCTCAGATTATGACTAAACGAGAATCCACAATGTTCCACGCTCTTTTCACAGTTTTATTTATACCAACCAAACTAACCCAGGTGTGTCCCAGTTTAGAATTTAGAAAATCTGGTCACTTAAATTGTACTACCACTACTTAATAACAAAAATCAGAAGCAAAGTGCCGATTTTTGTTAAAAACTGGAACACACACGGGTTGGGATGTTGGTATAAATAAAATTGTGAAAAAAAGAGTGTAACATTGTCCATTCTCGACTTACTTATGGGTCATTATATACTTTTGTTGATGCATTTTTTCACCTCATAGTCATTTCCAAGCAGTTTTCTGTATTTTAGCTCAACAAATGACAGTATTTCGCCCTTGTTACTGTTGTTGGATATCAAATTGGTCAAAAACAGGGACAACTCCGACATTTCTTTGATAAAACTGGGACAAATGAATAGTTCTGGATAAATCTGCTGGGACAGGGGACACAAGGCTCAAACTCAGGTGACCAGAATTTCAAACTAAAAAACTGGGACCCCGTTTCGTTTTTTGGTGGTTGGTAATAACAAAATTGTGAAACGAGTGTGTAATTACAGAAAATTGTTATGTAGAGACCGTTCATGACTAACATGAGCCAGTATAGTCACATTTTCTTTGTGTTTTGGTCGTTTTTAAGCAGCGTTTCTGCATTTTACCTAAACAAATGACAATGTTTGCCTCTTTTTACTGTTGGCAGGGATCAGATTGGTCAAAAATAGAGACACCTGGGACATTTCTTGTATAAATCTAGGACAAATTAATGGTTTTGAATAAATCTGTTGGGGTAGGGGACACAGGACTCAAAACTGGGACTGTCCCAGGTAAATAGGGACGTTTGGACACCCTATTATAGTCATTTCCAAGCACAGTTTTCTGTATTTTAGCTCAACAAATGACAATATAGTCCTCTCTTTACTGTTGGTGGGTATCAAATTGGTCAAAAATAGGGACATCAGGGACATTTCTTGTATAAAACTTGGACAAATGAATGGTTTTCTTTGTGTTTTCGGCATTTTAAGCAGCTTTTCTCTATTTTACCTAAACAAATGACAATATAGTCCTCTCTTTACTGTTGGCAGGTATAAAATTAGTCAAAAACAGAGATAACTGGGACATTTCTCGTATACAACTGGAACAAATCAGTAGTTTTCTTTGTGTTTTGGTCATTTTTAAGCAGCTTTTCTGTATTTTACCTTAACGGATCACAATTTAGGTATAAAATTGGTCAAAAATAGGGACATTTAGGCCATTTCTTGTATAAAACTGGGACAAATTAATGGTTTTCTTTGTGTTTTTGGCATTTTTAAGCACCTTTTCTGTATTTTACCTAAACAAATGACAACGTATGCCTCTGTTTAGTGTTGACAGGTATAAAATTGGTCAAAAAACAGAGACAGCTGGGACATTTCTCATATACAACTGGGACAAATCAATAGTTTTCTTTGTGTTTTGGTCATTTTTAAGCAGCTTTTCTGTATTTTACCTAAACAGATCACAATTTAGGTAGAAAATTGGTCAAAAATAGGGACATTTAGGACATTTCTTGTATAAAACTTGGACAAATGAATGGTTTTCTTTGTGTTTTGGGCATTTTTAAGCAGCTTTTCTGTATTTTACCTAAACAAATGACAATTTATGCCTCTCTTAACTGTTGGCAGGTATAAAATTGGTCGAAAAACAGAGACAGCTGGGACATTTCTCGTATACAACATACATTTTAAAGCAGCTTTTCTGTATTTTATCTAAACAGATGACAATTTAGGTATAAAATTAGTCAAAAATAAGGACACCTGGGACATCTCTTGTATAAAACTGGGACAAATCACTGGTTTTGGATAAATCCACTAGGACAGGGGACACAGGGCTCAAAAATATGACTGTCCCGAGTAAATAAAAACATCTGGACACCCTGTTTTAGATGAAAATCCTCGGGACTCGGGCTTTTACCTGCGTACACCGCGTTTCTGTCCAGATCCAGAGTCTCGTCTCCCACAACGTGAACCTTCCGCTCGGAGTTTTGTTCCAGGAAAAGCTTCAGTTCTTTCGCTCTTTGGGTTTTGCCGCTGCACGGAAACCCGCACAGAACCACCAGAGGCATGTTTACTGCAGGATTTCACTGTCAAGACCAAAACATCAGCCCAAACATGCTGCCCGTGTCTCCCATACGTCCACACACCGGATATTATAAACGTGTCACAGAACCGCCACCGCCCTCTGCCGGTCAACATAGGTACTACACAAATATCGCCTTCATGTGCAATAGTCAAAAGAAACCAGAATTAATTTATTTTATTTTTTTTTTTACCACATTTTCAAATTTTTTCTTCTTTTTTAAAACACAAGGGATTAATGACTAAATGAAGCAAAATATCTTTACATAACACAAGAAAAAATAAAATAAAATTTAAAAGAATTAGTTAATACAAAATAATATTAAATAATAATAAAACAAATAAAACAAACAAAATAATAATAATACTAATATTTCTAGTAGATTAGAAAATAACTTAAAGGAGATGACTGATCAGTTTTGTTACTTTGGTTTAAATTATTCAGTTTAATGCAGGATATTGTAAGTATTTAATGGCCAAATTATGTCATTCTAATTATTTTAAATTAATCAATTTATTATTATTATTATTATTATTATTATTATTATTATTATTATTATTATTATTATTATTATTATTTATTATTTATTTATTTATTTATTTATTTTAATTTTTTTCTTAGTTTTTCTTCTTTGTTGTAAAATACTGTTATATTTCGTTTTGAAAGCAGTTCTGATTTGGTTTACTATTTGCCCATTTTGTTTGGTGAATATGAAATTTGCCCCACATGTTTATAAGTGGAAATTACGAGTGTGTTGTGTTCAAGTGCTTTTGTTGTCGTAGTGACCCAGAGTTTATCGTGACCTGTTACTTTGGTAAAACAGTTTTAGACTTTCTAATTTATCTGTTACAGCAAGAAGAGAACGCATCAAAACACAAACAGTAAGCTAAATAATATGCTGTATATTTTAATTTGTTTATATTTATCTCATCTCGGCAGCTCGTGTATCATAAAAATCTTGCAGCTTTCTAGTGGAAATAACGACGTGAGTGGCTGTTCATCATACACCTAATAAATAAATAACTGAATAAATAAATACATAAATACAAATAAACACATAATAATAATACAAATAAATAAATAAATAAAATAATATATATTTTTGATTATTGGATTATATGGTGCCTTAACATTTTTATTTTATTTTATTTATTTATGTATGTATTTATTTAAATTAATTATTGCTTATGCTAATATTTTGTTGGCATCAATTTAAAGAGAACAATAAATAAATAAATAAATAAATAAAAATCTGACAATTAACATAAATACATATTTCTGCGATTATTTACCTTGTCTTTGCTTCATGAACAAAAGGAACAGGAGGAAGAAGATAAATCTTAGAAACCCTCCTCCTTTCACAGATCAAAAAACATTTCTTTAATAATCTTTCCCCATCCCAACGTCCTATGGTAATTATCCAGATGAGATCAACTTTGACCTTTAACATGACGAAGAGCAGCGAAAGTAAAAAATTCTCTACTATACATGATCAGTAACATATACAACATATTATTTAGTTGACCATTTGTGTTTTGATGCATTCTCTGCTTACTCTAGCCGATTAATTAGCAAGTCTAAATCTATTTTACTCGAGTAACAGGTCAGGATAAACTTTGAGTCCACCATGTTTCACTTCACTACTACAACAAAAGCACTTGAATACAACACTAGGGCTGAGTATCGTTAAGATGTTGCCGATATGATACATACCTCGATACATAGGCCACTATGCGATACATAATTCAATATGTAAGCCACGATACTATACTATATACTATATATTTAGTCCTGCTTTAGATCTGGTTTAGTCCTGGTATAGTCCTGGTTTAGTCCTGGTTTAGTCCTTGTTTAGTCCTGGTTTTGTCCTTGTTTAGTCCTGTTTTAGACCTGGTTCAGTCCTAGTTCAGTCCTGGTTTAGTTCTGGTTCAGTCCTATTTAGACCTGTTTTAGTCCTGGTTTAGTCCAGGTTTAGACCTGGTTTAGTCCTGGTTTACTCCTGGTTCAGTCCTGTTTTAGACCTGTTTTAGACCTGGTTTAGTCCTGGTTCAGTCCTGGTTCAGTCTTGTTTTAGATCTCTTTTAGTCCTGGTTCAGACCTGGTTCAGTCCTGGTTCAGTCCTGGTTTATTCCTGGTTCAGTCCTGTTTTAGACCTGGTTCAGTCCTGTTTTAGTCCTTGTTTAGTCCCGTTTTTGACCTTTTTCAGTCCTGGTTTAGTCTTGGTTCAGTCCTGGTTTAGTCCTGGTTTAGACCTGGTTTAGTCCTGATTTAGTCTTGGTTTAGTCCTGTTTTACTTCTCGTTTAGTCCTGTTTTAGATCTTTTTGAGTCCTGGTTTAGTCCTGGTTTAATCCTGGTTCACCCCACTACACCTCTGATTCTAACACATCTTAAAGCTCACAAGACTAAATACTGCGTGATATTAAACCTTTAAACCGCTCGTCAGACTCAAAAGAACGTGAATATCTGTCGTTCGTCATTAATCATTTATTGAATCGAGACATTATTAAGTCAATTTGTCTGTACACACAAAGTTTTAGAGCCTTTTTAAATCCCAATAAAAGGGGTAAGAGCTGATCAGGATGGGTCCCCTCTTCTACAGAAATTAGAAATATGAACACAGCATTAGTTACACAGCTCAGCGCTTTCGGTTCAAACGTGAGACAAAAAAAAAAAAACGAGGGACTGACGTTTGCTGGGAGCGTTTGTGAGGTCCGGGCTGGTTCATCAGACGGAGCAGCACAGCGGACATGTCTTTGGTATTGTGCACTGAGCTGAGAGCCTGCTTCTCCACAAAACCGTCGTCCTCATATGAAGATGAATCCATATGAGAGCTGTCCACCAAGCTTTTCTTCCCCATAAAATGCCCTTATAGCAAATAAAATATAATCATAAAAGACACAAAATGAGATCCTTGTTGAAAAGAAAATGTTAAAAGGCTTGTATTTGTCTATTTTCTGGACTGTTATGATCTTGTTTTCTCATCACAAACTGACCTGGAGTTGCGTTTTGTTTCATTTAACGCACAAACCCTGCAGATTTAGACTTTAGATCTTCCCTCAGACAGAAATATTTCCACTTTGTGATGTCATATGGTGATACAGGATGTGCTCTATTCTGTTTTTAAACTCTATACACCTCGATTAGAAGTATTTGCATGATTTCAGCCTTAGAATTGCCAATCTCTGCTGAACTAAAGGTAAAAGAAGCTGCAAAATAAAATAAAAAAATACTGCTTCATGACATCACAGTGTGTAACAAAGCATTTTTAGATTTGGAGATGTAGCCAAACTAATAATAAAGTGTTACTCAAACATGTGTGACTGAAACAAAACACAACTCCAGGTCTGTTTTCGAAGAGGTAAAAACATTATAACATGCCTAAAAAAATCACAAGAGTCAATTTTGCGTAATATAGGAAATTTAAATGTCTTACCTGTTGCCCAGAGATTTCCCCTTGGATTAACTTTGATCTTGGAAACTTTATTCCTCAGCTCGGTTAAATCGAGAGACATGGAAGAAGTGATCGGGATGAAAGACAAAAGAAAGAATGAGTAGAGAAAGCCTAACACAGCGCCTTTCATTCCTCTGAGCAGTGGTGGAAGAGTTGGATGAAGATGTGCGATCCTCAGACTGTCTCCGCAGACTCACACTGTCCGCTTTTATTGGAGAGGTGATCCTGAGCCGGAGCGTCTCATTGGCCCAGAGGGAGTGATGGACCTCTGAGGTGTGACGCTGAAATGACCTCAAGAAAACTTGGAACAAACAGAAGCATTACAATCAGCTGCTGTTTGAAGAAGTATTGATCAGATCACTCAAAGCTCTGCTCCGTCAGAGTGTAACAGAAGAGACACGAGCAACTGGTATGAAATAATGTTTTATTTAAATTACTTTAAGGCACAAGCCCACATGCTGAATAATGGCTTTCAGAATGAATACATAAGCATTTGCTGGTATATTTTTATTCACATTAAATTATGTTTCATAGAATCAAAAGGTGTATGATCACTGTTTATTAATGCACAGAAAAAGCATGCATCTGCCTATGAGGTCAATATGACCACACAACAGTGATTTTATTCCCAAACAATTTATAAAATTTAATAATATGGGATATTACACATTATCTGCAACGTCTCAAAGCCCTTCAACTGTGAACAATCGCGTGTCAGAGGTAGGAGCTGAGGAACACAAATCATTCCTTCAATTACTTAAGAAAAACCCACATCCAGCCCCACGGACGGAACGCAGGGACTGGAGCCCCGCGGACAGACCACACAAGGGCTCCAGCCCCACGGACGGACCACAGGGGCCCCATGGACAGACCGCGGGGGCTCCAGAAAGCGGGTTTTACTCTAAAGCAAAAGGACCCTTTGTGGCATCTGTAACTCGTCAAAGTCAGTGCCAAAGTGCCCATGACTCACGCCCTCAGACCAGGGCAGAAGAACCCTGCTCCCCAAGTGCATTTGAGAAAATATTAGGTAAATTAGTGTTGCACCATTACCTTTGTATTAACTCTGAAAAACAATTTGAAGAAGAAATGGAAAAATAAAAGGATGATCAGCACAAGCATGAGTGATCCTGAAGCTCCAAAATCATAGCATTATATTATCATTATAAAGATGATTAGAACTGTTGTTTGTGTGATTGTTCTGCATATGAAAGACATGAATCACACTGATAATGGAATGTACGACAGATAACGACTAATGATAATGACTAATGTGCAGATTCAGCTGCTGTTGTGAAAAATTATGATCCCTGCGTTAAAGTTAACTCTCCCAGAGAAACCTCCTGAGGACAGAACATGTAACATCATGTTCATTATTATTGCTATTGTAAGTAAACACTGTGATCTACACATGTAATACCTGTGTAATAAACACCCTGGACTACACTGTAAAACCAACACACAAGGAAATCATCATATAGTCTGATAGTCACCTCCATTTACCTCCTCCTCCTCTGCACCCTCAGATCTGTCTTTAGCTGCTCTTGACATCTGCTCTGTGATTGGACGGCTGTCTCTATTCTCTGCTCTGTGATTGGACGGCTGTCTCTGCCCTCTGTGATTGGACATCTGTTTCTGCCGTCTGCTCTGTGATTGGACATCTGTTGCTGTCCTCTGCTCTGTGATTGGACATCTGTTTCTGCCCGTCTGCTTTGTGATTGGACGTCTCCTCTATTCTCTGCTCTGTGATTGGACATCTGTTTCTGCCCTCTGCTCTGTGATTGGGCGTCTCCTCTGTCCTCTGCTCTGTGATTGGACGGCTGTCTCTTTTCTCTGTTCTGTGATTGGACATCTGTTTCTGCCGTCTTCTCTGTGATTGGACATCTGTTTCTGTCCTCTGCTCTGTGATTGGACAGTTGTCTCTGCCCTCCGCTCTGTGATTGGACAGTTGTCTCTATTTTCTGCTCTGTGATTGGACAGGTGTCTCTGCCCTCCGCTCTATGATTGGACAGTTGTCTCTATTTTCTGCTCTGTGATTGGACAGTTGTCTCTGCCCTCCGCTCTGTGATTGGACAGTTGTCTCTATTTTCTGCTCTGTGATTGGACAGGTGTCTCTGCCCTCTGCTCTGTGATTGGACGTCTCCTCTATTCTCTGCTCTGTGATTGGACATCTGTCTCTGCCCTCTGCTCTGTGATTGGACAGTTGTCTCTATTCTCTGCTCTGTGATTGGACAGTTGTCTCTGCCCGTCTGCTCTGTGATTGGACGGCTGTCTCTATTCTCTGCTCTGTTATTGGACGTGCTTCTCCTCTTCTCTGACTTTGTGGACAATGTATCTGTGTCTGTTCAGGGCGAGGGCTGAGGTGAAGCACAGGCCGCAGAGGGGACACTGGGGCGTGCTCTCCTGAAGCTTGTGTTGAGGTATATGCTCTTCAAACGTCTGACCGTCTGAGGTGATAAAGCCACACTTTGCACAGCGGAAACTCATCTTCAGCCTCTTCTGTGCCGGAGCGCCCTCTTCAGGCTGATCATCTTTACCAACATTTACCCCCAGAACAACTGAGCCACCCTGAATGAAAAAAAAAACTGTTATTCCTTTCTGTTGAAGGAGGTTTGTGGGTCATTTTCAATTATCCATGTGTCATTCGTTCATTTCGTTTTTCAATATAAAACCAAAAATAAGAAAAAGAAAAAACAACAATTTTCTTCATTATTTGTCTCCAAAACCAAAATGAAAAAACAGATTATGATTCATTTTTTCAGTTTTTGATTTTGTGTTTAAATGAAGAATGGAAAAAATGGATAACGGCCATCCCCCGATTACATGACTTCTGTGACTGCGATGCCGGACTTTTGCACCACATATGGACTGAACCAGGACTGATCCAGGGCCTGGACCAGAGCGGGACTGAGACCGGGACCAGACCGGGACCAGAGCGGGACCAGAGCGGGACTGAGACCGGGACCAGACCGGGATCAGAGCGGGACCAGAGCGGGACTGAGACCGGGAACAGACCGGGATCAGAGCAGGACCAGAGCGGGACTGAGACCGGGACCAGACCGGGATCAGAGCGGGACCAGACCGGGACCAGAGCGGGACCAGAGCGGGACTGAGACCGGGACCAGACCGGGATCAGACCGGGACCAGACCGGGACCAGACCGGTACCAGAGCGGGACCAGAGCAGGACTGAGACCGGGACCAGACCGGGATCAGAGCAGGATCAGAGCGGACTACGGCTTTGACTCTGAGCCTCCGCGGGGTCCGAGTTTCAGCTTCAAGCTCTGACCCTACCGTGGGCTTTGAGCCTCCGGTCTGGTTTCGGTCTGGTCCCGGTCTCAGTCCCAGTCTGGTCCCAGACGTGGATCAGTCCTGGTTCAGTCTGTATGCAGTGCAGAAGTCCAGCATCGCAGTCACAGAAGTCACGTAAAAACGGATAACAGCTGTTTCCGGTTTCCGTGACTAAAACTGCGATGCTGGAATTTTGTGACGCATATGGACTGAACCAGGACTAAATCAGGTCTAAACCAGGTCTAAACCAGATCTAAACCAGGTCTAAATTAGGTCTAAATGAGGACTGAACCAGGACTGAACCAGTACTGAGTGTCGGGATGGGCCCCGAGTTATCAGGACTGAGACCGGGACCAGACCAGGACCAGACTGGGACTGAGACCGGTTTAGTCCTGGTTTAGACCTGGTTTAGTCCTGTTTTAGTCCTGGATCAGTCCTGGTTAGGTCCGTATGCGGTGCAAAAGTCCGGCAGGGCAGTTTAAGTCACAGAAACGGGAAATGGCTGTTATCCGTTTTTCCCGTTTTTCATTTAAACACAAAATCACAAACTGAAAAAACAAATCATTATCTGTTTTTTCATTTTGATTTTGGAGACAAATAATGAAGAAAACAGTTATTTTTTCGTTTATCTTGAAAAACTAATGAACGAATGATACACGGATTTTCCAGCCTTACCTTTCTTAAGGACCTGTTGCTTTCCTGAACTAAATTTTTTGGCATTTTATCAAAGTCTGTGTTTTTGACGCCGTGCATCAGGCTCATGTGGTTCCTCAGCGCCGCACTCGAGGTGAACGCTGTCGATGTTTCGGTGCAAAACCTAAAAAATATCCAGGTAAGAAAGTATGTCTTCGAAACCATGATGTAACTATGAGGAAGTCTTACCAACAAACGTATGATTTTAGTTTCTCGTCATGTTCTTTGCGAATGTGTTTTTTTAAACTGGTGCTGAAGGAGAAGGACTGGTCACAGCGTCGGCACGGGTACCGCTTCACTCGCTAGATTCAGAAATTATAGTGAGCAGTTTTTTCTTTTACTTTGTGTGTACATTAACAATAAAGACATATTTCTGGTTTGCACAGATCTTCACATTTCACTTTCACACTGACCTTGGCTTTGGTCCCAGCTCTGCTCTGGTCTGAAGGTTTCGCCGAGACGTTTCTGTTGTGATCCTCGTGTTGTTCGCGAATGTGCCCTCCGTTTTTTTCTACTGGACCTATATGAGTATTCTGAACACAAAATTCCCACTTATTAAACAATTTTTAATATGCAACAAGTACAATGTCCTGCCCTGAAGGTAAATATTAAAGGGCTCATGTTACACTACGTTGTTTCCTCATCACAAACAGACCTGGAGTTGTGTTTTGTTTCATTCACACGTTTGACAAACAAAACCTGCATATTTAGGCTTCTCTCACACTGAAAAAACCCTGCTCCTCATGTGGTAAAACATGAAGTGCTCTACTGTGTTTTTAAACTCCACACACCTTCACTAGAATCATTTGGATAATTTCATCCCTGGAATTGTCAATCTTTAATGAATGTAAAAGAAGCTGTTAACTTGAAAACTACCACTTCCAGTTCATGACATCACAAGGTGGAACAGAGCATTTTGAACTTTGGAGATGCAGAAAGACTAATCATAAAAGATTACTCACATATGTCTGATTGAAACACACAAAAACACAACTCCAGGTCGAGTCCAATGAGGTTCATTTGGTCTTCCGATGATTTATGTTAATAGGTTATTTTTTCAGACAAAGAGTTTGTTTTCATATCTGACATCTCGGGATGTAACAGTAACCGAAATATCGTGATATCGTATCATCAAAGTTCTCACAATAATATCGGACCAATATGCAATGTCTCTTTTGCTTAAATTAAGAATTATGGTGCAGCAATAGTTAAAAAAACCCAGAGGGAACTACAAAGACCATGATCCTTTGCTCCATTTCAGTGCAGACTACAAAAAGAAATAACAGTTCTAAACACTTTTAAGTCTTAATTCTTTGGATTAAGTCTTGTCATCTCATTTTACGAGGAAAAAGTTGCATATTAAGAGTTCTGTTTGCAGCCTCCACAAAATAAATAAATATCGTACCATGAGATTTGGATATTGTTACATCTCTAATCGTGAGCCTCCTCACCATATCATGAACTTTCCCATGATATCGCAATAAATATCGTACCATGAGGTTCATATCGTGATAATATCATATCGTGAGACTTGTTGAACCTGTCAGGTATGAAAACAAACTCATGGTCTGAAAAAACAACCTAATAACACACAACTCCAGGTCTGTTCTTGAGGAGTAACAACATTATAACATGTCTTAAAGTTCACAAAAGTAAACTTTGTGTAATGTAGGACCTATAAACCCTTCCAAATCCAGATCAGTTCAGATCATTTACCCTGAAGTGTTGCATGAGCTGCTGTTTCAAAGCGAAGACGGCGTTACATTTGGGACACTTGTACACACACTGGACTCGTTTGTCTGCGTCTTCGTGGAAATGTTGATAGAGCAGCTCCTTCTTCTTGAAAATTGTTTCACACGAGCACTTAAAGATTAACCTGCGACACAAAACAAAAAAATGAGCTGAATGAACTCCAGAGTCTGTTTTAAGTGAATTGGAGCTGGAGATCCACTTACTGAGGGGGCGAGTTACTGTCGCTGTGTTTGTTTTTCAAATGAGTTTCACAGCGGTCAGACGTTTTGAAGGCCACTGGACAAACGGAGCACTTGAAGAACATCTCACAGTGTTTCTCATCGATGTGCGACTTCTGTCCTTGCAGAGACTTAAACACCACGTCACAGTGAAGGCATCTGCACAAACACACAATTACAACACATAAAGAACATTCAGTAAACCGTGGATGCCGTCAAACGTAAGCTGAGCAGTTTTTTTCACTCTATTATACTCGTGTTATACTAGTATAGATAGACTCTTATATTGGTTGGCTGATATCAGGTCAATATGTGCACTTTTTAGGGCATTATCGGCTTCATTTTCCTGCAGAGGCTGATTTTTTAAGGTCCATTAAGCTGCCTCAATATGCATCATGAATATATTTGAACATTTAAGTCAAAAGAGTTTACTGCAATAATGTGACTACACTGCTCTCTTATCCAGTTTGGAGTAAAACAAAGTTGTGAGTGAGTTTGTACTAAATTTAAATTAGATAACTCGATTTAACTAACATAACCCAAAAATCTCGGTTGTGTTGTTTTGAATCCAGATATCTGGATTCAAAACAATGAACATCGGACATGGAAAAACCCATATCGGTCGATACTAGTCTCATAAATCAAATATTAGTACAATTTTTCTACTCCAAAAGAAGGTTATCGTTATAATTAATCAAGCAAATTACTATGTACCAACAAATCTTCTTCAACAAGTCGCAGGTAAGTCTAAGATTCATATTCAGTGACCATATGAACTTTAAAAAGGGAAAATGGGTAGAGAAAAATAAATAAATAGATAAATAAATATTAATTTATTTAAATAAATATAAATTAATTAATAAAAAATAAAATAAAGTAAAATAGGTAAATAAATAAAAATAAATTACTACTATTACTACTACTAATAATAATAATAGTGAAAGTAAATAAAAATTAAGTATTATTATTGGCTACTATTGGCTCTTCTGGCATGTAATAGACCAAAGTCCAGTAATTTTGCTTGTTTTTTGTCTGTAATAAACCTTCTGGATATATTCCCAATATACACAGTTTTGCACACATAGGAATCTTTACATTGAATATTTCTGTCAAATATTTTATAATCTCTTTCCAGAATATTTGAATTGCAGAGCATTCCCAAAGACAGCGTTTAAACAAATCCTCTTTTTGTTAAGCTAAAAGTACTTAATTTTTTAAAAATCTTGGCCTATAATCATCTGCTTCCTTCTTGTTTATAGGATTATTTGAGCAGAGAGAGTCAGGATAACCTTAGAGGAACAGGTATCTTTAAAAAAAATGAAGATAAGAACTAAGAAAAAAAGTGATTGTATTTCTGTTCGAGGGTTTAGTTTATGGAATAACCTGAGTGATGATTTTAAAAAGTCTAACACTGTAGAAGCCTTTAAAAAAAAACTGTATAAAGCATTATGTTTTGAAAGATATAGAGCTCTGGAATGAATGAATTATGCATTTAATTTATTTTGTTTTAATTTATATTTTGTCTCATAAGTCGTAAGTGAAATTTTAAATGTTAACTTGCTGTTCATACGCTGTTTTTTTCTTGAAATTCTGTCATTGTTTAATAGGGTTAGACATTATAAGTACCTTTTACTTCATCCTAAACCATTTTGGTCATGATCTACGGGGTTGTAGTCTATGTTTTGTTTTGTTTTGTTTTGTAGTGCTGCAAAATGTCCAAATAAATTACTACTACTACAGGGTATCCCCAGGTTTAACTACCCCAAATTTAAGACATTTTTAAGACCTTTTTAAGACCACTTAAATGAAAATTAAGACCAACATCGCACCCATAGTGCAAGCAAAAAACACCAGATCCAATTCTTATAATGACCATGACTCACTACTTTTAATAACAAAAAATACTTTTGTTATAAAATCTCATTCTGAACTCATTTACAGTAGTATGCATTGCTTGTAAAATGGCCAAAAATCTTGTATAACATTCTAACAAGACAAACTAAGTATTGTTTGTGCATACTCCAAATTAGATGTTAATTCACGTTGCATGATTTAACTTTTTTCCCTCCGTTTAACATCGCACTGCAGCCCGGTTGTGTATACAAAAAAACAGGCTAATGAAATTTAAGACCTTTGTGAAAAAAAATAAGACTTGGACAACATAATTTTAGACTTTTTAAGCCCTTAATTTAGGAACATGAAATTTAAGACCTTTTTAAGACTTTTAAGACCCCGAGGCTGCCCTGTACTAAGGAAAAAGCTAGTGATAAAAAAAACAACAAAAAAAAACAAAAAAACATGTGGCTTTGTTGTTCTGACATAATCTACTAAAAGAAAAAAACAGCATCAGTACCTGCTACACTGAACAACTCTAGTCCACAGACTTTATTCCACATGGCTTAAACGTGTTATTGCAATAGTTTGGATTTTGTTAATAAAGAAAAGATAAAACATTTCCCACTTACTTGTACCATGCTTTGCGGGCATAGTGCAGACAGTTCTCTTTGACGTGGCTCTGGAGGTCTGCAGATCCGCATAGGGTTCCACACTCTGGGCAGCAGAACGGGGACGTGTGGGTGTGGAGGCGCTGATGGGCTTTGAAGCTGCATTTGTTTGGAAGGATCATGGAGCAAACCTTACACATCTGCAAAGAAAACAAAACAGGCTGTCAGTCTTTAGTTACAACTTGTTTGCATGTTTCCCTTGTCACTAAGACATCAACAAGAGGCCATGAACTTCACTGCAAATTTTGGACATTTTGAAACTTAACATAATTGTTTCTGATACAATATTAATGTATTTATTATTAAAGTGTACTCTCCGTTATGTGTATGTATTAAGATTAATTTGAGTCTGCAGTCAGGTTTATCCGTTCACCTGTAGTGGCAGAGCGATATCAGCAGTGTCAGTACAGTTAGAGAGGAGGAGAGAAACTATTTTGTGATCACTAAAACTCTTATGAAAGTCATCCACAGGGAATATTAACCTATTTTTGTTAAATAAATGGATGAAGACAAATACTAGATCTACATAAGTGCTTATTTTTTATGATGTGAGTTACAAACCTCCTCTGAGCAAAGGGCACAATTATGGCTGCTCGATTACATAAAAAATCATTATCACGATTATTTTAGTCAATATTGAAATTATTATAAAATTATTACGATTATTCTAAACATTATTTTTAAGTTACCGAATCCATTTATTCAGAATTTCTCTCTCGCTCTCAAAAAAATCCCACTTTTTTATTGATAATTTACGCAAAATTTTCAAATTGAAAATAAATATAGGCTAAAAATATGTATGTATCCAAAATAAACTGTATATCCAGCTCTTCTACAATCTCTATATTTATAAAATAAAATATAAATATATAGATACTTATTTATATAAAAATATCCCAAAATAAACTTTGTTAAGCTTTGTTAAGTTTCAACTCGATTATATGAGTTTGGTGATCGTTTGACACAAATTTAAAACACAGTAAAAATTCGATTAATTGCACAGTCTTAGGTACAACAGTCACTTTTTTCCTGCATAAATATTAAACAGAATGAGTTTATGTAATAATAAATTTCAACTAGTTATATCCCAACACTGTCATTTTAATTCCCAAAAAGTTTCTAATCTTGTTTGTGTGTTTGTCCCTCACCAGTTTGTTTGTTTCCTCAGACATTCTCTGGTAATGTCCCGCGAGGGCTTTCAGGTTCGAGCACTGCTGGTTACACTCCACACAGCCCGGTCGCTGGGGGGCGCCGTTGTGCTCCGGATAAAGAGGCATAACAGGTGGGTTTTTGTGTGAAGAGGATTTAAAGAAACAGGACTGTGCAGACGGAGACTCAGCTCTGAGGGGAACAAACATCTGCTCTTCTGAGATGGGCTTCATGTAGAGCTGCGTACACTGCATCACGCTGCCGTTGATCTTATGTTCTCGAGCGTGCGCCAACAAAGCACACCTGTTAAAAAACACCAAGCTCTTCCTGCAGTGAGTACAGGACACTTCGATGTGAACGCTCCTTCTGCTATAGTGGTACTTCAAACTCCTCTCCACACCGAACGAGTCCCCGCACTCCAGACAGCGGTACCCACGGGGAGGGAGCCGGAGGTCGCTCTCTGGAGGCGGGTTCAGATCCGGTACGTACGTAGGAACGGGGTTAGCGTAGTGTAATAGTCTGTTTAGGGTCCCCACTGCTTTGTTGGGAGGGGACGGGCAGGCGGTGTTGACCTGGTGGACTAAAGGGACGCTGCTGGAGACTCGAGAGGTGACGGTCTGAAGGCTGGGCTGGGTAGATGAGCGAGCGGCAACAGAAGCGGCGACGCTGTGAGGGACCAGGTTCAAATTGGCCAGGTGCATCGCTTTAGGAAGGTTTGCAGAACTTTGCGCTTCAGCGGATTTCTTTGGTTTTTGCTCCTTAAACGCAGCCATTGAGGATTTTAACTTTCTCATTACAGTTTCTGATTTATTAAGCACTATTTTGGGAGACGATTTTCCATTTTGCGAAGGAGACATATTATAAGAGTCTTCACTGATCATACTTTGACAGGGAGACGATTCGTAAGCAGAAGGGACGTCCTCTGTCTCCGAATCCGGGAGTATGCTGGCAACCGTGCGTCTGATGTGTCCAGATGACGTCTTTATGGTTTTGATCCGAACCCGGGGAATAGCTGGAGGTGAAGCCACAGCCGGTGAGAACATCCCGCTGCTGTCACTGCACACGCTCCCTGGACTGTCCGTGGGCCTCATCAGCCTCTTCACCGAGTCCAGAGGGCTGCACGGACCTCCGGGAGAAAAGGCTGGTTTAGGACTCACCTTTATGGACTCAGCTGCAAACTCACCGGGATCGTTTGGAGCATTCAAGGCGGCGAGAGCTTCGAGACAGGAGGAGAGCTTAGACTGAGATTTACAGTCTGAAGTTGGAAGATTTGTCTCGCTATTGCCGTCATTTTGAGAATTTGGGGTTGTATCTGTTGCGTTGTCAAATGTTTTGTAGTGACTAATATCTTCTTCCAAACATTCATCGTTCAATTTGGGTTTGTCTGTTTCCAACTCTTCACTTGTGTCTTCTTTAGAAATGAAAGAATTTATAGTGTCCATTAAACCGTTGGTGAAAAACTCTTCTTGTTTATTTGGATGCGTTTCATTCTCTTTAAGCTTTCCCACTTCAGACACAGTACAAGAACTTAACTCTGACAGCTGCTGGTTAAGTGTTGCTTGGGGCGGTGAATCAGCCACAAGATCGCAAAGTTCTTTAGACGTTTTTCCATTCAACAGAGAATCAAAAGCTTTGGTTGTGTTGCTTTTAGCCAAATCAGATAAACTGTCTGGTCCAGTTTGGCAGTTTTCAGCCGTACTCTCCAGTGACTCATGCTGATCTGAGTTTTTCACAATCTCACTCACAGCCAGTATATCTGTAGAGATGGTTGGATGGTAGCTTTCTTCTAAACAGGTCCCTATGGGCTTCAGTTGGCTGTCCAGCTCCCCTTTGCCCTCCTGAATCGCCTCTTTAGCGCCCAAACCGGTGGCATCTGGGATGTCAAAGGCTGCCAGGAGGTCGTCAAAGTCTGGGGTCTTCACGTCACCCATGGCTGCAGACTTCTTTAAACCTGTGACAACAACAGCACTTGTTATTGTACTAATATTTACACTGGAGTCATGAGTTCTTACACTTTTAGTATTTCAATTTACAGCAAAACTATGCGGGGTTTGATGTTCTAAACGTAACCTATCAGTTCCAGTTTTGAGCTCTGTGTCCAGCTGATTAATACAAAAAAGAAAAACATTGATTTGACCTATTGTGAACAATCTGACACCCACTTACAGTAAAGAGAGGAATATACTGCAGTTCGTTTAGCTAAAATACAGAAAACTGTGCTTGAAAATAAGGCAAAAATAAGGCAAAAAGAAAATGCAGAAGTCCTTCAGATTATGACTAACCCACAAGTGAGTCAAGAATGGAAAAATGTTACGTGCTCCTTTCCACAGTATTATTTATACTAACCATCCAAACCAGGGTGTTCCCCAGTTTTTAATTTTGGAAATCTTGAAATCTTGAATCTTTTAAATTAACAGCACATTAGGAACCAAGATTTTTTAAATAAAAAACTGGGAGAATCTCGGTTTGGGTTGTGAAACAAGTGTGTAATTAAGGAAAATTCTGCACTCGGTCCAATCATGTGAGTCAGTATAGTCACATTTTTTGTGTTTTGATGATTTTTAAGCATGGTTTTCTGTATTTTACTTAATCAAATAACAGTTTATGCCTCTCTTTACTAAGGCTGGGTATCATTAAGAAGTTGCAGATACTATACAGACCTCAATTTACAGGCCACAGTACGATATATATTTCGATACAGCACACTTTCAACTTAATATGATATATTTCAAATTGATTCAATGTGATTCAATAAAAAATGATGGCTAAATCATGTCTGTGATACTAAAAGTGTTTGTTAAACCACTTTTTGTGCAAAGTGAATATAAATTCCAAAGCCCATTTTAATCATCAAAACAGTGAAAATGTCAAATGTGTTGCATAAACGAGGCTCCTTCCACAAAACTGTAGCGCTGTAAGAAAATTATTTAGTAAAATATACCAAAAAACACTCTTGGCGATATAGCGACACAGCAGCCCACGGTATCGATACTGTATCATCACATTAAACGTTACGATATATTGATATTTCGATATTTTTGCACTCCCCTGCTCTACTCTTTACTGTTAGTGGTTATCAAATTGATCAAAAATAGTGACACCTGGGACATTTCTTGTATAAAACTGGGACAAATCACTAGTTTTGGATAAATCTGATTAATCTGATCTGACTGTCCCGGGTAAATGAGGACATCTGGTCACTCTCGGTTACGCGCTCTTTTCTGCTATTTTATTTACACAACCATCCCAACCAGGGTGTGCCCCAGTTTTTAATTTTGTAAATATGATCACCCTAATTTATAAAAATCTCTTGAATTAACAGAACATGCCGCCCTCGCGCTGCTTGGACGGGACTCTGGGGTACGTGCGCTTGTTTACATTAGCTTACAGTTAGCATTGAGCTGCAACAGTATGGATAGTTTAACAGAATGGTGCTGTAAAGGTGTATTTACGATGTACACACTGGTAAACATCCAGTCGCTAATGTATAACAGTGTAATTATGACGGTATAACGCTGCCATTAATATAAATCGTACATATGTCTGGATGTAAACAAGCATATGGATCCAGGCGCGTTAGCTCACAAAGTTACACACGAAAGCGTCGCGGTGCGTAAACTGGTCACATTACTGATATTCTTTTTGACAATCCATGTATAAACTTACCATTTAAAAATACTGCGCTTAGTCAATATACGCATACTGAGTGAACAGAGTGTCATAAATGTGTTTTAAAGCTGGCTGTCACTCTCAGTCTTGCCATTTTGCTGGTGACTTGTTTTCCTTTTTCCTGGACGGACTACGGACTGCGCTTTTCCCTCGGTGTTGTCTGACAGGCTCAACCCCGGAGCAGGCGAGGCAAGGCAAGTTTATTTATATAGCACAGCTTGTACACAAACAGTGTTGGGAAGGTTACTTTTAAAATGTATTCCCCTACAGATTACAGATTACATACCCCAAAATGTAGTTTGTAACGTAATCCATTAAATTACTTAAAGTGAGTAATGTAATCTGAATACTTTGGATTACTTGGTTTGCTGTAGAGAAGCAAAGACGAGGATATCGTAACATAAGATGTTTTATCTGTGAAAAGAAAATGAAAAACCCAGACTTTACTGAACCAAATTAAAAAATATTATTGATAGAAGACGAGGAGACACGGTCTACGCAGCATGATTTAGTCCTGTTCAATCCTGGTTTAGTCCTGGTTTAGTCCTGTTTTAGACCTGTTTTAGACCTGGTTTAGTCCTGGTTTAGTCCTGGTTTTAGTCCTGTTTCAGTCCTGTTTTAGACCTGGTTTAGTCCTGGTTTAGTCCTGGTTTTAGACCTGGTTTTAGACCTGGTTTTAGACCTGTTTTAGATCTAGTTTAGACCTGGTTTTAGACCTGTTTTAGTCCTGGTTTAGTCCTGATTTAGACCTGGTTTAGATCTAGTCTAGACCTGGTTTAGTGTCCGGCAATGAGTGGAATTACGGGGGGGGTTATTCATAATTTGTACTCTGATTACGTAACTCCGGTACATGTCATCTGTTACTCCCCAACACTGTACACAAAGTAATTCAAAGTGCTTTACAGAATAAGAAATGCATTATTAAAAAAAAAAAAAAAAAAAAAAACATAAATAAAAATCATAAAATTAAAGAGAGAGAGCGGCATTAAATAAGAGAGAAGAGAAGAGTGCAGAATCAAAAATGAAAACCTTTCAGTCATATGCAGCTAAACAGAACTGTTTTAAGCCAGGATTTAAACAGAGTCAAAGTAGAGGCCTGTCTCACATGTTCAGGAAGACTGTTCCAGGTTTTAGCTGCATGAATCTGAAACACTGACTCCCTGTGTTTAGTCCGGAATATGGGCACCAGTAGGAGGCCAGTTCCTGAGGTCCTCAGAGTGCCAGGTGATTCATATGGCACTAATGCCGGACATACACTGTGCAATATTTTCGATCATTTCACTCAGTCCCAGCTCAAACTGTACGACTAAATAGCAGGATTTAAAAGTTCACAGTTCACAACACTTCAACAGTGTGAAACCCTCATATCATGAGAGGCGACTGGATTTCAAACAGGTTTGATATTCTTGCAACCTATGATTGCTGACTGGGAGCTGGTCGTGAGGTATTAATCAGTTCTCATTACCTCATGTTTACTACAAGAGGCACGACATGCGATTAAGCCAAAATTCGGCCCAATCCCAAAAACGAGTGAAAAACTGGTTCAAAAAATGCCAAAAATTGCACATGTCAGAGGCTGAATCATACAACTTTCATTCCATTTTTTTATTTGTTTCATTGATGAAAGATTAATACAAAATAATCATGTTCATATATCAATGTGAATAAAAAGAAGCAGAAAAATGTATAGACTTGTAATATCTGCTTCCTTTTCACAAAGTAAAACACTTCAACAGTTCCAGCTACAAATATAAACAACTTATTTATGTGACATACACTATATTAAATATTTAATTAACATAAAAGGACAGTTCATACTTCATACTTTTGTAGCATATGATTTGAAGCTTTGATCTTTTTTTTAGACTGTTCCATTGGCTCACACCTTTGATTCAAACACATTTTTCCATTGTGGTTGTTCTGAACCTGGGTTTTTTGAAGATTTAAATTCCTTTCAAATTATAATAACTTTCTCTCTTTGTAAATTTTCTTTGGAGATTATTGGGGAAAGATCTGCTGATTTGTTTTATACATGAAATTTTACCAATTCATTGAATTTCAGTATTTTTAACTGTATAAATATTGGGTTTGTTGAGTCTCTGTATCCACTTCCGCTGAAAATTCTTACAGCTCTTTGAAAATGTATTACACTACCGTTCAAAAGTTTGGGGTCACCCAGACAATTTTGTGTTTTCCATGAAAAGTCACACTTATTTACCACCACGAGTTGTAAAATGAATAGAAAATATAGTCAAGACATTGACAAGGATTAGAAATAATGATTTGTATTTGAAATAATATTTTTTTCCATCAAACTTTGCTTTCGTCAAAGAATCCTCCATTTGCAGCATTTTCAGCACTGCAGACCTTTGGCATTCTAGCTGTTAATTTGTTGAGGTAATCTGGAGAAATTTCACCCCACGTTTCTAGAAGCCCATCCCACAAGTTGGATTGGCTGGATGGGCACTTCTTGCCTACCGTACGGTCAAGCTGCTCCCACAACAGCTCAATGAGGTTTAGATGTGGTGACTGCGCTGGCCACTCCATTACAGATAGAATACCAGCTGCCTGCTTCTTCTCTAAATAGTTCTTGCACAATTTGGAGGTGGGCTTTGGGTCATTGTCCTGTTGTAGGATGAAATTGGCTCTGTCCACAGGGTATGGCATGGCTTGCAAAATGGAGTGATACCCTTCCTTATTCAAAATCCCCTTTTGCTCTGAACAAATCTCCCACCTTACCAGCACCAAAGCAACCCCAGACCATCACGTTACCCCCACCATGTTTGACAGATGGTGTCAGACACTCTTCCAACATCTTTTCAGTTGTTCTGCATCTCACAAATGTTTTTCTGTGTGATCCAAACACCTCAAACTTCGATTTGTCCATCAATAACACTTTTTTTCCAATTTTCCTCTGTCCAATGTCTGTGTTCTTTTCCCCATATTAATCTTTTTCTTTTATTGACCAGTCTCAGATATGGCTTTTTCTTTGGCACTTTGCCCTGAAGGCCAGCATCCCTGAGTCGCCTCTTCACTGTAGATGCTGACACTGGCATTTTGCAGGTACTATTTAATGAAGCTGCCAGTTGAGGACCTGTGAAGCGTCTATTTCTCAAACTACAAACTCTAATATACTGATCTTCTTGCTCAGTTGTGCAGCAGGGCCTCCCACTTCTCTTTCTACTCTGGTTAGAGCCTGTTTGTGCTGTTCTAAGAATGGAGTGGTACACATCTTTGTAGGAAATCTTCAGTTTCTTGGTAATTTCTCGCATGGAATAGCCTTCATTTCTAAGAACAAGAATAGACTGTCAAGTTTTGAAAGTTCTCATTTTCTGGCCATTTTGAGCGTTTAATCGACCCCGCAAATGTGATGCTCCAGATACTCAACCTGCTCAAAGAAAGGTCAGTTTTATAGCTTTTCTAACCAACTAAACTGTTTTCAGCTGTCCTAACATGATTGCACAAGGGTTTTCTAATCATCCATTAGGCTTCTGACACAATGCTTAAACACATTGTACCATTAGAACAATGGAGTGACAGTTGCTGGAAATGGGCCTCTATACACTAATGTAGATATTGCACCAAAAAACAGACATTTGCAGCTAGAATAGTCATTTACCACATTATCAATGTATAGAGTGTATTTCTGATTAATTTAAAGTTATCTTCATTGAAAAAAACAGTGCTTTTCTTTAAAAAATAAGGAAATTTCTAAGGCTGCGTTCAGCCTGAAGTGACCCAAATCCCATTTTTTGGCCTCTATGTGACCTGGATCTGATCTTTTAATGACAGATCCGATTTTTTCAAATGCGACCCAGGAAACTTGGATATGTGCTCCTGAAACTGATACATATCTGATCTTTTGACATGTGACTTCAGTGTGAACAGCCAAAGCGCATTCATTCGACCTACACGTTATCAACAAACCACAAACGTCACTATTCTGTGATGAAGTAGGCGAAAATTGTTAAAGAACTCCGTGTCACTGAAGTGAAGCACATCACCACTCACCACTCTTGGCTACGTCTCCGCATCCACACGTTCCTTTCAACAGACGTCGCTGCCGCTGCCCCACAAAACGCCACGGCCAAAAACCTCGTCCTTCTCCTTCTCAATCTCCTCCTTAAAACAAGTAAGTTGTTCATGTTCTGGCTCCGGTACGAGAGAAACTTTAAAATCTCCAGGTGCTCAATGCTGCGTCCATGTTTGGACAACTTTCGTAAACACAGAGCACGCTCGCTGCGGTTGACGTCATCGTGTCTCCAGTGCACATGTGGCGACACTTTTGGGCCTTTTAACGTTCACACTGGAGTCACATACAAGTCACATTTAATTGGAAATGTGAACGACCTCGCAAAAACATCGGATTTCACAAAAAAATAGGAATTGAGCGTTAAGCCCTGCAGTCTGAACGTAGACTAAGTGACCCCAAACTTTTGAACAGTAGTGTGTGTTTGTGTTCTTCTCTCACCCAGAAAACACTCTGCTCCACCTTGTGATGTCATGTGGTAATACAGGAAGTACTCCACTGTGTTTTTTAAACTCCATACTCCTTCACTTGAATCATTTGGATGATTTCAGCCCTGGAATTGCCAATCACCACTGAACTAAAGGTAAAAGGAGCTGTTGATTTGAAAACTACCACTACATGACATCACAAAGAGGAACAGAGCATTTTGAGCTTTGGAGAAGTTACAGACTGATAATAAAGCATTACTCAAACATGTGTGAATGAAACAAAACACAAGTCCAGCTCTGTTTTTGAGGAGGTAACAACATTATAACATGGATTAAAGTTAATTTTGTGTAATATAGAACCTTTAAAATGTGTTTAGAGTCTAACCCGTGTTGTGTTGACTCTAGTTATTCATCTTGGTGGTATTTTTATGGATAATAAAACTGTAATAAGTAGAAAAAATGCTCTGTTTTATAAGATTATGTGACCCTGTACTCCCTTCTTCAAAGCCGTCTTATCTCAGATCTCACATGGTTGACTGCAGCTCAACAAAGTAGCCTCCTGGTCCCAGTAGGCATGAAGGACCTGACTGTTCTGCACATTCAGTCCAACACAGCATGCTCTGATTCTGTTTTTATTGCTGAAAATACCTACAGTACATTCTTACTTTGAGCTGGTTACCTTCTCCACATGAAGACCTGG